CTAACGTTTCACAGTATTTTTCCACTATCGTATCGTTTCTAAACTTTTGTTGAGGGTAAACCTCTATTTACCAGTTCTGGAGGAAAGTTGGATGTCGATAGACTTCTTTCTGGGGCTCTGGTACAGCTAACGTTTCACAGTCATATTCTCATTTCTAAAATCTCGTTGAGATTCAACCTCTAATTTCCATTGCTGGAGAAAGGCATGGCCAAGGGTTGGACATCGTCCAGAGATCTGGTGATAGGGTTTGGAGTGATGATTCAAAATCCAGGGTTTGGAGTGATGATTCAAAACTGCTTTCTCATCTTTTTCTCTCAAAACTTTTCTCGTCAGGCTCTTTCCTAGTGATTCGAGTCAATCAAACTAAACTTTCGTTAATCCCAATCCTCTTATTACCATTATTTTGAGTCCCCAAGAAATCCTTGAATGAGTTTGATCCTTTTACTACATCTGGTGGCAAGTTTCAATGGCTCAATTCTCTCGGAGTGAAGAAGGGTCAGTTTTTACAGAAGGTCAGAAGAAATAAGGTCAGTTTTTTTGATGGTGAAGTCAGTGAAGCCATTTTTGGCGATCTCAGCTCATCCTAGTCCTTTTTCCTTCAATTTCGAAGTGATTCTAAAGCTTGTTGAGCCTAATTCTTTTACCATTCTTTGAATCCCAAGAAAAACGATTGATTCGATTGTTTCACTTCTATGAATGGAGTTTTTCAAAAAGTTTTGTTGGGTTTCCTTGGCCTGAGGCTTTTTACGGTCTGCAGTAGTTCAACAATCGTTTCATAGGATGATAATCGTGCCACTAAACTTTTCTTGAGCCCAACTTTCTATTTACCATTTATTGAGTCCAGCTAACATACTCGTTTTGTCTTCTAGTCACTTTTCGGATTTTTATCTAAAAGTTGTTAAGGAGTTTTTGCAATTACTTTGCGTTGGCTTTGTAGCGATCTTCTTGAGCTAAAGTTTAATAAGAAAAGTTTCTCAAATTACCCGGGAATCTTGAGGGAAACAAGTGATTTACTTTCGCTTTCGAAATCTGGAAATAGTAAAAGGCACACAGCCATTGCTACTTTACTTTCTTTGCAAAAATTCTTTCTCAATTCACAAAATACCAGTTTTCTTCTTAGAATGAATCGTGGATGCTGCTCAAGTCCTATTGTGCGCGAAAAACCTTTCCAACTCTTGAAGAGTCTAAAATTTGTTACAGCTAAACGTTTTGTTACCCAATTTTTGCTTAATAGCGAAAAGATCGAAGAAAAAAATAGAAGTTGAATGAAGATGGAATCTGTTTAAAGTTTAAGGTTTAAGATTTCGTTTATCTTTTGACTTTTGATTAAAGTACCAGCTTTCTGAAGCCAAGGGTGAGCCAAGAGAAGAATTTGAAGTCGAATTTCATTTCGTGCAACCTGCTTATCAAATTTCGGATATTCCTAGTTGCAAAAGTTGTCGTTTTCTCGTTTTTGCTCTCAGTTTCAGTGATGACTTTGAAAATACCGTTATTTGATTGTTTTGGCTGATGAAGTAACTTTGAATGTATCGGTGTGCCAGGAAGCGAGCGATCGCAAGAGGAAGAAAGAGACTCGGAAGTTCATTTTGAAGGACGATCTGCTTTGAATTTGATCTGCCTAGTTGCAAAAAGTCGCGAAGTTTTCAGCTCAATTTGAAGTTGTTTTTGAAAGTACCCGGCTTCAGATTTGATCTGATTTTGAGTTGATAGAAAAGCAGGAGATGAATCGGTTTGCCAGGAAGCGGGTGTTTGCAAGGACGAGAGAAAGAGACTCAGGAGTTCATTTTGAAAGCGATCAGAGAATCGTTCGGAGGGTTTCAACCTGCTTTAGAATATCAGAATTTCTCCTAGTTGCAAAAATGTTGTGAAGTTTTCAGCTCAGTTGTTTTTGAAAGTACCCGAATTTGTTGTTGAAGAACGGAACAATGGCCATGTGAGGATAGGAATGGATCGGTGCGCCAGGAGGCGGGCGTTTCCAAGAGTCGAATGAAGCAGGACTGATGCGGTCAAAGAGGGAGTCATCAAAGAACCTGCTTTGTTGAATTTCTGGATTTATCCTAGTGGCAAAAATTGTGGAGTTTTCAGCTCAATTTCAAGTTTTTCTTGAGAATACCGTTTTTGTAGTTGAGCAACGCTTGACAATGAACCAAGAGACGGCGAGAGACTTGGAAGCCACAGGAAGCGAGTCTTTGGAAAGGGGACGACTTCATGGAAGTGGGAGTGGAAGTGGAAGTGTTCAAAGAGGATTCAGACGTTCATTTTGAGTGTCTTGATTGCATCATTCGAAGTGATTTGCCTATCGAATTTTGAATTAATCCTAGTAGCAAAAGTTGTGACGTTTTCGGCTCAAATTCAATTGGAGTTGTGGAGGAAACACCGTATTTGTTGATCGGAAAAAGTAGCTGATGAAGGGATGAATCGGTGTGCCAGGAAGTGAGCGTTTTTAAAGAACATCTATGGGAAGAAAGAGACAAGAGAGGCGACTTTGAAAGCTTCAGGACATCTTTCAGAATTTCGTTTGAATTTCGAACTTATCCTAGTGGTATTGCAAAGTTTCAGCTCAGTTCCAAAGTTGTTATTTTGAAGTACCCGTTTTGGTAGTTGCCAATGAAGTGAAAGCAATTTCAATGTGCTAGATGGCGAGGGATTGCAGGGCAGAAAGGATGAATGGCAGGGATAAGGATCGAATTTTGAAGTGGGCCAAATGGTGGACGATCGCAAACTTCTAATCAGACTGTGGGACTTCTAATCGGAGCCTGTTTGGGTGTATTGAGTGTAGAGATCCTAGTTCAAAATAGGTTGTTTTAAGCTCAAAGTTTTTCTCAAATTTTCTTCAAAGTACCGTGATTAACCATAGTAGACATAGTAGAAGTGGGTCTTCGAAAATTAGCATATCGTCTTATGAAGGGCCTGTTTTGAAAGCTTTGATTTGATCCCTAGTTGAAAAGTTGTTGTTGTTGTTGGTGTTGTTATCTATAAGTGTACGCTGGTGCGCAAGCTGGTGAATGTTTACGAGACATCGGGAAGAAAATAACATATCCTATGAAGATCTTGTTTGAAAAACCTTTGATTTGATTCCTAGTTGTTCGTTTGAAGTTATTTTGAAGAGACTTTGCTGTTTGATTTCAATTTTATGATTTCCACTGTAGTGATTTTCTTCTAATCCTTTCTATTTTTGATTTGTTTTCGCAAAATGGCCTTATTTTGATGGCTACATCAAGTTACAGTAGTCAAAGAAGGATAAAAAGAAAGTTGAGATTTCCCATTCGAAAGAAAGTCATTAATTTCTTGGAATTATCCCAGGAATTGACTAAATTGACTAAAATCCAATTACCCTTCACAAAATAGAGATTGAAGTTGTGGTTGTTGAAATGTTGCAACGTTTCCATTAAGATTAAGATCCAAAGATTCGTTTCCTATAAGTAAGTTAATGGTTTTCAAAATACCCATAGAACGATTTCATTTCGATTTTGAAGTAGTTGATTTTGTTTATAGCTTCTTTTGCTTCAAGAGTTCAAGAGAGCTTCAAAAAGTTGATTCGATTGCTTAAAAGTTTTGTAGAAAGTAGGTGAAAGAGGTGAAAGATAGCTTCTAGCTTTCCAGTCGTCTTATTTCTAGAAATCGTTGCAAATTTGACGTTAAAATACCAATCAAGTCCATGGAGAGACTGTTGCTTCAAGCAATTGCTTCTATAGGCTTTCCCAAGTAGTTCGAGTTCTTCTATCGACTTCTTTCCCAAGACTTCTATAGACTTCTAGTCGTTCTAGTTGTCAAAAATCGATTTCTAGAATCAAATTGATGATTTCTTATGCGAAATACCCAGAAGAATCGTTGAGTTTTCAATTAGAAGAATCGTTTTTAATAGAAGGCTTCAGAAGAGAGGCTTCAGTCGCTTCTAGAGATTTGTGGAGCTAGAGATGGATTGAAATTTCGCTTCGCTTCTAGATTTTCGTTCAAATTTGTTTCGAATTACCCATTGAACATTTTTTGATTATCCCAGAAGATCCAAAAAGGTTGTTTGTTACAAAATTTGATCTTCTATCTATTCCAAAGGTGTAGTTGATCATAAAAGTTGGTGAATCCCGTCCACTATCATAAACTCAAAGACAAAGCGCACCAATACTCAATCTGAATTTTAAAATTAAATCAAACTACCTATCTAATCATAGTCCAAGTGAAAAATCTTACTCAAAATCTGAAAATTTATCTAAATCAAGTTATCTAACCAGATTAAAGTCGAATTTCTGAAAAATTGCTAAAAAATCAAAAAAATCAATCGAAACGTTTAGGATTAAGTAATACTATTGGAAAAAGAATTCTTTCGAAATAAAATCGATGCTATACCAATCATGTGACTACCGTATACCCAAAGAAGTGAAGAGATCAGGGTTTGGAAGAGAGAACAGAGAAAACGAAGAGACAAGGAAGCGATGAGAGGACACAGAGAGCCCATTTCCTGGCTACCGTAGTCATTTTCCAGAAAAATCCTTTTTTTCGGCCTAAGCCATTTACCCATTTTTGTGGCCTAAATTTGTTTGTGAGAAAGTCGCGAGGCTTTTTTTCCTTTTTTCGCTTTAGAGCGTAGCCGTCAAATCTTTTCGCGATATGGAATTTGGCTAAAGCCTGTGGAGATTAGCTTTGATGTAATTGGTAATTGGTATAATGGAAAAGTTTAACATACGCTTTATGGTACTCTTCTTCGAGCGCATTGTAAAATATATATATAAACACTTTTTCTGTAAATTGAGATTAGTGGATTTTTTCGACTACTACAGCATTGCTGTTAGCGTCTAAAAAAAGAGAAAAAAAAAGTGAAAAATCAGATTCAGATTCAAATTTGCGACTAGATAAAGATTTTGAATAATATTTGAATAATATTTACAAATTTGCATATATAAAAGTACCCAAATTTTCCGGAGACCATGTGGGCTGTGGACTTTTTTTTTGAAAGTTTTAAAGAAACGCTAGGTAACACCAGAAGGGGAACGAACGAATTTTCAAGGGGAACGAACGAGAGAGATCAACGAGAAGTTGGATGACACTAAAAAGTCGAAGATTTCGTTAGAAATGTACAATCTTTTCGCATAAAAATTACACAAGAAATAGTTTTCTTTTTGGCTTTCTTTTTTGGCTTTTCCTTTTTGCTTTTCCCAACAGCTAGGCTATTGTGCATCAAGCTTAGACGGATGTGGGCGCGGATCGGCTTGTTTCCCTCACAAAACACTGATGTCACAAAACCGATCGCGGTGAGTCCAGGGTCATTGAGTCCAATAATTTCACAAAGGCTTCGAGAACGAGGTGGGTGCTTTTTATTTAAAGCCCAAAGATGACACACAACTCTTCTTTTTGGACACCTATAAGCGCTGCTTTCGTTTTCAAAACCTTAAAAGTACCAGATAAGTTTAGATTTGGTCTTAAATTTCGAAAATCTAATGTTACAAGTTAAAGTACAAGTACAAGTTAAAGTTAAACACTATCTACTTAGTCAAAAAGTCTATTTTTAATTGTTTATGTCATTTTTAGTCTATCTACATACTGTAATAGTGCTCCAAAAATAGCTAAAATTCAGGTTTTTAGTATAATCGCGCAAAAGTCTTGATTATTTCATTTTTTCAAACCTTTTTTACTTTCAAAAAATGCGTCTTTAGTATAAAATTTAGTATCAAAAGATAGCCCTAAATTTCAGCTATTTTTTGATATATAAACGAGCATTGTAGCATAAACCAGTGTCGAGAAAAACGGGTTCAAAGCTAGACTACGCAACACTCCGCACTGTTCTTATTGGAGTCGGGTACTATTACAGTATTTATGATAGGATTTTTCAAGATTAATATAAGCCTAACTATAGAAAGTTTAAATCTAATAATATTTTGAGTTAGATATTTAGTTTTTAAGTATTTAACTGACCTTAGGCACGGCCTCCGCCGCCTTCTAACCCACACCTGGGGGACACGAGAATGAGAGGACTCGTTTTAGCTGTTGTTCAACCATTATTCGCCAGATGTTTGAGTGCAAGACACGAGGTAGAATGGAAGATTTCCTTACTGGGGAACCATCAAGAATTTTTTTTCGAGACACGGAAGCTGATGGGGATGCGAACACAAGCGAATTCCGTCTCTCTTTACACAAACCCAAGAACACAAGCGCTTCATCGGAACCTATTCAAAACGAAAAGAGATTCGAATTTTGAAATGTTTAGGCAAAGGGCCGTGAATTTCGAAAAGGTACGAAGTACCGTAAACCCACGTATCGATCATCGGCAGAGAACAGGAATAGAATGAGTGAAGGCTGAGTGTATGGGGGTATTTATGTGAAGGACGGGGCACGCCCACTGAAAAACACGTGACGCGACCGCTTCATTGCGAAAAGTCGGCTACATTGGTTAGAGGGCAGATGGGAAGAGTGAAGTGGCGGTAAACAGATAGAGATTGAGAGGACACGTCAATGCTTGGATCGATTGAGAAAGAGTGGGAAGAGTTGAGAGAAAACGAGAGATTTCTCGAAAATTCTTTTGTCCAAAGGATTTCGAAATCCTCTTGCGAAAGGAGGAAAAGTGAAAGAAAAGCAAGGAAATCGTTTCGCAAATATTTTTTATGAAAGCTTGAGAAATAGGGACTGGCTGTAAATTTCAACAAACCATTCAAATATTCACTGATATTGATTTTGAAATCCTTCAAAGACTCAGCTAACTCAGCTATTATCGATTTTTTTGTATTTCGATACATTCTTTCATTCAAAAACTCATCTATTATCAATTTTTCTATATTTGAAAGCTTTCCTTTTCTTTGAAACCTTAATTGTAATCGATTTTCTGTATTCTGAATCGATTGAAATGAAGCTCTACTCAATTCTCGTTTTCTATAAAGATCAAGAGACAAGTCAAGCTCAAGTCTTGAAAAGTGCTTACGATTTGGCTTCGTTCAGCTTCTTCAATCGAAGCTCTGTTCAAGATTTTATGCATTTTACAGGGAAATTGTTGGTTGAGCGATCGGGTTCAGGGAGTCGAGCCTCAGTCACTGAACAAGGCTACTGTTTACACGTTTTCCTCAAAAACGATGGTTTAGCCGGTGTCTGTGTCACTGACAACGAGTACCAACAACGTGTCGCTTTCACGATGTTGACAAGAGTTTTAGACGATTTCACGACAAAAGTTCATTCAAGTCAATGGGTTAAAATCAAGAAAGAAACCGATTGCCAGTACAATGGATTATCAGCATTTCTTGCGAAATGGCAAACTCCTAGTGAAGCCGATCCAATGACAAAAGTGCAAGAAGAGGTCGAAGAGACCAAAGTCGTCATGCATCAAACGATTCAATCGGTTTTAGACAGAGGAGAGAAATTGGATGATTTAGTAAAGAAAAGTGATGCCTTGTCAGAACAGAGTAAATTATTCTATACGCAAGCGAGAAAGATGAACAAATGCTGTAACTATGTTTGATTCGAGAGTCAATTCTCCGTTTCTTTCTGCATGGGTTGAGGTTTGTTTTTTTGAAAATGTAGATTTTTAAAATCAAATCTAGATTCTAGTTGGAAAAATCTTTGAAACATTTTCGAAATCGAATTTCGAATTACACTTTCGAAACAGTGACGCCTTTTCGCCTTTTCGAAACACTTTTGTGTACTTTTTCTAGAATATTCTGATCGTAACTTTAAAAGAATTTCATTGCAAATTGTTTTAGAATAAACATATTACTGTAAAATATAGATTTTATTCAATAACATCATCAGTTTTATTAATTTTATTCAATAAGACCGTCAGTTTTATCAATTTTATTCAATAAGATCGTCAGTTTTATTAATTTTATTCAATAAGACCGTCAGTTTTATCAATTTTATTCAATAAGATCGTCAGTTTTATTAATTTTATTCAATAAGACCGTCAGTTTTATCAATTTTATTCAATAAGATCGTCAGTTTGATTAATTTTATTCAATAAGACCGTCAGTTTTATCAATTTTATTCAATAAGATCGTCAGTTTTATCAATTTTATTCAATAAGATCGTCAGTTTTATCAATTTTATTCAATAAGATCTTCAGTTTTATTCATTTTCTTTACCAACTCACTTCAAATCTTTCAGTAAACATAAAAAAAACCGTAGAAGTTTGTCAAACTTGTAAGATTTAAGTATTAAATTTAAAGAATATGAAAATTTTCAGGTATATCCTCACAACTTTCGGATGCTTTTCTCTGGGTGCCATTTCTACGGTCGATTTTCCCCGTTTTCTCTTCATGACCACCTCCATAGCTCGGAATTTAGTTACGCTGTCAAAATTCTCACAATCCAGAAAACCAAGCCGTTTCAAGTCCTTGACCAAAAAATTCCTTGCGTTTTTGGCTACATTATTGGTGAAACAGTTTCTTAAAAAAGTTAATATTTCATAGATAAAATTAGCGTTTAAAATGTCTGTCGAGGGAAGGATGATTAGGTTTCGATGGCTTTTCCCGATGATATACAAACCATTCGACGCAGAATTTTACACTGATCCCAAAAATTAGCTGCCCAATGGTGAGTAATCACTGCCGAACTGGCATAAAAGTTTTTAACTTCTTCTTTCGCCATCGAAACCTAATCATCCTTCCCTCGACAGACATTTTAAACGCTAATTTTATCTATGAAATATTAACTTTTTTAAGAAACTGTTTCACCAATAATGTAGCCAAAAACACAAGGAATTTTTTGGTATAGGACTTGACACGGCTTGGTTTACTGGATTTTGAGAAAGCCGTTTTGAACGTTTTCTATTTGGCGCTAACTATATCCCATAGTTCTGCAAAAAAGCGCTAAATCAAAGTTTGTTTAGCGCTACTTATTGATTCCAATTAGCTGATCATTTTCAATAAACGGTAAACTGTAACTTTATCGGCTTTTGTCATACCGTTTTTCCATTTCCCTTTCAAATGCTACTCAATCGATTCCCAACTGAATGATTCGTGGATTTAAAAGTGAAAAATCTATCAATAATTTCAGATAGTCATGTTTAGAAGTTCACTTTGTGTACAAAACGGAAACCTACCCTTTCTGGCATACTCAACAAATTTGTTAAAAATGGAGAATTAAGTGTGTCAGAAGGCCGGGTTTTCATTTTTGAGCATAAATTTCAATAAATCACTCGATTTTCTCATCTCTTGCCCATTTTCATTCGACACATTGTGATTTCTTTTTCGAGCTTTTCCTATTCTATCATTTTTTTGGAGATTTTAATATCTGTACATGGATGTGTAGCGTAAAAACGATGAACATATCACTTTCCTTGTTCATTCCATCGAGATCCATAAACTATTCCAGAAAATATGTTAAATAAAAGATTCTTTGAGTCTTTTACAAAACAATTCATTTAAAAAAAATGGCATAATGAGAAAAATAGAGTTGAGCGAGTGGCAAAGTGAGTGAATTTTGGATACAAAAATCCTGTTTTAAAAGTTAAAAACTTAAAAAGTGACAAACTTTGACTGAATATCTTTTAAACAAATTATTTTTAATCAAAAGTTTTGCCGATTTCCTCAACTTTAACAAAACGAGAAGTGAATACACTAAAAAATGACCCGATTGAAACATTTTTAAGAGATAGACAAATAGATATCGAGTGAAATGGTGAAAAGTGAAGAAATAATCTCAAAAAAGACACTTATGCTTACAATTTGAAAGTTTGAAGATGGTAAAGCTCCAGTTTTGTCTCACTAGAAGCTTTCAAAGCACTAGAAGCACTCACTAGAAGCTTGTTTTGTCTCACTAGAAGCTTTTCTAAAGCCAATTCGTACAGTAAGATTCTTAAATCTTACAAAACGCTGTCAAATCTCAGTCTTTTTTACTGTAGCATACTCTAGTATACTGTAACTTGTCAGATTTTTAAATCAGGCCGTGTTAGGCTGGCTGAACACCTCTTCATAATAGAGACTGGGAATCTCTTGGGCTTTAAGTCTTGGAAATCAGCCAAAACTGGGAATCTCTTGGACTTTAAGTCTTGGAAATCGGTTAAGACTTGGAAATCAGCCAAGACTGGGAAATCAGCCAAGTCTTGGAAATCAGCCAAGTCTTGGAAATCAGGTAAGTCTTGGAAATCAGCCAAGTCTTGGAAATCAGCCAAGTCTTGGAAATTGGCTAAGACTTGGAAATCAGCCAAAGTTACAGTAGTATGCTAGAGTATGCTACAGTAAAAAAGACTGGGATTTGGCAGCTTTTTGCAAGACTCTAAGATCAAGATCGAAGACTCTAACTTTACGAATTCAACAACTCAGAATAGGAAGACAGAATGAAGCTTTACAATGATTCAAACTTTGAATTGATTATCAACAACAAAATAAGCAAGAAAGCCAGAAAACTCTGAGTCTTAATCTAAATTTCTCTACAACCAGAGTTTCTTTTTTTTCTCAATTTTGTTGTAGATACAACTTTAAAACCCATCTAGTATTGACAAACTGCAATCAACTCTTCTTTGATTTCAATTTGTTCAAATTAATTGCAGCATTTTCAGAAGCTAAACTACTCTAGCAAAAAAAAGAAAAGAAAAGAAAAGCAAGTGAAGTTGAAAAATTTGCTTATAAAACTCAAAACTTAATTCTTACTGATAAATTTTACAAATCATTATGTTTCCATTTATGTTTGCCTTGTCAAATTGGTTAGTATCGCTTCGACGAGACACTCGAGCCTCTGGAAACCCTCCATGCCTTCTGGGGGAACTCGGGTAAAGCCTGAATAACATTGTCTTCATTTCAAGTAAAGCAAAAGCTTACCCATCATTTGCGGCAAACGCTTGCTGGCAACGATGTTGAGGTAATTTTGCAGTTTCGCCTCTCCAATCCATTGCAAACAGATGGGATTTCTTGATAACACTTCAACGAGCGAAAGCCAACGGTCGACGACACACAACGAGCGAATTCCTTGGATCACATCGCCTGGCTGGTTTGCCCTGAATTTATTGAGCCATTTCGAGATTTGTTTTGCTGATATTCAAGTCAAAATATCTTGCTCTAAAGTGCAGAAGCTCACTCTAAAGTTATTGTAAAGTTTCATTTTATCGAATCGTATCCTTGATCTTTGGAAATTAGCCAAGATTGCTAACGACTCATAGTCAGTTTTTGTACATCCGATCGGGCTACTTTTTCTTTAAAAGACAGCTGATTTCTTTGTGCATCTTTTGAGACCAATACCAATATTTGGATTGGTCAATTGGAGAAAAAGATGTGGTGTCTAGAAGTGGGTCACTCATAGTAGGATGGATGCAAATCGTCAGTGCACAAGTTTGAGCACAGATTGCCAAATGACGATTTTTGAATGGATATTGGTTTTACCAGTACCCTTCATTAACAAGAGAATGTCAACTGGATGTGGTGGCCAAATGAGATGAGCCATATACGCAGAATTTGCTGCTGATTCCGAATCTGCTTTCCGTTTCTACTATGGAGCACTATGTCAAAAGTTATAAGTGTTCAAAGTTTTGTATAGAATTTCAAAAACTCGAGTTTATAAGAAGATTTCCCAGGGATTCAAGCAGCAGTGGTGGCTGAGTGGCAATGAGTTAGAGTTATACAAGGCAAAGTCTGTTTACTTCGAGTCCGCCGTTCGACTTCTATCTTTTCCCTTTTTTTGTTTTGCAAAGTTAATTGTTCTCCATTTCAAATACAAGTTAATTTTAAACTATTTCTCATAAAAATGTTTACTTTTAACTCACTGTTTACTTTTTTGAACGAACTCGTTCTTTTACTCGTTCGTTTACTCGTTCGTTTACTCGTTCGTTTACTCGTTCGTTTACTCGTTCGTTTACTCGTTCGTTTACTCGTTCGTTTACTCGATTACTAGGTCGTTTACTCGTTCGTTTACTCGGTCGTTTACTCGCTCGTTTACTCGATTACTCGGTCGTTTACTCGTTCGTTTACTCGGTCGTTTACTCGATTACTCGGTCGTTTACTCGTTCGTTTACTCGGTCGTTTACTCGCTCGTTTACTCGATTACTCGGTCGTTTACTCGTTCGTTTACTCGGTCGTTTACTCGATTACTCGGTCGTTTACTCGTTCGTTTACTCGGTCGTTTACTCGCTCGTTTACTCGATTACTCGTTCGTTTACTCGTTCGTTTACTCGGTCGTTTACTCGCTCGTTTACTCGATTACTCGGTCGTTTACTCGTTCGTTTACTCGGTCGTTTACTCGTTCGTTTACTCGGTCGTTTACTCGCTCGTTTACTCGATTACTCGGTCGTTTACTCGTTCGTTTACTCATTCGTTTACTCGTTTATTTTTTTGAACGAACATCGTTTGGAGTATCGAATGAAACTCGATAATCGTTATTAATGTCGGGTTTTTTTCGATTTTAATCAGATCTGTTTGATGTTAATAGTTAAAAGTAAACTTATATTGAAACGGAGAATAATTAACTTTGCAAATTCAATTAGAAGTTGTAGAATTTCAGAAACTCGAGTTTATCACCAGATTTCTCAGGGGATTCAAGCCAGTGGTGGCTGAGTGGCAGTGAGTTAGAATACAAAGCAAAGTCTACTTTTTAAAGTTTGTAAAGCAAGGTCTGCTTTGTAAAGTTTGTAAAGCAAAATTGATCGAATTTTAGCCTAACAAAGTTCATTGAAGTAAAAACTTACACAAAGAAATGATGAATATCCTGTGCAAAGCTCGGCACGATCGTACAAGCGTACAAAAGATCACACAAATAAACGATTAGCTCACTAAGAATGCGAACGTTTTTGTCATTCGATGTTTCCTAAAGTTCTTTTTTGTTTAGATTGTTAGATTGTTTAGATAATTTTTTGCATTTCTATGATCATTTTAAAAGTTACCATTTTCTTGAATGCTAATGTGTGTTCCCAGAAGAAATGACAAAAGTAGATGGGAAGCGTTTGTCCATTTGAGTTGCCTTGAGCCTGAAAAAAACAGAAATTTGTTGATTTTTTATTAACTTTTCATCTAGTAAACGACAAAATGTCATTTAAAAATGCAAAAATTTCTTTCTTTCTTACATTTTGAATGATTTTCCCAAGATGCTCTAGGAAGTTCGTTCGACGATGTTGACAGAGTTTACAGAGAATCTGAAAGGCTCAGTTTTCTTGTGTCATTCAAATTTCTAACATAATATTTCAGAGTCTAAAGCTTACTATTAACAAAACTCGTTGAGTGATCGGTCTTGTCCGAATTTGGCTGAAAAGCAGAGTCAGATTTTCCGATGATCGCTCTGAGTCACAGATCTGAAAATAGCTCGTTGTCTTTTTTAGAGTTTTTCTCAAAAGATGCGTTTACTAAGAAATGTGAACTTTTGAAAACTACCGTACTCTTGTCTCTAGTTTTATTCAATCTACTGTAACCACCTCTCATTTTATCCAATCTACAGTACTGGACAATGAAATATGATATTTGAAAAACGATCGTCACTTTCGCGCGTCTGTAACTCCCTTGTCTTTGAATTTTAAACTATTAGTGTTATACATTTTCTGAAAGCTCTTTTCAAGGGCTACACAATGGTAATATTAATATTTAGAAATACGGTAAAGACAAGGGAGTTATAGACGCACGAAAGTGACGAACTTTTTTCAAATATGATATTTCATTGTCCAGTAGTCCAGATTCCTCCAAGTTCCCCATTTGTCATGTAGGTATTTGATAGTTTCCTACGTTAAATCAGCTCTTAACCCTCCGATACAACTTTGTAATGCTAAAGTTCTGTAGCTAGATTCTCTAGTTCTGTAGCTACAGTACTGGACAATGAAATATGATATTTGAAAAACGATCGTCACTTTCGCGCGTCTGTAACTCCCTTGTCTTTGAGTTTTAAACTATTAGTGTTATACATTTTCTGAAAGCTCTTTTCAAGGGCTACACAATGGTAATATTAATATTTAGAAATACGGTAACGATAAAGGAGTTACAGACGCGCGAAAGTGACGAACTTTTTTCAAATATGATACTTCATTGTCCAGTAGTGTACTTATCGTAACCCAAATTCTGTAAGGGTTTATCCCCACGTTACAGAGCCCCACTAGAAAAACTAAAACCGGATTCCGAATCAGTATAAAAAGTTCTATCAGGTACACTTGGTTTTATTTTGAAAGGCCACCTTGACCCGATGTCTTTCCCTCGTAAGACGCGCGAGGCCAATCTGAGGCTCCAATAAGTTGTTGGAGTGGGAATATGTTGCAAAAAATCTTTTTTAATAGCTTCAGTTACTTTAATGGAGTAGCTACAAACATCAAGTGCTAGAACCAAAAAAAAAGTTTTTACAAATGAGTGTTTCTAAATTTAAAAAAAAGCGTTTTATAAAGTTTTCTTTTTTTCGTTTCTTCTTTAGATCTTTTCGTCGCTCATAGGAAAAAACGGCGTCTGATACACTGATACGAATTCCGATACTGATACGAATACAAATTCCGACCCTATGGTCGGAATTTGAGTAACTAATCCCTAATTATTTGATCTCTGGTCTAAATCGGCCGTTTCGCAAAAGATGTCGTCGACAATGTGTTCAAAACGTCAATAAGGCTTTAGAAATGCCTTTTTCCTGCATATTTTTCACACAGAATTAGTTATTCAAAAACATTATGTGGTACAGTTAAATCTCGTTAGTGAACACGTCGATAGTGACCATACGTTGCTTTGATAGCGATCTAACGAGCTTTAAGCTTTCACGAATGCTTGCTTGCTTGCTTGCTTGTCTGCTTAATAAAACAAAAATAAAACTTTGTTAGTAACCTAACTTTTCGGTCATGTTTTCTACAGACGAAACTGTAGTAGTTGAAACATTAATTTCCCACTGCTTTATTTGGAATCTACGCATCAAGTTGAAGTTGATTGATCAACTTTAAGAGAAGTTGATTTTGAAAGAAAAAAAAGCCCCTTCAACCTGACTAGCATCCAAACAATTGTAGAAATTTAGCAATGGGTTTAAAAAGAATCATTCTAGCTTTCTAGCTAAAATACTAGAGAATGATGTGTACAAAATATCATGAACCAGCAAGATTTCATTACCTTAAAACCTAATTTTTGTTATCGCAGCTAAAATGCACTATTTTTCCATTGAGAACCGGAAAAGTCCGTTTGTTATCGAGGTTTTTGCTAACGGGTTCTATCTCGATAAAACTAGAGACAAGACGGTAGCTTTTAAAATTTGACATCTTTTAGAAAGAGCATTATTATCAGTTTTGATGAAACGTACCTGTTTAACTGTTTCAATGGCGATTTGTTCGGTGAAGACTTTATTCTGATCATCTGATATTTTCAACAGCTCGTGGAAGCAAAGAAGACAGTTTCTCTGAAAGATTTTCTTTACAATTTCGAGATTAGTTCCAATTAAATGAATCTATATGTCGTAGCCGATTATGAATGAAATTTTTTGGCAAATCTTTCTAGTAGAGCAACCCTTTAATGTATGAGGACAATATTATATAATCTTGTAGCGAATTCAATTCTGCGTCGATTGGTACCAAATTTGTGAGTTTAGGTTAAAAATTGCCGGCGCTACAACGTTTCATTCAAAATCGGCGGGACCCCCGTAGTCGATTATGAATGAGTCGGTCTAGGAGCGTCCAACCATCAAGTATTTGGTATCATTCAACGCAGAATCATTAATAATTATGTTAAATTTTTTAAATTAGAAAGATTGAATAAAAAGAAAAAAATTAGAGCAAAAAAACTGTTTGTTCAAGAGAAAAACTTTGAAGCCCCATAATTTTTTTTCTTTTTATCCAATCTTTCTAATTTAAAAAATTTAACATAATTATTAATGATTCTGCGTTGAATGATACTAAATACTTGATGGTTGGACGCTTCTAGACCAACTCATTCATAATCGGCTACGACATATATTCATATTCGTTAAAGCTCACCTGAATCTCTTCAACCGTTTCACTAAAATTGATATTGGGCAGCATTTGATAAGGCGACATGGCAGCATTGTTTGGAATTGAGCGAAGAACGGAGAAGATTTCATCGATTCCATTGAATGTTGCTGATCCGTGTTGAATGAGAAGGAGACGAGCTTGTGGATAGTGAAGTAATTTGCTGATGATTGTTGTCGTTTCCTTGATCACTAGCAAATCCTCGCTGCCGAGTAGTCTGGAAATTTTTAGCTTTTTAACTTACTAGTATTTTTGAATGTAAATGTAAAACGTTTGGATAAACTTGACTTTTCTTAGTTCTAACTGAACTTTAGGGCTTGTAAGACTGACTAGAACAAACCAGAAGAAGGCAGAAGTAAGGCCAGAGCGCGACTAGGTTTAGGTCTTGCTATTGGCTGGATCCAGAATCATGAACAGGTTCACCCAGACCAGGGAAGATCAGAGGCCAGACTAGTGCCAAAGAAAGAAAGTCAAAGAAAGATTCCGGGCTCCAAAGAAAGTCGCCCAAGCCATGCCAGAAGCTTGGCTTGGCCTCTGACCTTGCCTTGCCATATCATAACCTATATTCTAGAGGATAACGATGGCGACACCTTTTTTGGAAAAATTTTCTATTTTTCTTGCTATTTAATGTTATTTTCTCACGAAATAAATATCGAAGAAACTTTTTAACAATTTTTTATTAAGAAAAGTGTCAAAAATGGTGGATCTCCAGAGAGAGGCCGACTTGAGCTTATTCGAGAACTTGTAAAATGAGTTGTATATCTCCAATCGGGAAACTTTTAATAGATAAATGTAGCCCAGATAAGGGGCTTTATTTTTCTATATAACACTTGGCACTTTAGTAATAAGCTAGGCATTTGCCAGCAATTTTTCCAAAAAAGGCGTCGCCATAATTTGCGATTAGCCTGTATCTATACAAATTTCTTTTTATTTTATTATAAACCAACTTGACAACAGCTGGCAAGATCACATCATAATCGGTTTTGTTCAGTGGCAACAATTTCACTTTCTTCAAAATCTCAGCCATCAGCTAAATTTTAGCATTCATGAGAGAAAGCAATAAAGCCAAACCTTTAACAATTTTTGCAAAAGTCGCCCCGATCCATGAGAAAGTAGCTTTGCACAGAACTAAACCGAATTTCAAAATGCTAAACGAAAAGTATTTACGTTTAAAGCTTTTTTTTTTGGGTTTTTGGGGGGGGGGGCGCGTTTTTTGGGTTGGTGTTTTTTCACCACCTTAATGCTTAAATACCAGCTTACGCTTTACCAGCTTAGGCTTTACCAGCTTACGCTTTACCAGCTTAGGCTTTACCAGCTTACGCTTTACCCGCTTTACCAGCTTACGCACCAATTTACGCTTTACCCGCTTTACCAATTTACGCTTTTCTCTCAGCCGATTAGTTTTCTAAGTCGTATAAATTTTTGAAAACGACCGTAATCGTTGCAAGCTTTTAGCAAATCTAGCTCCTTTTTACATCTTTTTGTATCCTGCATTAGTCTTTATAAAACCCAGACAAAATGGAGATAGATTGAGTAAAACTAGAGACAAGACTACTACAGTTTTCAAAAGTTAAAGTGGTTTAGAGCGGCTAAATCTAATCACCGATCTTACCTGACAAGTGTAAAATAGAACGGGTTCTTCAACAGGAGATTGGGGTCTTGTGTTGTCATCGTTCATTGTTTGGCCCGCAATCTGTTGAGATTCTAAATAAAAAAAATTATACTTTTAGAATTTTCTAGAGGTTTTAAGTTTTCAGCTATGGAGAATCTGACTTTTAGGTCCATGGGTTACAGTTTTTAAGTCATTTGAAAGAAAGAAAAAGCGTCGTCAGCGGTAAACGCCTGCCCAGCGGAAAGCGCGAACGCCTCGTTTTCCCCTGGTTATATTATAATTTCAAAGTGCTCACCTTTTTCGAGAATCTGGAGGAAACATTGTAAAGCACCTTTCTGATAGCTGTAATCCTGAAAAAAAAAGAAATTTAGAGTCTAAAAATTTTTTAGCACAAAAAAATTCTCACCCGCAGCCTTGGATCACGGATAAACTCATAGTAGAGCCAAATCGCTATCCGCCTTCTCTCTGTGTCCAAATCCAGCGTGAAAATGATCGAACTCAAGCTATAAGCAAATATTTTTTTTTATGGAAAAGTAACAAACTGATCAATCATTAGTGGATCTCTGAATTGTTTTTGATAAAATTCTCCATTTGCTCCGGGAAGTCGCACCAATGTCGTGATCAAACAAACAGCTTTACCCACGTACTCTTTAAGACCAACAGCACTGTAAGTTAAAATAAAAATATAAGCTTTAAAATAATCCTGTAGAGTTTAAAAATCTCTGGACTCACTTTGGCTCGAGTTTTTTGCATAAAGCTTTTGCCAGTTGTTGTGCGTATTTAATGACGGCATCTGGGCGACGATTTAAAATGAAGAGCATAGCGGTCAATGTGTGAAAGAGAGTCTAGAAAGATTTCTGTTAGGAAATGTTGGCTTTATTTGCATCTCTTCATTATATAATAGATTGAACTGACGCAATGCATACAACTGAATTGTTCCATGATTTCAGAAAGACATCAAGAGACTCGGTTCAATAAAAAGTTGCAACTTACTGTCAAAAAATCTTTTGGCTTTACTGCTTCCATAATCTTACAATAATAATGTCGCAGACAAAGTGCTTTAGACCAAAATTTTCTTTGAATGCTAGCTCTGCGCTGAGCGTTGACATCTCTCCGAAAAGCATAGATCTATCTACCGTAAATGCGTAAATACCTACCGCATTATAACTACCATAAATACAATTACCTACTGTACTGTAATTAAAACCCCAGGACTTCAATTTTTTCCTTCCTCCCTTAGCTAATAACTAATAAAAAGAAAAATGATTTTGGGTAAAACACCCGGGAATCGAACTCGCGCTGTGTGGGCTGTAGACAAGCGGTTGCGCCAAGGCTTCGATTTTTTTTCTCCCCCTCCAGAGAGGCTTCTATTCCAATACCAGCCGAAAAACCCGCCGTTAAGCTGGATGTTTTAGCATATTTTCGCAGTTTCTGACGACGCGCCGTTTCTCTCACCGTGGCGCAGTCGGGAGCGCGCTTGTCTACGGCCCACACGGCGCGGGTTTGAATCCCGAGTGTTTCGCTTAGCTTCTTTTTTCTATTTTATTAGCTGGAGGAGGAAGGAAAAAAAATAGAAGCTTTCTAAAGAAGTTTTAGCTTTATTGGTTAAAACAGGGTCGAGAAAATGCCCAGACAGACAGACAGACACTGTTCTGTTATATATAGTAGATTTACAGTAGTTTAAAAGTTCGCTCAGTGTTTATGTGTACAATTTTGTGTTTTTGCATTAAACGTACAATAGGTCTTGCTTCATCGCTGATCACAAGTCTCTGCAAGAGATCGATGCAGGTATTGATGACATGCGCCGGGATTTGTTGCGCATGCTCAGCTCGTTTTGAAATTTCCGGCATCAACTCGGGGATTTTATCCTGAAAAGGTTTGAAATCTTAAGCAGTTATCACTAAAGTGCACTGGAGGTAAAATAAAATAGGAGACTGAATAACGTTGGACGCCTCCGCTTGAAGCAAAAGATATCCAGCTTTGTCAATTGACTTGTAAAGTAGAATTTATCGTGTTTTGATTACAAGGCAAACTTAAAGTGCCTCTGAGATTCTGCAACTCACATGCTGGCCTTGTTTTGCAAGCTCGAAAATGGTTTCCACCCATCGCTGCATGTCGACGGCGAGATTTTGCATGAACGATGGATCGGGTCGATTCGAAGCTTCTTGAGTTGGCTAAATTGAGGAATGGAGAATTGAGCTTTTACAGGTCTAGCATTTCATGGAAAGTTTTCAATTTCCATTACCTCCACAATTTGTAGACATCGAACATCAAGATCGGTGATCACGGAGAGTTGTGTCATCACAGTCGATGCATTCGAGACACCCGAAGTGATCGATACAGCCGAGTTGCATGAACGAATCGAAGCGGCGCCACTCTGGAAACGAGACTTTAGAGATTTCTAGACATTTCTAGGCATTTCTAGTTTACTAATAATGATTCTAAAAAGTTTGGTCTACTTAAAATAACGTTAAATACTGTAAACAGCTTTAACAAGTCTATGAATAAAAGTAAACAAGTAAACAAGCCTTTTCAAAGGTCAAAAAAACTTCAATCTTGATTTTAAAACATCCGTTGAACTATTTTCAACCATTTTCAATCATTTTTTAAAGTCGTTGACCAAATTGGTTACAAATTTGGCAGTAAATAAATATTAGCCGAAAAATCATAAAACAAGTCTTTCAGCGTCTCAAAACTCATTTTTTGCATATATTTTTTGATCATAAAATTGTTTATATTAGTTAAAGGTCATTTTTAAAGCTGTACAGCTTACCAACAGTATAAAAACTTCATAAACACTTTAGAAAACTTAAAAATTGGTTTTGTAGCCTAACAAAAACCAATCGAAACTGAAGGGATTCGAACCAGGATCTAGCTGGGTCGAATGCCGGCACACTATCCCCTAGGCCATCAGGGCGTTTTTTGAAGCGAAGTAATTGAGCCCTATACCATGGCGGCGGTTTCAAAAGTGCCCAAACTTGAAAAGCGTTTTCCTCTTAGCTATTTTCTTTTTTAAAAGATATCTCTTTCAGAAAACTACCGTAATCAGCTGCCAGTTTAATTCAATTTGCTCAATTCTTGCATTATTGACTGAGTGTCATCAAATAATACCAAAACTGAGCTGATTGAATGAAAACTGGCTTGGTTACGGTAATTTTTAGATGCCTTTTAGAAAACAATCGAAAAGTAACGCGGTTATAGTAAATCTACGTCTAGTTGTGTGTTTACTTGTTGTCTAAAAGTTATCGCTATTGCTGTAATTAATGTTCGACAGAAATTTATGACTAAACTATTATTCTTTAGTTTAAACTAAGTTGGTAAACAAATTTTGAAACGCTTACTCGAAACCGTGACATCGGTGAGTAGTGATGTCCTCCCATCCAATCCCCAACTCTTTGTTGAGCCATCGACGAGATTTGTTGCTGTTGTTTCTAAAATGAAAATGATAAAGTTTAAAATCAAAGAGTTCAATTCGAAAAAAAATGAACAGAATCTATTATCAACATTTTTTAAATTTTTAATTCACAATCTGACAGATGGGATTGTCTTTAATTGTCCCTCATTTTTTAGAAATGAATGGAAAATGGGAAAGTAAATCGGTAATTGTTCGCTTCTTTGCAAACACCTTGCTGATGAATTTCTTGCGGTTTTGAAAGCATTAAAAGCATTAAAGGCAATTATTCCTAGTCAATTCTTATAACTATTATAGATCCTTTGTTTTGGAGGCAGGTTTAAAATTCACTTAGTTTAGGCTTAAACTTATGACTTGTTTTTTAGCATTTTGTGTGTTCTAATCAAACCCTAGGGTTATAGGTCAAGCTTATACAGTACTGGACAATGAAATATGATGTTTGAAAAACGATCGTCACTTTCGCGCCTCTGTAACTCCCTTGTCTTTGAGTTTAAACTATTAGTGTTATACATTTTCTGAAAGCTCTTTTCAAGGGCTACACAATGGTAATATTAATATTTAGAAATACGGTAAAGACAATGGAGTTACAGACGCGCGAAGGTGACGATCTTTTTTCAAATATGATATTACATTGTCCAGTAGTTTACCTCAGCTAGAAGTCAAATGCAAGCCGAAATTTTAGTCTTAAAATCAAGCCAGAACCTGCCTTGTTTGGCATGATCATTCTAATCTTTTCAAGGATAAACAAGCAACTGCATTGTCGCAAAATTCTGGTAGATTCTAGTATTCTAATTCATTCGCACCTCTCTGAGTCGATTTGCCGGATCGGAGATATTCGGCCGGGAGATGGGTCGATGGTGAAAACCGCCGACCTGTGGGCTGCCAACATATTGAACCTGGAAATTTTGGTTGACAGGTAGATTTGACAATTGATAGAGTTGGTCACGTTGGTCACGATAAGAAAGTTGGTCACGCCGGTCCTTTTATCGGTTGAGAATCCAAAACATGGTCAACACCGGGATTCGAACCCGCGACCTCTGGCTTACTGAGCGAACGCTCTGCCAATGACACTGGAACGTATCCCATTGCCGCCAAGGTAGGCCTTATGCTTTACTAGAATTTGAATAGACTAATTGTATCGTAATTGATAAGCACAGGTAATTAGAGAGTTACTAAAGTCTAAGGGACTTCCATTCCGTCCTTTAGACTTCAGACATTCCATTCCGTTTTAGTTTTATCGTTAAACTCACGGGAAATTGTGGAATTCCTGAGGTGGAGGGCTGCTGGTAGAAATAGAAATTCTCTTGATTAGATGGATTCATCACTTTTCGGGCATTTACCGTACCGTGACTAAACTGGAGATAAATTTAGATGACTTTAGGAAGAGAAAACGATTACAAAAGTTAAAATTAATGAAAACGATTGCACTAATGATAAAATAAGAAAAAAAGAAGACAATAGAACGAAAAAGGGTTTTTGATTTAGCTACGGAAAATGTTGTCACAAGATTTCAAAGTACAAAATAAACGTACACCATTTAGTACTTTTTCGACTAACGAAACGAATGGTGGGCTCATTTTTTGTGTGGTCTGTTTCTTGTCTCTTTACGTGGGTTGGCTTGGGGTGGGCAAAGGGGGTGACCCCGCGCGTTCTTTCCAAATTCAAATGACGATCGATCGATCACTTTTTGGTGAAAGGGGGAAGAGGGCGAGATACGCACCCTTGTCCACCCCTCACCCCACCTCCTGTCTCTCCATATATGTCCTCCATGATCCTTTCACCACTACTTCCGTTCCCTAATAAAATACGTAGAATGAGTTGAAATATCGAATGATTAAGTGAATAAATATACGCGAATTCCATGCAAATTCATTAGAGCCAGTACCATACTTTTCATTGTATTGGGTTGGTGAATTGAAAACTGCCGGCTATTGTCATCTGTGACAGTTTGAGCACTTTCTTCAAAAGAAACCCATTTTGGTGTCAATGGAAAAGTTGTAGAGAATCAAAAATTAAGCTTATATCCAAATTTTCAGAATGATTCAAAAACTGGTTTTAAAGAAATGCCAAATTTACGAATTTTCTCAAAACTTGCAACAAAACTTGCATTTTAAGCGAAACTACTAGGTGTATCTTTTTGGAAATTTGGCTATAAGCCTAATTTTTGATTCTCTACAACTTTTCTATTGACACCAAAATGGGCTTCTTTTGAAGAAAGTGCTCAAACTGGGACATCTCCAGTCCTCCATTTTTGAGTCTCACACTTGTCTCACACACAAACCAAAATCCTACTACGAAAGAGGAATCCGCAAATTGCCTGTAAAATGGGCAGAAGTCGTCAATAAGAATGGAAATTATTTGGAATGAATTGATGGTTTTATGTTGAATAAATTTTAGTGCAAAGTCCGGCAGTTTTCAATTCACCAACCCAATAGTACTGGATAAGAGTAAAGAAACGAAAAATCTTTATGCTAGATAGAAACTAATTGATTGTGACTACTTAACAATATACATTTATGTATTGTTACCAAAGCTTTATTGATTTTGAGTACTTGTTGACCAAGATATTCTATTGGTTTTTTTGTCTATCTTAATCCAAAGTTTCTCGGATAAGAGCTAGTATAAGTTCGAAATTGAAACGAAATTCTGAACAATTTCCCGAAGCTTTCAAAATCGCCTCTCTTGTCTCTTTCTTCCCATAGATGTTCTTTAAAAACGCTCACTCCCTGGCACACCGATTCATCCCTTCATCAGCTACCTTTTCCGATCAACAAATACGGTATTTCCTAGAACTAAAGAATCCTGTTAGGCTGAATGATTTGCCAATTTGCATGAGTCTGGCGTACGGCTACGTTCACAGATCTACAGGGTTCAATAGTTACCCTGACTCGGGATTTTAAGTATAACTCAGCACTCAGATCGGCAATCATTTCACGCTTTGTTTTAATAGAAAATTTAAATATTTTTCTACGGTGAATTCTTAAGTTTAACAAAAAAAGCTTTTTCTGGCTTTTTTATAGAACCTCAAAGTTGGCAATCAGGAGTTGCTTGGCTTCTTTTGATTTTTGGCTTTTCATTTCGAGAAAATGAGATTGAGCATGTATTTGAACGCTTTTGGTTTTTCAATACGTTTTAAACATGATCAAACAAAGGTAACGTGACACTCAATCAGGTAAAATTTTGCTATTTTGGAAATCTTGCGAGCCTAAGCGTTGGCTTGTCAAAAGATGACCCTGTAAACCGAAAATTTTCATTTTTCAGTTGATGTTAAATGCAAATCTTTAACCTTTAAGTAAATGTAACCTAATAGAACTAAATTTAGCGCTGAAGTGTTCACGAGCACTGAAATTTTTGTTAAATCCTCCAAAAACAAGTGCTTGTTTGTTTTTTTTGGAAAAAGCACTAAGCACTTTTTTTCTGGCTTTTTTATCGAACCTCAAAGTTGGCAATCAGGAGTTGCTTGACGAGGCACTTGTTTTTGGAAGATTTAACAGCTGAATGCACTAGCTGAACACCTTAAAATGTACATAAACTCCGCAAATGCCCCCCTCTCGCCTCTCACCTCACTCCCGTGCCTCTATGCCCCTTAAATTGCCATCGGCTGCACCAATCCGAACTTCTCACTCAAACACACTTGCCAAATGAAGTGTTAGTGTCAAGAAAAGACAGATTTTTGACAAAGATGGTAATCTCATTCAGCAAGGTAGCAATTTCAAACGAGATTTAAAAGAGATTTGGATTTGGATCAAAGAAGTAGTCAAGAGTAGACCTGGATCAAAAGAAAAATGGCTTTATTTTGGACAAAATAAAACAAAATTAATAAAAAGCTTGTGTAATCTTGTAATTTGAATAAAAGTTCTTGTAAAAATCTATAAGAATCTCGAAATAATAAAAGCCATTAGTCAGATTGAAGTCAGAAAGAGAGTCTTCTTCTTTAGGCACTCTTTCTTGGCATGATTATTCTGAACAATGCAAATAAAGCCCTGAATTTATGAATGTTTATTGGGGAAAGTTGAAAGAAATGCTTTTCTTTGATCTTGTCGAAATCGATTCAATAAAGATTGAACCGGAAATTTTGAGGCTGGTTTTAAAGCAGAAATTGCAAAATAACGCTTAACATGATAGCAATCAAAACTATTTTTTTGTTAGATTTGGTACTTGTCCGTGTCCAGAATTTGAATCTCAAATCCAAATTTGATTGATCAGACATTTTTAACGATTTCAATAGTTGTCTTAAATATTAGGTTCGTAAAAAAAGAAATGCGCGTTTTCGTTAAAAGTTTACTTTATCATAAAAACAAGATAACAATACATTAATCCAAAAGGTATTCGCCATCTGCATCAATGACTTGTCGCCAACGTTCACGCAGAGAATGGATGCCCTTCTTGAAGAACTCGACCGGCTGCGACTCGAAGAAGTTGGACACCCAAATTTGGACCTCGTCGCGGTTCTTGAACTTTTTCTCGGCCAAGGCGCATTGATGCATTGATGTGGTGCATTGATCGGAGCAGATGGTAGTCGGAAGGCGCCAAGTCTGGGCTGTATGGCGGATGAGGCAGGACTTCCCAGCCCATTTCTTCAATTTTCTGCTGGGTGATTTTTGCGACATGCGGCCGAGCGTTGTCGTGGAGGAATTTTGTCGACGCCGTATCCACACCTTGACGTCGCAGCGCCTGGTCCACGCGGTCCAATTGGCCTTGGTAGAGGTTCGCCGTAACTGTTTGACCCGAATCCAGAACCTCAAAGTACACCAGGCCTTTACTCTTCCACCAAACACAAAGCATCACCTTTGTTTTCCACAAGATTTGTTTTCAATGTTTTCATATTATAATTGTTTCATTCAAAGCATTTTAAAAGTCCGTCATTTCCATCAAAAATAAATTTTTGATCGATACTACGCTTTTAAAAAGTTCAAGTTATCTAATTATTTTGACAATTGATTTTTATGGTTGTTGGGCTTCTTTAAAAGCCTGTTAAAAGCATTTTGTTAAATAACTTAGTAGCAAGACATTGGTTATCGAATCGTGGAGCAAGACATTGGTTATAGAATATTATTGGAGTAGCAAGACTTCGTAGGACTTGAGCTTCCAGCAAGACAATGCCAAGCGGCATACCGCCAAGAAAACCAAGGCTAAGTTTGAAGATTTGGACGGCGCTGAGATTCTGCCACATCCAGCTTGTGCTCCTCCGATTATGACCTCTTCGGTTCAATGCAGCATTTTCTGAAAGGTCACTGATTTGAGTCATTTGAAGAAGTTGAAAAAGCGTGTCAAGAGTTCTTTGATTTAAAGGAGTCGGCTTGGTACCTCGAGCAGATCCGAAATCTTGCTGATAGATGGCAGAAGGTCGTGGAGAATATTATTTGACTGAACGAGCTATCTTATTCAATCTTCAATCTTTAATCTACTAAAAACTTTTATTTCCATCTTTGCTCAATGTTTTGCGTGTTTTCGGGTGGGTATCAATCACGTGTCTCTCGATCTTTCTCATTCTTTAACAGATGGTCTTTTCCCCAAAAAAAATGCCCCAACAAACCCCGTTATCGGCTAGAAAAAGCAAGAAACGAGAAAGGAAAAGAGAAGTTTTCTTTTGAAAAACTTTGGAAACGTTTTCTTTTGGAAACAAACAAAACCACACTCTATTCAGCAACTTTTTCGATTGAAATTCTTGTCATTTATTAGCCAGCTCTGGCCAGCTATATTCTGCGCAATGCTATTATTTTTATTTCTTATTTTAATATCGCTTTTCCTTTTCTATGAGTTTTATTGGAAACGAAGAAACTATCCACCAGGTTTTGCGGAAAATTTGTGAAATTGATTTTAGAGTAGATTATGATCTTAATTATTGGGTTGGTGAATTGAAAACGGCAGGCTATTGTCATATGTGACAGTTTGAGCACTTTCTTCAAAAGAAACCCATTTTGGTGTCAATGGAAAAGTTGTAGAGAATCAAAAATTAAGCTTATATCCAAATTTTCAGAATGATTCAAAAACTGGTTTTAAAGAAATGCCAAATTTACGAATTTTCACAAAACATTTCACAAAACTTGCATTTTAAGCGAAACTACTAAGTGTATCTTTTTGGAAATTTGGATATAAGCCTGATTTTTGATTCTCTACAACTTTTCTATTGACACCAAAATGGGTTTCTTTTGAAGAAAGGCTTAAACTGATCATCTCCAGGACATCTCCAGTCCTCCATTTTTGAGTCTCACACACAAAGCAAAATCCTACTACGAAAGGGGAATCCGCAAATTGCCTGTAAAATGGGCAGAAGTCGTCAATAATAATGGAAATTATTTGGAATGAATTCATGGTTTTATGTTGAATAAATTTTAGTTCAAAGTCCGGCAGTTTTCAACTCACAAACCCAATAGTAGTGAAATAGAAATCGAGCTTCAATTGAATATTCATTAAATTTAAAGTTACAATAATTTTAATACTTTATCAAAATTCAAGATATTTGCAGTAGTAATCAAATGAACTTTATGAAATTTTTGATGCCTTTCAAAAGCTTCTTCCAGGCCCACTTCCACTTCCATTATTCGGCAATTTGTTGCAAATTCTACTAAACTTTCCTGGATATGAATTGTTTATGAAATGGCGACAACAATATGGACCGGTGTTCACTTTTTGGTTCAGTAAGTATTGAAGAGACTTAGAAAAAGGATTTGGAAAATCTAGAAAGGCTGTAAGTCAGGGCAGTGTTTGCAAAAAGCCAAAAGCCAAGGTCAAGCCAAGTCAAAACCAATGATTTTCAACTGATTTTGGCCTGAATTTCAACTTTACATTGGATTTGGCCTGAAAATTTGGCTCTTTTACCAACCCTGCTTTTGGCTGGTTCAGTTTGATGGCCAAGCCAGGCAGTAAAGTCAATTCAGGAGTCAAAAGCCAGGATTGGCTTCTGCTTTGATCTGATCTGACCCAAAAAAATCAGTTTCTTTGAAGCATTCAATAGAAGACCGTATTTATTCTAATATTAGGTTGTCGCAAAAGATTTTGTGCATTTTTCCAAATAATTTTTTTCTGAGATGTTGAAAAATTCAAATTGAGTTCTGTTTTAGCCATTAGAAAGGGCTAATGTTTCTCTATAAAATGGCTTTTGAAAGTTTTAAAAAAGCTTTCATTTTGTGGGTTTTTTGTGGGTGCAAAGTCGACCAAGAAAAACGCCTTTTTTCTTGATATGCACTTTTGATTAGCTTCCACAATCACAACTTTTTTTAATGTCAAGAAAAAAAGAAAGCAGGCTTTCAGCTCTATAAAATAGTTATATTTTCAGCCAAATCTCTCCAGCCATTCTCTCGGAATTGTTTTTTTGAAAATTGTGTACAAATAAGGATTTTTGCTCTAATTCGCCCCAAAAAACGGCCTAAATTGACGGCCTTATTTGTACACAATTTTTAGAAAATCATTTCGAGAGAGTGGCTGGAGAGATTTGGCTGAAAATTTAACTATTTTATAGAGCTGAAAGCCTTTTTTTACTTGACACCAAAAAAAGTTGTGATTGTGGAAGCTAATCTAAAGTGCAAAACAAGAAGACACCGTTTTCCATGGTCGACTTTGCACCCACATTATTTGAGGCTGCGCTTCTATTAGAATAAATATGGTATTTGTTCTAGGCTTTTCCCCAATCGTCGTTGTGGCTGACTATGAAACAATGAGAGAGTCACTCGTGAAAGATGGAGACAAATACGCTGATCGATACACATTGGAAGAGTTCAATGCTTTGGTACGAGGTGAGTTACTAAAAAGTTTCTATGATAATTTATCTATTGGGTTGGTGAATTGAAAACTGCCGGACTTTGAACTAAAATTTATTCAATATAAAACCATCACTTCATTCCAAATAATTTCCATTCTTATTGACGACTTCTGCCCATTTTACAGGCAATTTGAGTATCCTCTTTCGCAGTAGGATTTTGGTTTGTGTGTGAGACAAGTGTGAGACTCAAAAATGGAGGACTGGAGATGTCGAGATGTCCCAGTTTGAGCACTTTCTTCAAAAGAAATCCATTTTGGTGTCAATGGAAAAGTTGTAGAGAATCAAAAATTAGGCTTATAGCCAAATTTCCAAAAAGATACACTTAGTAGTTTCGTCTAAAATGCAAGTTTTGTGAAAATTCGTAAATTTGGCATTTCTTGAAAACCAGTTTTTGAATCGTTCTGAAAATTTGGATATAAGCTTAATTTTTGATTCTCTACAACTTTTCCATTGACACCAAAATGGGTTTCTTTTGAAGAAAGTGCTCAAACTGTTACATATGACAATAGCCCGCAGTTTTCAATTCACCAACCCAATAGCAATAACAAATCTAATAGCAATAAGCTCAATTTTCTCAGGTGGTCAATATGGCATCATTCAAGCGAATGGTGATTTATGGAGAGAACAGAGACGGTAAAAAATTAGTTCAATTTTAAGCTCGTTATTTTGAAAACTAAATATTCTTATTTAGATTCACTCTGCACACTCTTCGAGATTTTGGAATGGGCCGAAATCTGATGGAGGAACGAGTGATGCTTGAAGTTGACTTTCTTGCTGAAAGACTCATTCAACAAGGATCCAATATTTTCGTACAGGTTCGCAAATTAAAATTTCATCTTACAAATTGAAATAGAAAGAATTCGATACAGCTGTTGGCTCGATTATCAACAATATTTTGTTTGGATATCGTTTTGATGAGGTGGGGTTTTGATTAGACTTTGATTAGATTAGAGCTAACGAGATTAGAGCTAAAGGCTTCAAAACTACTGTAATCTTATCAATTAGCGCAAAGAAACCTCAGTAAAACACTAAATCAACAATAAAGATTAATATTTTCAGGAACATATGCACGAGTTTGATCTGGTAAAGGGTGCACTGAGAAAAATGATGCAATCCGGATCGAATCCGTTGTTTCTCGTGGCCGCATCTGTGCCCTTCACTCGGGATTTGCCATTGTTCAAAGGTAAGTTTAGTTTTATTAGAAGTTTCTCACTATTTTCAACTATCTATCTAATTGGGTATTTTGTGTGAATCCGGATTTGTGATACCATTTAGAGATAAAGTTTTCGATAAAGTTATCAATAAAGTTATCAGTCTTCAGAAGCATGTAATATCTAGATTTTCTCATATTCATGATCCAAAAAGAGTTACCTTATTTTCCCCAATAGTAGTGCACCTTAAGCTTTGCCTAAATTGCTCGAAATCTCGAAAACCGCTTATCAGAACCTATCGATGTGTGGTCGGGAAATGTAGCTGACGATGAGATCTAGTGGTGGATTTCACAGAAGCTTCTGTGAAAACTTTGAAAGCCGGAAAATAGGTATCAACTCGGCTCGCTGGGGTGCACTACTATTAGAGAAAATACGGTATATATCTATGTCTATAATCTTATAAGATAAGAGGCTAGATAAGAATGAAGATAAGAAATGAAATGTTCAAAGTTAACTAATCAAAATAACTCTTTGTATTTTCCACCGTAAGCTTCGTCTAAATTCCTCGAAATCTCGAAAACCGCTTATCAGAACCTATCGATGTGGGGTCGGAAAATGTAGCTGACGATGCGATCTAGTGGGGGAATAGAGTGCTGAGCTTCTGCGAAAAATTGGAAACTATAAAATAGCCATCAACTCGGCTGAGCAAATCCGGTATTTCCTTATGTCAATTTAGGTGCTTTCCAACAAGTGATGAATGACAACAAAACTTTTTACGGCTTCATCGCCAAGCAGATCAATGCTCGACGAGCTGATGTTGATTTGGAGAGTGAGGTGGGTAAGGCTAGGGTTAGATAACAAAACAAAAATTGTAATTAAATCTAAAATAGGTATAAATTCAAATTAATTCAAAGAAACTTCAGATTTCGAACGATTTCGTTGAGTGCTATTTGAAAGAGCAACACAAGAAAAAAGGATCGGATCAAGAAGATTTTTACAGGTAAGAGGTACTTAGATCAAGTTTTTATGTTAAAAAATCTAGAATCTAGCTAAATGCATATATTTCATATCTTTATATTCAATTCATACTTAGTTTCTCTTTAGTGACATTCAACTTCAAAACCTTGTGCTCGACATGTGGATGGCTGGTTGAGTTAAAGTTAAAGTTGATTGCAAAAAAACTATATAGGACTTGAAACCACATCAAATACTCTCACTTGGGCACTTTGTTACATTTTGAATCATCCAGAAGTTCAAGAGAAACTTCATGAAGAGTTGGATCGAGTGATCAAATCGGATAGAAAAATCACAATGTCCGACAAGAACTCTCTTCCATATGTGAATGCGGTTATAAATGTGAGTGGGAGAAATAAAGTTTGCAAACTACTTGATTTACTTACCGTAAACTGTAATAGTACCCCACCCCCATAATGACAGTGCGGCGTGTCGCGCCGTCTAGTTTTGAACGAGTTTTTCTCGACACTGGTTTATGCTACAATGCGCGCTTAGGTATCAAAAAATAGCCCTGAATTTCAACTATTTTTTGATATCAAAGACGCATTTTTTTGAAAGTACGGGCGCTTTGAAAAAATGAAATACGAAAAAACTTTTGCGACTACGCGACTGTACGAGGGGGGTGGGGTACTATTACAGTATTTACGGTAGTTGCTTTAAATTTTCAATTTGATTTAGGAAACACAAAGACTTGGAAACTTGTTACCACAAAACACCCCGCGAAAGACCAGTGAAGAGGTGATTCTGGGTGGATATCGAATTCCGAAAGGGACGCCGATCATGGCACAAATTGCCACGCTTTTTTGTGATGAAAAGGTAAGTGAGAGAAAAGAAATTGACTTTCAATGAAAACTTTGAGTATTATAATAGGTTACCAACTAAATAACCGAACCTTTTCACTAATTGGTTTTTGTTTGGTTTTATTGGGTTGTCCAGTTATTAGGTTGGCGGGAAAATAATGCGAATTTTTTTGACCCGAATTTTTATTTTCGATTAATAAAGAGGATTAATATAAAAAGTATTCTCCATTATTATTTAGGACATTATGTCATCTTTTGCTCAATTCAATAATTCCATCGTCAAAGAACTGGGGACTTTTTGACGAAAAATAGTTGGTGACCGCATTTTCGACTTCCCGGAAATCCTTGAACAGCTGATCGGGGATGAACTGCTTTAGAGACCTGAATAAGTGATAGTCTGATGGGGCCAAGTCAGGGCTGTATGGGGATGGGGCGTGAGGTAGAAGTCTGATGGGGCCAAGTCAGGGCTGTATGGAGCGTGAGGTAGAAGTTTCCAGCCCATCTCTTCGATTTGTTGGAGGGTCATCTTTGCCGTGTGCGGTTTTGCATTATCACGCAAAAATCGAATTTTTGAAGTGTCATGTCGAGATTTCGGTAAAGCTTGATTCACAAGCTCTAACTGCTCAGTGTAAAGTTCAGATGTGACAGTTTTACCCGGTTTGAGCAGTTCAAAATAAACCAATCCACGATAGTTCCACCATACGCACAACATCAACTTCTTTCCATGCAGACCAGGTTTTGACATGACAACCGGGACCTGCTTTGGTGATGGCCATTGGTGCTCGCGGTTAACGTTATCATATAATATCCACGTTTCATCAGAAGTAACAATCGATTTCCAAAAATCATGTGCTTTTGATTTTTGAATCAAAATTGAACAAGTGTTCATACGGGAAATTTTGTGATTGAAGGTCAGTTCATGTGGGACCTATTTTCCACATCTGTTTCTCTTTCCAATCGAATGTGAATGCTCTTCAATGGTGCTATGATGAACATTCAACATTTCCGACAACTCCCGAGTGATGCAAGTGGGATCTTCTTCGATAATTTGCAAAAGTTGAGACGCATCCAACTTTCGAGGACGTCCTTCGTGATGCTCATCTTCTAGGCTCTCGTTTCCATTTCGAAATCGCTCAAACCATCGATAACATTGGCTTTCGCTAATACTACCTTCGCCATCGGCCTTTGAAATAGAATTATGCGATTCACGGGCAGATTTTCCAAGCTTAAATTCATAGAGTAAAGCAGCTCGAATAAGGAATTTTTGTTCCGTCATTTTTTGATAACAAATGAACAAATGTTTTCGAATAATATTATGATTGTGTAACCAAACACATTCTGCTTCTCTGTTACTATCGCGGTTTTCTCTGTTTGTCGGCCATTACTTTCCCAAGAGCACAAGTGAAAAATTCGCATTATTTTCCCGCCAACCTAATATGAATGCGCGTTTTTACTATTTTGTAAATTTCTCAAGATATCGAACAGATGTATATGAGTGTTATATATCATTCGAAAGCTGAAGATCTCCTCTACATTTTGGAATAAAAAAGTTTTTGAATTCATTCAACTTTTTGGGAAATTGACTGCACAAAGGGAGAGGTCATTTTCGAAAAAAAAACCCCATTCCAGCTTAGCTATTCCTCAAGTTTTATGGTGTAAAATAACCGCCCAGAAAAGAAAAGAAAAGTAAAGATGCTCTGAAGTTGTTATATTTTAATAAAAAAAGTTGCATTGATATATCTATTGGCCAAACATCAAACGGTTAACTCAATTTGAGCGGAGCCAAAACTTGATCCAAAGGCACCCTTCCATTTTTTGGCCACCTCTTCTTCTGTGCACTCAATTTGCCCAAAAGCTGGACAAATTCAAAAACTTTTTATATCAAAATGTAGAGGAAATCTTCAGCTTTCGAATAATGCCCATATATATCTTTTTCTTGATTTCGGTATCTTGAGAAATTTACAAAATAGTAAAAAACGTGCATTCATAACTGGACAACCCAATAACGTTTTCTAAAATGACCGGTTATTTGGTTTTGGTTTACAACCTGTATCATTTGTAGCTCCTCTGGGACAATAGAAATCTACTAATAATGAGATTTCATCGTGCTAGTTAAGTTTTCTGCTCATCTAGCTGTGTCTGTGTCATCTATGTCACTTTTATAACCCACTCTTTCCAACAAGTTCGATTACTTAGTTTACAACTTAATACTCTAGTTTGGGTAATGAGCAGAGCTCTAGTTGGATAACTTGTTGGTTGGATACTAAACAGTACTCTAGTTGGATAACTAAACAGTTTAACTGGATTAACCATAATGAACTAGTAAAGCAGTTGCGATTCCAGATCTTCCCCGAACCCTACCGCTTCAATCCGGATCGTTTCATCAATTTGGATGGCTCTTTGAAATCTTATCCTGAATTCATCCCATTTTCACTCGGGAAACGACAATGTGTGGGAGAAGGACTGGCAAAAGTGGAGCTCTTCCTCTTCTTAGCAAATCTCTATCAACAATTTATCGTAAGACTTTGAGCCTTTGTAGACATTTACAAATACAATTCTATCTTACAATTAGTATTAAACTTTGATACTCTTAATCGTGTAATATTTTCAGATAACTTCCGACATTCGTCCTTCAATCGAGAAGAAACCCGCGCAAATCATCACCGCTCAACCATTTTATTGCAATGTTGCAAGAAGATTTTCATAAATTTCGCAAAGAAGCTGTTTTCTGTAAATTGTGGTGCAAATAAAGTTGTATTTCGTTTCTTAAATTTGAAATTAAGCAAGAGTCTTTTTGCAGACAACTCCACGATAGCGCTGATCGCAGAGATTGTCATTCCATCGACCCAAATATGGCTCGGGAAGATGGATTTCCTGATCGCCTTCCCCGTAAATCGTCTTTTCAGTGTACAACTAAACTTTTCGATACGAGGATAGAGTTAAAATTTGATTTTTGATTGACTAAGATTAAAAGTTGAACTTATTGTTGAAGTTGGAAGATTTCAATGTTGACTCACTGCCATGCAATCCTCATTTACGTCATCCATTCGATCACCTGAGTCTTTCCAATTGTTCGGCTCTCCAGCGGCCCAATGCTCAAAATCAAACGGTGTTCCGTCAAGCCATTGGAATTTTCCGTCTTTCTAAACAAATCTATAAAAACTGTAAAGTTCTATCATTGACTTCTACAGGGTGACACAAAAGTTCGAAGCCACCTCGTTTTTAGGGCCAATCTTTCGAAAAACGGTTTAGAAATCCAAAAACTAGATGAAATTTCGGTCTAGAAAACATTTTTCCGCAAACTTCCTTAAATATAAGTTATAGATATTCAGTCTTATTGGCTAAATGTTTATATTCTGGCTACTGTGGCGAGTTGGCGTACACGGGGTGGCCCAAAGGCCTGGAGTCACCTCGTTTTTAGGACGAACACAATTTTTTTTGAAAAACGGTTTAGAAATTCGAGATCTAAATAAGATTTCGGTCTAGAAAACATTTTTCCGCAAAAACAGAACCTTCTAGATAGTAGATAAACCTATTTTCTTGTGAAACAACAGTTAAAACTTGAAATCCAATTACGACTCGCCAACTTTTTAGAGCGATAAGTTTGGCGGCTCAGCTTTAATCAATCTGAAATTTTGCCATTTTGCTAGAAAGAGTTTTAAAAAATAAAATTGCTCTTGACTGACTATGTTTAATTCAAAATTTCAGAAAAATCAGATGGTTTTTTGAGAGAAATTCAAGCAACCAAGCATTTGGGTTGATTCTGGCGATATATTGTCTATTAGAAGACTTGATATTTGCCTAAAATTTCCTTAAATCTTTGCAAAAGCCTTAAATTTAACATAAAATTCTTGGAATTTCTTTGCAAAAGCCAATTATCAACTTTTATAAGGAAATTCAGTGTTGGATAGTTTTTTGTTGTCTTCAAAGCTGAATTTGATCGAAAAACAAGGTGACTTTGAACTTTTGTGTCATCCTGTATTTTTCAATCAAATACTGGCATTTCAAAAAAGATATTGGAGAAAATGGATTAGAAATGGATAAGAAATTAAACATAGACTGATGGAAAGAACAAGTTGATAGACCTGAATTTGTTGGATTACTTTGTTGGATTACTTTAATTTCTGGCGATAGATTGCAAAATAAAAGACTTGATCTTTGCTTGCAAGGCCTTAAATTCAATACAAACTTACTAAAATTACAAACTTTTATAAGAATATTTAGCGTTGGATAGTTTTTTGTTAGCTTAAAAGCTGAATTTGATGTCCGAAAAACAAGGTGGCTTCGAAATTTTGTGTCATCTTGTATTCGATTACAGTAGAATAAGGTTTAAATTTTAGAGCAAGAGATTTTCAGTTTTAGGAAAGCTTTCTACTTTATTGAAACGAGACACAAATGTTTTTAGGGAAGTTTCTAGGAATTCTAGGAAAAGGAAAGTTTCTAGGAAAGCTTTAAAACTTTAAACCCTTTTGTCTCCCTAGAAATTCAAAAAGCTTTAAAACTTTAAACCCTTTTGCCTCCCAAGAGAATGGTGATTCGATCCAAGGGGAGAGCGCCGATTAAAGTTTGGTTGATCTTTGCCATCTCTAGAAAAATGCATTGAAAAGCAAATTACTTTCGCGAATTCATACCAACGATAAAATTGTTCTCTTTCTCCGAGTGGATTGACGCCATTTTTGCGTCAACGGTTGAACAGAGTTGTTGTCCTTTTTCGAAATTGGTTGGACCGGCGATCTGAAAGCTTCTACAAGTTTTCTTTGCAAATTTTCTTAGAATCTGTTTGATTAAAGATGATAAATTGATTATGGAGGGAAACTTGTAACCAAAGCAAGTACCAAGCTTGTTATACAAACCATATAGCAAGCATTCGTATCTTTGAAGTATGACCACCAATCTCCGCCACATTTATCGCAAACGATCGATTCGAAAAGAACGAGGAACACATAAAATTTCATTTTCAAAACAAAGAAAATGAAAAGATTTTTCGATAGAACGATAGAACTTTTAAACAAAAGCGTTTTTGGATCGAATTTCACTCGCGTTTTTTGATCTTTGATAAACTTTTTTTATGGCTTTCAATTTGACAAAAACAGAGGTTAAAAATTCATGAAATTAAAGAAAAAATGTGAAATATACAAAATAAGGAAATTCTGGAGTCTTTTACGAACCTCTCTTTTTTAAACCCCTTTTTTCCAGGTCTCAAACGTGCCTCGATAGCTCAGTGGGAGAGCGTTAGACTGAAGATCTAGGGGTCGCCGGTTCGATCCCGGCTCGGGGCAATTCTTTTTGCTTTTTTGTTTTAAGCTCGTTTACCTTTAATTACATAAATAACGAGCTTTTTAAATCCATGAAATGTATAAATTTGCTTTAATAATGTCTCTTATTGATGGCTTGACCGTTACACAATTATGGAAATAACAGTATTGTATTGCAATACTGTTATAGCTGTTATAGCTGTTTTAGCTACGTTATAGCTGTTATAGCTGTTCTTTTTCGATTACTAGAATTCATATTTTTAGTGGCTCGAGTTGACTAAATTGCAAAAATGACCAGATCTGTCGGATCTTTAAATCTTTGGACTAATTTTTGGTTCAAAATGTAAATTTGTTTTTTCAATGTATAAAAATGTCAAAACAAAGCAATATATTGATTGGATTTCGCAAAAAATTTACGAGTTGTTTTTCCAGATTTCTTTCGTTTCTCATTTTTCTCTCCATCTCTCTAAAACTCTCGCTTGTTGACACCAAACAAAATGCACTTTTGCCCGCCCAACAAAGTGCACCAAATGCCTCAACGAAAACGTGCGACTCTTTGTTTTTCATTGTCAAAAAGCATTTTAAGCAACAAGCTTTTAAAGCATTCAATTTGAAGTTCTCTGGAATTATCTATAAAATGTCTACAGCTCTTTGCTTGAATCGATTACGCGAGGTTTCCCCGAAATTCCGATTTGGGTCATTTCACTTTCGAAATGCACACTTTTTGGCATCGGTACCGCTGAAAAAGAGTGGACAACAGCTGGATGGGAAATTTTTGGAAGGGAAAAAGGTATTGTCTAGGATTTTTTTGTATTGGGTTATCCAGTTATGAATGCGCGTTTTTTACTATTTTGTGAATTTCTCAAGATACCGAAATCGAGAAAAAGATATATATGAGTATTATTCGAAAGCTGAAGATTTCCTCTACATTTTGATATAAAAAGTTTTTGAATTTGTCCAGCTTTTGGGCAAATTGACTGCACAGAAGAAGAGGTGGCCAAAAAATGGAAGGGTGCCTTTGGATCAAGTTTTGGCTCCGCTCAAATTGAGTTAACCGTTTGATGTTTGGCCAATAGATATATCAATGCAACTTTTTTTATTAAAATATAACAATTTCAGAGCATCTTTACTTTTCTTTTCTTTTCTGGGCGGTTATTTTACACCATAAAACTTGAGGAATAGCTAAGCTGGAATGGGTTTTTTTTTTTCGAAAATGACCTCTCCCTTTGTGCAGTCAATTTCCCAAAAAGTTGAATGAATTCAAAAACTTTTTTATTCCAAAATGTAGAGGAGATCTTCAGCTTTCGAATGATATATAACACTCATATATTGGGTTGGGGACTATGACTCGGCGCCGAAAATCAAAAAAATGTCTAAAACTTCTATTCGACTTCGTCAAATAATATGCGTTTGATATGAGTAGAATGGTTAACTAATTCTCTACAAAATGACATTTAAAAGAAAATTCAAACAGCGCCTCCGCTCAAGAAAGAGCCATTTTTTCACAAAAACTACAAACTGTCATCTAGAAAAAACCATTGGTGGGATCTTCCTGCAAATTTGGCAACTTATGTAATTGAATGTGCTCTATCTTTTTTATATAAACACCAAAGAAGGTTTATGTGAAAGAAACTGTTCAAATGATGAGTCGGGCTCTTTGCCATTTTGACTAGCTGTGTTTGGGAGTCCATAAACTCCACGAAAGAAAAGCTTTATGGAATCTCTCAAAAGTCATTTTGTAGAGAAATAGTGGATCCTTTTGATGAAACCAAAGGTATATTTAAAGAAGGCTTTATGTGTGCAAAAAGTCCCTTTAAAGTTTGGCGCCGAGTCATAGTCCCCAACCCAATACATCTTTTCGATATCTTGAGAAATTTACAAAATAGTAAAAACGCGCATTCATAACTGGACGACCCAATATTTTGAAAATCTTTACTTCAGTTTTCTTTCCAAAGAAAAAACTCTTGGTTCCAATAAACTTCACTTTCATTTCTTTTTGGTTTTTAACATTTTTCAATCTCAAATTCTAACTTTTCATAGCCATTTGATCAAATTCATTTCGAAATGATAGCCATTTGATCAAATTCATTTTGAAATCATCTAGATAAGATCTAAAAACTCTCATAGTATTACTTTGGCCTCTAAGTCCTTCGAATTACCTTTGAAAATGTTTTCAAAACTAATAGCAACTCAAAACAAAAAACGATTTGCTTTGTCAAAAAAGGTTTAAAATGCCTCTACAAAGTCGCTTTTGATAGATTTCGAAGAATTTTTTTGTTTATGAGATTTTTAAAGTGTTTAAACATGACTTTTCGCCGATCTTCCATCTCAATTTTTTGACACTTTCAAACAGAATTTTAGTATATCATTATATAAAATTTATAATTTTTAATGTCATTAGAAAAATAAAGTGGATTTCATAAGTGGTCAAATTTTCGGTCAAATCCATCAAATCGTTTTCATTTTATAGACACTGAAAGATTTTGTACAAAAATCGACTTTTGTTGGCTTTAAATAGCCATTGAGCTCTCATTGAAGTATCATTTTGAATCTTTTTCTCATTGTAAATCTTTAGCCGTTGGTCTTGTACTTCTCAGCGGGATGGTGTCCGAGCTGCCGAATGTTTACGCCGAAATTTGCGGTAGATTTATGTGATAACTCAAGAATGATATCTAATTCTAGAAATCAACATAAATAAACACCGGATTTTGATCATAAATCTAACCGTTTGAGCAATGAAACTTTAAGAAATTCTACGAAGATTTTGCGAAATCGCGAGGTCTTGAAGTGGTTTGGGTGTCAAGGGATAAAGAGGAGCAAGATTTGGAGAATTATTACGAGAAGCTCCCAGATTGGGCATATGTGCCGTTTGGAGATAAAAATATCAGGTTCGGAAAAGGGAAGACGAAAATATTAACGTTTTCTAGAGAATTGCTGCACAAGTACAATGTGAAAACGATTCCCACGTTGCGATTGGTCGACGAGAACGGAAAAGTGCTCAGTGATGAGATCAGGAAGGATATTGAGGTGGGATAAACTAGAAGTTAGAAGCTAAAAATACGGCTTTAAATTCTAATCTAATACAACAAACAATTTTCAGGACAATTGGAAAGAGCACCCGGAGAAAATCATGGAGAAATGGGAGAAATTGTATCAATGAGTACAGTGAGATTATTGTACAAAGTGTAAATCTGCATATGTGAATCTAGTTGTAGATAAAATAGCTTCGTTTCAATGCCTTGTCAAGTCTTACATAAATAAATTTCGGTTGTACTTGAGTAATTCCGGTAAGGCAGTTTTTTTGTCAAAGCTGGTGTTAAAAAGTCAAGAAGCCAGTAGTTTTACGACATTTCGGAAAAGGATTTCTTTCAGCGTGTTGGTAAAAGGCCTTCATGGTATTGCATTCAGTGTGGTCGATTGGCCGACTGGCTTAGGGCCTTGTAGTCGGGAGATCAAGGGTTCAATCCCGCCAGCTAGATTATTGTTTTTTTTATATACATGGGCTTTTTCCTTCCTAAATTTAGGCTTTTCTTTCTAAATTTTGGGCTGTTCTTTGGTTTTGTTCGTACCACATTATTCGTGTGAGTGTATTGCTTTTTTAATATTTCGATTGTCAACTGGATTCTTTCTGTAGACAACTCTCCGATATTTCCGATCACACTCATTCACTTGCAATTTTCCAGTCACTCGATTCGTTGATCCGTTCACTGGCATTGGCATTGGCATTGCCGTTCACATTGGCGGCATTCAACTAGAAAATAAGTGCTAATTCTTGATTTATGTATATCTTGCTGAGTTAGATAAGTCGAAACTTATTGTAAATTGTTTTGACAAATTTTTTAAGCCTACCGTAATACAGTTCCCAGTAGCCGTTGTCGGATTTGCCAGATTGAACCAATTCTCAAAGTCAAATGGAGCCTCGTCAGTCCACGTCCATTTCCCGTTGATCTTAACAAGTTATTTTAGCTATCAAAGCTTTTGCCAAGAAATTTTGATATTATTTACTTTCTATAATTACAATGTAAAAAAAATGCAAAAGTGTTTATCAAGAAAATCTTGAACCTTCCTTTCTGCTCCGATCAACACAGCCTCCTTGTTGTTGCTGGGACTCTCTTTCTCCTCGGGTTCTCTTGAGCAATTACTAAAATTTTATTATTTAACTAACTTTTCTTAAATAGTTTCAATTTATAAACAAATCGAGCACCATCTCGTTCTCTGTTTTCGAGTGAATCGAGGCGATTTTGGCTCCTCATGCCTTGCAGAGTTCCTTTGCCTCTGCGAAATTCAATGCGAAAAGAGTCTTCAAAAAAAAATTATAATACGAGGTTACTAGTGAGATAATTGTTAATTTATTGTTAATTTAACAATGATCTTTTGGAGATGAATGAACCAGGAATGGAAGTCTTTTATAGGGCAAAGTCAAAGGCAAATTAGTTCTTTTTACTTAAAATTCTGTAAATTCTAAGCCTAGCCAAGCAAAAAACCAAGATTTTAAGTAAAATTCAATGAAAAGAGGTTAAAATTCCAGGCTAAGCCACGCTGAAAGCCGTTTTTTTGGCGTAGCTAGTCTTATTGTTAGCTTTTGGCTTTATCGTCAGCGTTTTGATCTTTTAGAATGTTTCCTTTAGAAGATTTCGATTCGAATTTTACAAGAAGCTTATATAACTAATAATAAATCATTTACTGATCTATATAAGCTATAATCTTTCATTGATATATGATTCATTGCTGTAACTCAAAGTCAACCCACTCTAAAACAAAGATTTTTCTCCTCGCAGCCCCAATTCTCCTCGCTGAACACTACTCCAACACCAAAAATGACCGAGAATACAAAAATTGAGCTCATTGTGGAAAAAATGATGGAAATCTTAGAGTGAAAGAGTTTTTTGATCGACAATTTGAAATATTCTTGGCCTACTTCAGTTTACAAATTCGCCAGCTTGTTTGCTTTTTGTTTGCGGAGAGATGTGCAAAGCTTTTTCAAATCAATTTGTCTTTTTCGAAGCTTTATTGTATGAAAATTGACATAAAATGAGAAATTTTTATATAAAATAAGCTCATAGAGCCATCAAATTCTAGTACTTTTCCGATTTATCCGACTTTTCAGCATCGGTGATGCTTGGCTTGGTGGATGAGGCTCTAGAAATATTTCAGGCTAATTTAGTTGCTAGATTTTTAATAGTACACATATTTCTCGTACTACAGTACTAGACAATGAAATATGATATTTGAAAAACGATCGTCACTTTCGCGCGTCTGTAACTCCCTTGTCTTTGAGTTTAAACTATTAGTATGATACATTTTCTGAAAGCTCTTTTCCAGGGCTACACAATGGTAATATTAATATTTAGAAATACGGTCAAGACAAGGGAGTTACAGACGCGCGAAAGTGACGATCTTTTTTCAAATATCATATTTCATTGTCCAGTAGTGTAGGTGCCAAAAGAAAAGCCTAAAAATGTACGTTCAGAAACTGTTTTCAAAAATCGCTAATCGGTTAGTGTACCTATAACTGTGTGTTCTTGTCGAGTGAATTGATTTCGATCGAAAACCGAAAATGTGAAAAACGGCGAGACGCAGTCGTTGATTCATACAAAAGTAGACAATGCCTGGGGATCCTGTAAATTTCCTGCTTGTTTACTATCAAAGATATTGTTTTGGACACTTGAGCACTGATGATCGCTGATAGTAAACACAGAATTACACTCTTGTTCACAAGATTAGAGTGTAGCTTCGATCTGTGTTCCCAAAAGTTTAGGCAGCAGCTGGCAAATGTCTAAAAGCAGCTAGCAAATGTCTAACTTATTTCTAAAGTGGTAAAAGTCGTACAGAGTTTTGAAGTGCGGAATCTTGGCTACATTTATCTACTAAAAGCTTTTGAATTGGAGTCACACAACTCATGTGACAAGCTTTTGAGTGAGTACTACTCGGTTTCTTTCCTGCACGCTGCTATTTTTGACGATTTTCTTTATAACAGCTCTGATTGGAAACGAAAATACACTATTTCTAGTGCAAGAATGGGTGTGTTCGCAAAACAGTATTCAAACTGCATTCAAAGCCTAAAGTCCAGCACTGACCATTACTCCACTGCCAAGCCACATGCCCAACCATGATCAACTGAACTGGGAATCCCTTCCAAAAATTCATCATCACATATCCATACGAAGCAATTGCGTGAATAGAGCAAATTAGAGTCGCTTGGAGGAATAACTGAAAGCTTTTTTTCATTCACAAAACAAAAAAAGCATTAAACAAAAAGCGTTAAACACAAAAAAATCCCCAAACCTGTCGCTGAACTTTCCCAAAGGCTTGTCTAGAAAATGAGCTTTTCTTTGCCATTTTGCAACAAATATTAATATAAGCAACTGTAGCCAGAATGGCCACGATACAATTGTTGACTGTGTGCGGGAGGTTGGTATAGTCTTTCTGAAAGATTGGGATAGGATAGGCAGTGTTTATGCGCTATATTTTTCATCTTGGCATACTGTAGGGCATGATTGACATGCTCAGACTACAGTAAGGAATGCCGTTACAATCAAGTACAATGAATGCACAAGACTAACCCCACTCCCGTTGAACGGATCAAAGAACCAGGCGAGCTGTTTTGATGTGAACATCCCCGCTGGACTCAATAATGACATGAAACTGCCCCAAAGGAATGGCAAGGTGAGCGTCAGGTAGATTCGATTTCCCTAAAAGTCTAATTGAAAAACTACTGATGAAACAAATTCACCTGAAAGATTTGAACCAAAATCCACGTCTGGGATAGTTCACTGAATCGATTCAGAGCGAGCAAGATGACCAAAACACAGGAACCCGACCAAAGCCCTAGAGAGCAAGATTTTAATTCTTCAAATACCGTATTTATTCTATAGGGTGCGTCACCTCTCTTACAATAGAATTTAGCTGTTCTCCAAGGAAAACTCTTCTAAATTTTTTATTTTCTTTGTTCTAACATTTGCTGTTTTCACCGAAAAAAAAAGTTTAATTTAGTGATGGCAAAGCGTAATCTTCACAGAGCTTCGATCATCGACTTGCAAGCCAAAGGCTATGAGACACGTGAGATTGTTCGACGTCTAGGAGTCGATAGAAGTGTTGTGATTCGCGCACTTAAACGATACAAGAAGCTTGGCACTTTAAACGACCACCCTGGACGAGGACGAGAACGAGGACGAGAAACAAGAAAACCGTTACCATCAAAGTTAATCTCAAGAGGGTCCGCGAAAAGATCAGGCACAACCCCGCGCGTTCCATTCGTGAAATGGCTTGTGAAATGAGAATCAATGAAACGTCAGTGTCGAATTGTTTGGAAACATCTTAAACTTAAAGGCTACAAGAAAAATACCATAAAAGCCCTAATGAACGGCCACTCTATTTGACGGTCACTCTCCAATAGCCTGGCCACTCTCCAATAGCCTGGCCACTCTCCAATAGCCTGGCCACTCTCCAATAGCCTGGCCACTCTCCAATCTCCAATAGCCGACGGCCTGATTCCTCGAAATATTGACTTTTTAAGACATTTTTTTAGTGAAAGTTGTAAATATGGGTCCAAATAGAAGTTTTTTAGCATTGGGAGTAAAAATAGAAATGTGTTTTTCCGAAAAAACTCATGTGGGAGACCATGTTTGAAAGATTCTTAAGGGGGTTCAGGTGAGAAAATATTTTCACTTTTAAACGTGTTTTCTGTGTGTTTTGAACTAAGAACTATCGTTTAAAATAGTTTTGAACGCTTTTAAAATTTTTGATTCATTTGGGGGACCCTCATCTATTTTTTCGGGCGGTCGATTTTGAGGGGCCATGGCCGTCTATTAGAGTTTTTACGGTAGATGTCAAGGGTTATCGGTAGCTCAAAAAATCTGCTAAAGATGGAAGCCAAGACCTGCTGAATCGTTTCCCGGAACAAGCTCAGGCAGCATTCTCTTTACTGATGAGATATTCACAGTTCAACAAACTCTTAATAGGCAAAATGATCGAGTATACGCTGCTTCCACAGGTTTCTGTTTCGGGGTGCACACCCTGATTCAGTAATGGTTTAGAGTTTTTACGGTAGATGTCAAGGATTATCGACAGCTCAAAAAATCTGCCGTAAAGACCGAAGCCAAGACCTGCTGAATCGTTTCCCGGAACAAGCTCATCGCAGCATTCTCTTACTGATGAGAAGTTATTCACAGTTCAACAAACTCTTAATAAGCAAAATGATCGAGTATACGCTGCTTCCAATACACAGTTTTCTGTTTCGCACACCCTGATTCAGATGGTTTTCGCAGGGGTAACAGCCGATGGACAAACACCTCTTTGTTTTGTTCCGTAAGGCGTTAAAGTCAATAGCCAAGGTTATCTCAATCTTCCCAAGAATAAGCTGCTTCCCTAAGCACAGAGCCACTTCAGAAGACGTACTTTTGGGAGATTGAAAAATAGAAGCACATTTGCTTCTATTTGGTAGTTTGCTTGTCGTAATATAATCAAGAATACTGTAGTTATTTATATAGCGATTCTGGTGCAAAATTTTTGATATATAGGTTTGGATTAGCGGATTAGACCAGATTAGCGGTTTTCACTAGATCAGTGAGATCCATTAGCTACAGATCTTTCGCTCAGATCTTTCGCTAATCAAAAATGGTACGCAAAGTATCTTGGATCGTCCAATCTAGTGTCATTCTGTTTGTCGTTTCAAACTCTTTTGATTAAAAAACATCTTGTACACTGGTTTTGTACACATTTTTGTTTTCTTTAGATTTCGAAAATCACATTTCCCCACACTCACCAACTCCAATACTTCCGCCCAAATAGACGAGTCTCGGATGAGTGCAAAAGACTCCACCCACAAAGCACAAGTACCTAAAGTACAAGCGAAGATTTTTAATCTATCAAATCATATACTTTTTTCCGATTTTTGAGATTTAGAATCAAAATGGGAAACTTTCTGATTTTGATTGCAGGTCTCAGGTGATTTAAGAAATTAAAATAAAATAATTAGCTGCCCAAGTTTGATCAAAAATCGAGAGTCTACCCCGTAATGTATGAGTTGACAACAATCGAAGAAATGTCGAAGAAACCCATTGTGAACATGATTTTGTAGCAACCATGTTTTTTGATTAAACCACTTGTCACCATTCCAATTAAACAAGAGGCGTAAATTGTCTAAAAAAAAAATTCCGTATTTGTTATACCAGTTCTTTTGCGTAAATTGTTTCATCTTCAAATATTGAAGTCAAAGTCAAATTGTTTAAAGTCAAATTAAGAAATTTCAGAAAACTAAGAGCTGAACTTGTAGTTATAACAGATTTCAAGCTCGGGACACAATTGAGCTCGTGAATAGGATAGTGTCAACAAATTTTGTGGTGTCCTTCCAGTTAATGGATGAATGTAGCATCAACTTTTTCTGTTTTCCAAGCTTTTAACTCACAATCATCACTGTCGCTGTGAGGTAGAAGTAGACAGCAAAATAGGGTCGACGAATCCCTTGTGCGTACCAGTAAGCTGTAAATTGGGATCTCTGAGAACTGGAATCACACTTAACTACAATCTACAACACTTAACAGCACTAAAATCTTTAAAAAAATTAAGATTCTTACCCATCGTATGATTTGTGCACGAGTACCACTCTGGGTCCGGTCCACCATGCACAATATAGGAATACAAACCAGCCATTTGGATCTTCGAGAGTAAACCTAAATTTTAAGTTTCATTCACGCAAATAATATGGTACAAAACATCCACAAGCACAACTCCTAAGCCCTAAATATAGGGGGAAAAAACCCATATATATATCTGTTATGAATCCGATCTACGTTCGGATCCGATTCGGACGTCTAAATCCGATCCGGACGTCTAAATCCGATCCGAACGTCCAAATCTGATCCGGCGGACGTCCAAATCTGATCCGGCGGACGTCCAAATCTGATCCGGCGGACGTCCAAATCTGATCCGGCGGACGTCAAAATCTGATCCGGCGGACGTCCAAATCCGATCCGGCGGACGTCCAAATCCGATTTAAACTTAATTGTTTTCCCAACGGCAATGCTATTTTGGCTTTAAGTTAATTATTTCTAAATATATTCTTGTAATTTTGATATCATTTGATGCAGAATTTAATTTTCTATCAAATGATGCTAAATTTACAGGAAATTGTTGAGTAATACCAACATATAACCCAAACAGGCTAGATTACCGTTGACAAAGCAATTAAGCTTGATCGGATTCGGACATAACATATATAGATGGGAAAAACGAACCAATAATCTGGCCGTCGGGATTGAACCTATGACCTCCCGACTAAGATAAAGGGCTCTTTGCTAGTTAGCCTCTTACTAGTTACTAGTTAGCCATTTTATGGAATAAATTTCAGATAAATTTTCTAAAAGGCATCAGACATCTGAAAAGCATTGCAAAAAACTACCAAATTTTAGAAAAAGAGTTACCTTGAAACAGCTCCATCACAATCAAAATTAGAAGTAAGAATGAAACTAATGAAATGAGAATGTAGGGTGTATTATTCTTGTACCAAACAAAACAATTAATGAGAATTCACTTGATTCTTTGAAGGAGAAAAGAAAGAAAAGGTATTGTTTTATGATTTTAGAGATTTTCAGAGAAAAATATTGACTATCTTGCTTCAAATTTGCAAAAGAAAGAAAACGATTTGTAGATACTTGTAGACTATTTAAACCCATAAATTCTAAAATAATTTAAATAAAATCGAAAAGATTTCCTAGTGAATTTGATAAAGCATTAAGCGAAAAGCTTTCTGGAAATGATCTGTGGCTATTTTGCTCTTTTATAGCTATTTTGAGCTGTAATTGACTTTTTGCGGACTTTTTGAACTTCCTTTTGCAAAAATCTGAAGTAATTGTTTTTAGAGAAAGCCTAATTGACGAAATAATAACTTAGAATGTTATGAAAGATACCGAATTTAGGCATCTTTGGAGTCTGTATAGGTATTGAAATGTGTTTCGTATTAGAAAATAGTGAGAACTAAAATTGTGAAGCAGAAAACTGAAAAAAGTTGGGAAAAAGTTGGGAAAAAAGTGATCTTTAGAGTGATTTTCATAAGGATTTCATAAGAATTTCATAAGACACTAGAATGAAGCATTCGACTGGCTTTTATAAGATTTTAAAAACATGGAATGAGTTCTCGTTTTTCATCGTCGACTCAAGTGTAATTTAAGCCTATTTTAATTGTTTTCCGCAAAAAAAAAGACAATAGAATTACGGTAGCTTACACATCAAATAGTAATTGCTCCAATTATGATTGAAAATGGGAAAGTTTTATGCTGTGCATATAAAAGATACCGGATTTAGGTATCTTTGGAGTCTGTATAGGTATAGGCAAAAAGCCCAATCAGGGACACAAAAATGACTGTTTTTGGAGTCTGTATAGGTATTTAAATGTGTTTCGTATTAGAAAATAGTGAGAACGAAAATTGTGAAGCAGAAAACTGAAAAAAGTTGGGAAAAAGTTGGGAAAAAAGTGATCTTTAGAGTGATTTTCATAAGGATTTCATAAGAATTTCATAAGACACTAGAATGAAGCATTCGACTTGCTTTTATAAGATATGTGTTTTATATTAGAAAACAATGAGAAATCAAATTATGAAGCAGAAAACTGGAAAAAGTTGGTTAAAAGTTGGGGAAAAGTGATCTTTACAGTGATTTTCATTAGCTCATTCTAGATCGAATTTCAATGCTTTTATGTTTTTAAGATGAAGATTTTCCTCATAATTAGTACAATTTTCCGATAGAAAACAAATCATTAAATGAATTTTAATGCTTTTAATGTAAACGAATACTTTCTAGTGCATTTGATTCTAGTTTTCTTGCATAAACGGCTTTTCTTGCTTAAACGGCTCGTTGGCGTAAGAGAAAATGAGGCAGTGCGCTAGAGTATTGCGCTAGAGTATTGCGCTAGAGTATTGCGCTAGAGTATTGCGCTAGAGTATTGCGCTAGAGTATTGCGCTAGAGTATTGCGCTAGAGTATTGCGCTAGAGTATTGCGCTAGAGTATTGCGCTAGAGTATTGCGCTAGAGTATTGCGCTAGAGTATTGCGCTAGAGTAAGTTTACATTTTTGCGCACAAATTACCCACAAAACTGCTTTTACATAAGATTTTAACAATCCGACTGGTCGATTTTAGCTCAAAAAAAGATAGATATATTTGAATGTTCACAAAATTAGTACTGTTCGCGTTTAAACTTTGAACTTTCGAGTGATTGGTCTCAAGAGAACAAATTCTTATTGAATTCTTATGAATTTTTAGTTTTCCAAAACCGAATCCCGATCTTAAACATACTACACAAAAAGAACAATGGAATTTGGTAGACAATTCTGAGGTAATCCCTGTAAAAGAGTGGTTTCTGATACCTGAAAATTTCCATGAAAAATGCGTTTTATTGTCTTTTGTAGGTAAGTGATATCCATTGTTCTTGTGATTAGCCTAAAAATGAGAAAAGAAAAGTGTAATCGAATCAAAAATTTTTAGGATAATGTCGTCTACAAGAAATCATTATATGGAATCAAAGTCGAACATTTTTTTTGTTTTCTTTCGCTTCGGGGTCTACAAATTTGCTTTGTCCATAAATTGAATGAATCTCAACATTCAGTCAAATACTCAAGGATATTCAAAAATGAATTTCCCAAAAGTCAGGCCAAAAACCAGGCCCGAATTCTTGCCTAAACTTTCATAGAAGTATTGAAAGCCAGAAGCCAAAGCTGAAACTGAATTTTGTCTTTTCTGGCTTTGGCTTTGGCCTGACCTAGCTGAAAAGCCCAAGTCAGGTTTTACTGCTTTATTACAAGAGCTGTTCCATTGTTAATAAAGAGTGAAGACACAGGCTAATCACTAAATTGAATCAGGCAAGAGATAGCTCTTCCGGTACCTGTTTATCTTTTCCGGATATGAGGAATGATATGTGGAACTATCGGTAAGTGATGAGTTAAATTGCAAAATTGAGTATGGCCTACAAAGAGTTAATTTGTAAAATTTAGTATGGCCTGGTTCTTCAGTCTTAATCTAATTGTATAGCTGGCCTGTTCCGATTTACTTTTAGCTAAATAGAAAGAGGAACACAAGTTTCGCAAATTTTGTGCCTAAAAATGTTTTGAGCTAACAATATCAATTTTTATCAGTAGTTTATTTGTTACTTTGTCAAATTGATAATAAAAAAGTGAGGGAATGGCAAAGAAAAAGAGGAAATTGAACTTCCGGAGAGGAAATTGAACCCTCAACCTTTTGCTTTCAAGGCAATTGATCTAACTACTGAGTTAATCGGTACTTTAACTTGCCAATAGAAAGAGGGAAAGACAAGGAGGAAGAAGAAAGGAAGAAGGAAATACCCGGGTCTTCATAAGCCATAAGTACTGTTTGATATTTAAAGCTTTAGGGCTTAGATTGCATTCTGCATTTGTCATGCGAATTTGTTGCGGGGAAAAGATAAACAAATCCTCTTTTTTTCCGAGCGCAAACGGTTCAAGTCGACTTTGGTATCAAGATACCATACGGTCTTATGCGATCAAATAAAATCAATGATGAGATGCTGATGAAATAAAAACTAAATTGGAGATCATTTAGTTGTTTTTGCTTTAAAACTTTTAATCAATTTGATTGCTGACAAAAATTCTCGGATTTTTGTTGTCAACAGAGATCTGAATTAAGTCGAGTATTCACAAATTACTCTACACGAGCATCAAAAATTTCTTTCTGAATGAAACATAGTGAAATCAAATCCCTAGAGATTAAATCACATGAGTAGAAAAAAGAAAATGAACAAAAAATAAATAGAGCAAATTTAAAGACAAAAAATTGATAAACCCTGAAACCGGATGGACAATTTGACAAAAAATGATCAGAAAATGGTTGATTAAAATTGTTTTTTCGAAAAATAGAAACTCTGGTTCTCACACCAATTTCAAAAAAGCGTAAACATCGGTCAAGTCTGATGTTTATGAGAGACAGTGAGGTACGAGAGACATTTTTCGTACCATGAGAATTGTTAAAAGTGCCATGAGAAAATTATTTTGAGTTTTTGAGTAAAAAGAAAAACAACCAAAAGCACAAAGCAAAATTCAAAGCGCTTTTTAGGAAAAGCTACGTACTAGAGTACCTATGTTCCTATCAAATGAGACGCTTTCTAAAACATGTCAACTTTCGGAAACTACCGTACACTTGCCTTTAGTTTTTATTTAATCTATTTTAAGTTTGATTCTATGAGGATTCACGAAGGATATTGAAGATACAAAACGTAAAAGTCTAGGTTAATAGACTCATCTAAAATTCGGAATCATGCTTATCGATTAATGCTCGCGATTAATCGAGTGAAAATTACTCATGCGAGTTTTCCTCGAGTAATTATTTACTTACAAGGAACACACTCTAGTATTTATTCTATGCTATTCACATATGTGCTTTTATTTTTTAAAAGAAAACACAACCACACATCTTGAAAAGCTTCGTAACGAGATCTTTGTTTAAATTCACTGGAAAAAAAATCTCAATTAGAGCACAAAACACTTGGAATTTCTGTTTTTTTTCCCATTTTTCAGATCTTGAACAATCAACATAGATTTTCAGAAGAATGGCGTAAAATGGAAGAACTAGAGATCTTTAAGATCGGTCTTTCCTCGTTAATAATAAAATGAAGAATTTTTAAATCAAAATTTGACCTTCATTTGATGTGACTTTTCTTGATCAAAACTTTACACTTTTAAGCCAAAGTGTTTATTAGAGCACACCTTTTTATAAAACTTTCCCATTTCCCACGATAATTGAAGCAATTAATATTAGATGTGTCATGAAAAGCGTGCCAAGTTTCGAAAGATATTGTAACTTTGGCTTTACATGTACTCTACTTTGGCTTTACATGTACATGGAATTCACATATGTGCGTCTATTTTTCAAAAGAAAACACAAACACACATCTTGAAAGACTTCGTAACGAGATCTTTGTTTAAATTCACTGGAAGAAATCTCAATTAGAGCACAAAACACTTGGAATTTCTGCTTTTTTCTCATTTTTCAGATCTTGAACAATCAACATAGATTGTCAGAAGAATGACGTAAAATGGAAAAATGAGAGATCTTTAAGAATTGAAATTTTCTCTACATTTCTCTTTTCTCGGTCTTTCCTCGTTAAGAATGAAATTAAGAATTTTTAAATCAAATTTGACCTTCATTTGATGTGACTTTCCTTGATCAAAACTTGCGCTTTTAAGCCAAAGTGTTTATTAGAGCACACCTTTTTATAAAACTTTCGCATTTCCCACCATAATTGAAGCAATTAATATTAGATGTGTCGTGAAAAACGTACCAATTTTCGAAAGATCCTTTAACTTTGGCTTTACATGTACTCTAACATGGAATCTGGAATGCTCTATAGAATAAGCAAGCTTTATTGAATCTGAAATGCTCTAGGCAAGCTTTATAGAATCGATTTTTCGGCTCTTTTTCGGCTCTATTTCGACTAGACTTTTCTAACGGTGAATTTAACGATAAATGGTAAATAAGGGTAAACTAAACAAAATTGTTCATTCATCGTTTACCGTTAAAGATTTGGTGTAACTTTAGGTGTAATTTCATTAAGGATCTTAACGATAAACGGTTAAACAAGTCTAATTTCGAATATTTGGTTTAGAAGACCCAGCGAATCGCTTATTTCGTTTATAAGCATGATTCCGAACTTTAGATGAGTCTATTAACCTAGTCTTTTACGTTTTGTATCTTCAATATCCTTCGTGAATCCTCACAGAATCAAACTTAAAGTAGATTGAATATAGAACATTCCAGATTCCATGTTAGAGTAGATGTAAAGCCAAAGTTACAATATCTTTCGAAACTTGGCACGCTTTTCACGGCACATCTAATATTAATTCTTTCAATTATGGTGGGAAATGGGGAAGTTTTATAAAAAGCTGTGCTCTAATAAACACTTTGGCTTAAAAGTGTAAAGTTTTGATCAAGAAAAGTCACATCCAAACGTGAAGGTCAAATTTTGATTTAAAAATTCTTCATTTTATTATTAACGAGGAAAGACCGAGAAAAGATCAAATGTAGAGAAAATTTCAATTCTTAAAGATCTCTCATTTTTCCATTTACGCCATTCTTCTGAAAATCTATGTTGATTGTTCAAGATCTGAAAAATGGGAAAAAAAACAGAAATTCCAAGTGTTTTGTGCTCTAATTGAGATTTCTTCCAGTGAATTTAAACAAAGATCTCGTTACGAAGCTTTTCAAGATGTGTGGTTGTGTTTTCTTTTAAAAAATAAAAGCACATATGTGAATAGCATAGAATAAATACTAGAGTGTGTTCCTTGTAAGTAAATAACTACTCGAGGAAAACTCGCATGAGTAATTTTCACTCGATTAATCGCGAGGCGGTCAAAATAGCGCCTTGTATAAACGACAAAAATAGCTCCTCCGCGATGGACTTTCTATGTGTTTCTTTTTCTTATTGAAAGCAGAATAAAATTATCTATATTTTGCATACTTTGAGATCACTTTAAAGAGACTTGATGTCGAGAAAAGCTCAGTTAACCACTTTTTTTGAGCTCTTTTTCGTTTTTTGGCATTTTCTCATCCCAGATTTGTTCTAACTGGCTTCAAAAAAATTCAGCATCTATCTACCGTAAATACTGTAATAGTACCCCACCCCCCTCGTACAGTCGCGTAGTCGCAAAAGTTTTTTAGTATTTCATTTTTTTCAAAGCGCCCGTACTTCCAAAAAAATGCGTCTTTGCTATCAAAAAATAACCCTGAATTTCAGCTATTTTTTGATACCTAAGCGCACATTGTAGCATAAACCAGTGTCGAGAAAAACTCGTTCAAAGCTAGACTACGCAACACTCCGCACCGTCATTATGGTGGTGGGGTCCAATTACAGTATTTACGGTAATTGTTTTTCTACATTCAATGAAAATAAGAAACAAAAATCAACTTTACCGTAAACGCATTATTTTTGCTGGCGCTATTTTGAACAGCTTGCGGCTAATCGAGTTTTTTTGGTCAAGTAACTACGAGTAACCCTCTTTACACGTCGGGTTGATTGAATATCTTTATATTTGAAGGGAACTTGCCATCAAATCATTTAAACGGCTAAATATCTTTCCATTTGAAGGGAAATCTGTCATTAAATCATTTAAATAACTAAATATCTTTAAAAGAAGTCGTATATAAGGCGACGCTCGTGATTTTTGCACCAATTTTCTTGCAATATTTTTTGCTAAAAGTACGGCAATTTTTACTAAGTTTAAAAAACGCATTACTCGCGAGTAAAACACTCTAATAAATACGATATTTTAAGAAGCATATTCTGGCTTTCAGCTCAAGATTTTTCATGTTTGAAGTAAATGAGAAAAGTTTCTTAGGAAATTTTAGAAAACAAAATTTTCACAAAAAAAATTAAAACATTTATTTACTAACAATACAATTATTCAATTTACTCTATTCTTTTGTAGAATTTACTTCAAATGAAATTTCTGAGCAAACTTCTGGCACAGTGGATCGCGTGTTGAACCATTGAGAGTTGCTCGGCCAATTCGCGATCAATTTCCGCGTATTCGGATGTTGAAGTTGAATTGGAGAATTTTGAGATCTGAGATTGAGTTGACTATTCTGTAAATTTGTTAACTTTTTGATACCAAATCATAAATCGGTCCGAAAACCCGGGCATAGTAGCGATTTTTCGGGTCAATCGAGTAAAGCACATGTCGATTGTCGGGTCTTCCGGGTAAACCACGGGCATTGAAAAAGCATCTTTCTAGTCTGAAATCAGCTTTGTTCCAATGTTTTTTGCCTGAATCAATTATTTAAGCCATTGTTTCCAGTTCTTAAAGGAAGTTTAAACGATTTCTAGGACCTAGGCCGGTCAAATGGTGGTTTCCGAGGTGGTTTTTGGCCAAATGATATGAGCTATATATTATTCGATGCAGAATTTTACACTGATTCCAAATCTGTTTTCCGTTTCTGAAATGGAGCACTCTATCAAAAGTTATAAGCGTATAAAGTTTTGTTATTTGAATTTCAAAAATCAAGTCGTTAGTTAGTTCATAAGGGATTGCCCAGGCACTGAAAAAGTGTCATGGTGAAAGTGAGCTTGAGTCCAAGGCAGGGCCTCTTGGATTCGAGTCCGCAGTTGAACTTTTGCTTTTGCTTTTACTAGATTTGAATAGTTTATGTGTTTGAACACAATTGTCAAAGCCAAGCCAGTGCCAGAACTTTGCTATTTTTAAATAGCAACATTTAAAACAATCTTGCACTTTCTCTCTTCGACTCTATCCCTCTAAAATGTAAATTTAGTATTGTAGATCGCGCAGTGCCCAGATTTCTCTAACTCTAACTTTCCTTACTTCATCAAATGATCATTGATCAATGTCGGTTTCCCCGAATTTTCAGCTTCTCGATGAAAATCCATTGATCGACTCATAAAGTCGAGGGTGGCTTTCTTCAAGAATATCAGCTGCACAAAAGTGTCATTGAGAAACTAAGCAAATCTTGTAATTGATAAAAAGTTGCTGAAACTTTGCTATTCTCTAATTCGTTCAACTGTTTTTCCAAATTCGGGATATAATCCTGAAAGAGGGCGAGAGCTGTCCGTGTTGCGTTGATGGGAATGATGCGCGCGTCGGCGAAACGAAACGCGTATTGAGCCCAGATTTGAGCGGTGGCGCGATGAGTCTGAAAAGAAAACAATTCTAAAAACAATTGTTGTATTGCTTAAAAACTAAAAATTTTTGATTTAAAGGTTAAGCTGAAAGTGTATGGAACAAGTTAATCTACCGTAAATACTGTAATAGTACCCCATCCCCATAATGACGGTGCGGAGTGTTGTGTAGTCTAGCTTTGAACGAGTTTTTCTCGACACTGGTTTATGCTAGAATGCGCGCTTAGGTATCAAAAAATAGCCCTGAATTTCAACTATTTTTTGATATCAAAGACGTTGAAAAAAATGAAATACTAAAAAACTTTTGCGACTACGCGACTGTACGAGGGGGGTGGGGTACTATTACATTATTTACGGTAACCATTTAAATTTTAGATATGCTCAAGCAGCTTGGCTAATCAATTAGCAGTAGACATGGGAAAATTCTAACCCGAAGCCAATTCCATCTTTGTTTTTTTGGCCGATTCTTGGCCGATTGCCCTGAAAGTTTATCTACAGATAGAAATCGACATTTTCAATTTGTGGACAAAATTTCAGAGCAACCGGTCAAGAAAGAGAGAAAATGAAGGTGGAATTAGTTTCGAGTTGGAATTTCCTCATATCTAGTTAAAAGTAGGTTCTGATATGCAAATTACGATTCATATTTTACACATTTTCTTCTTTGTTTCTTTGGAAGTTTTTCTAAAAACTCTTTAAAATCGAGTTATCGTAAAATTCAGAAGTGAACTTAGATTTATGTTGAACAATGTAGTTAGTAGTTAAGTAGTAGTAGTAACTAGTAGTTAAGGCTAGTAACTAACTAGTATTTAGTAGTTAAGGCGAACTTTTCAAAGATCAAGAGTTCAATTCCGATTACGGAAAATTCAACTTTATACTCTTCATACAGCAATTTTGAAATTCTAAAACACAATTTTGGTTTCTGAGTACCGAGAAATTCTGCGTTTCTGCGTAGCCGCCCAGCCAAAGCCAAATGTTACGTAAGAAATTTGAGGCATGTTTTCAAATCGTTAAATCAAAATTTTTCGTCTCAAGCGCTAAATCGAGAGTCGATCGAAAGTTGTAGTACCTTTAACACATTAACGATCAGGCGGTTTTTCATACAAAAGCCCGCGACTCAAAAAAAATCGTCGTAAATTTTATTTGATAAAAACCGTTTTATCGTTATTATTAGATTAAATATATTTTTATAATTTAAATATATTTATATAATTATAAAACCCATAAGCTAAGTGTACATACAACTTTACAGACCAGCGTGATGGAGCATGAACTCACATAAACCTATTGGGTTGGGGACTATGACTCGGCGCCGAAATTTAAAGAAACTTTTTGCACCCATAAAACCTTCTTTAAATATACCTTTGGTTTCATCAAAAGGATCCACTATTTCTCTACAAAATGACTTTTGAGAGATTCCATAAAGCTTTTCTTTCGTGGAGTTTATGGACTCCCAAACACAGCTAGTCAAAATGGCAAAGTGTCCGACTCCTCGTTTGAACAGTTTCTTCCACATAAACCTTCTTTGGTTTCTACATAAAAAAGATAGAGTATACTCAATTGCATAAGTTGCCAAATTTACAGGAAGATCCCTCCAACCGTTTTCGCTAGGTCACAGTTTATAGATTTTATGAAAAAATGGCCTTTTGTTGAGTTGAGGCGCTGTTTGAGTTCTCTTTTAAATATTATTTTGTAGAGAATTAGTTACCCTTCTACGGATATCAAACGCATATCATTTGACAAAGTCTGCTATAAGTTTTAGAAACTTCTTTCATTTTCGGCGCCGACTCATTCTCCCCAACCCAATAAAATCCATTGAAAAACTTTCTTAGACTACCGCTGGTCTAACGGTCGTCAATGTATTAAGCATTCAAATTCTAACAAGCACTTTTACAAATATTAATCATAATTGTTTCTAAGCAAATTCTCCCAAGCTAAGACAAGGCTTTCTCTTCAAGCAACTCTAGTACGTACCGAGAAATTCTGCGTTTCTGCGTAGCCGCCCAGCCAAAGCCAAACGTTACTTAGGGAATTTGAGGCATGTTTTCAAATCGTTAAATCAAAATTTTTCGTCGAACTCAAGCGAATCGCTAAATCGAGAGTCGATCGAAAGTTGTAGTAACTTTAACACATTGACAATCACGCGGCTTTTCATACAAGAGCCTTTCATACCATAATTGTTTCTAAGCAAATTCTCCCAAGCCAAGACAAGGCTTTCTTTTCAAGCAACTCTAGTACCTACCGAGAAATTGTGGCGATCCATCAGCTGCTCATTGACATAAGGCGTCTCATACATTGTGTGATATAAGGGGTTTCTGGTGTCCGGATTCTAAAATTATTATCAAACTTGAAAAACAATTCCAATTGCTAACCCAAAATTGAAAGCTGATTGTGGGCACGGTGAGGTAGTGCAAGAAAGGCGAATGATCGGTGTTCCCGCCTGGGAAACTCATTGAGGGTCTCTCGGGATGTGCCTCATCACGTGCATAGTGCATCCTAGAAAATGAATAGCTCGATTCTGCGACCCCGAAAACCCTGAGTATAAATTTCTAGCTGAATATCTTCTTTTTGTTTTTGTTTTTGTTACAAATTCTACATCATACATCCTTTATTGAGTAACACTTTCAATTTGAAATTTGTTAATCTATTGGGTTGGTGAATTGAAAACTGCCGGCCATTGTCATATGTGACAGTTTGAGCACTTTCTTCAAAAGAAACCCATTTTGGTGTCAATGGAGAAGTTGTAGAGAATCAAAAATCAAGCTTATATTCAAATTTTCAGAACGATTCAAAAACTGGTTTGCAAGAAATGCTAAATTTACGAGTTTTCACAAAGCTTGCATTTTAAGCGAAACTATTGGGTTGGGGAGAATGAGTCGGCGCCGAAAATGAAAAAAATGTCTAAAACTTCTATTCGACTTCGTCAAATAATATGCGTTTGATATCAGTAGAATGGTTAACTAATTCTCTACAAAATGACATTTAAAAGAAAATTCAAACAGCGCCTCCGCTCAAGAAAAAGCCATTTTTTCACAAAAACTACAAACTGTCATCTAGAAAAAAACCATTGGTGGGATCTTCCTGCAAATTTGGCAACCTAAGTAATTGAATGTGCTCTATCTTTTTTATATAAACACCAAAGAAGGTTTAGCACAAAGTGCACTTTAAAACACTTTCGCTTAAACACTTTCGCTTACCAAGTGTCAAAAACAGTTGCCCGTCCGAGTTTCTTCTCATTTCCGTTCGGGTTCTCAACTCTTTTCGCTGCTTTCATTGTCACATCATACAATGATGGAATCGTGTCAACATCGCTAAAGCTTTGATTTTTGAAATAATCTTTAAAATTTACAGTGTAAGATTCCCGCTTAGACAATCCATATTGAGATAAACGATAGCTCGATCCATTAAATGTTGTGTGTACTCTTCAACAAATTCAGTTGATCCGATCAAGCCGAATTCCTCAGAGTCCCAATTTGCGAACAGAATCGTTCTAGCTAAAAGAAATACCTTTTTAATTGTAAACTTTGGATTGTAACTTTGGTTTGTAGAGATTTTAAGCTTTTGACTTTTTAAAATACGATTTTAGAAAAGTTATAAACTACTGTAGTTCCGTAAGGTTAAAGTTATAAACTACTGTAGTTCTGTAAAGCTAAAGCTATAAACTACTGTAGTTCCGTAAAGCTATTGTAATCGTGGGTGTGTATAGTGCTCAAGGCATTGTTGATGTGTATAGTTGCCTGCTCAAGACTCATTCTAAACTCTTCAAGGCTTGAAAAAGTGAAGATCACTAAGAATCGAATACGACGGTAGTTGTTCTCAGCTTTTAGAAACCTTTTTCAACAATTGGGCTCTGAAGTTGCGGGTAGAACGTCGTCCAAACATTTCCGTTAGTTCGGAAAGCTCGGGTTAGTTCGGAAAACTCGTCAGGTAGAACTCTCAAGGATCCAGTTTTGCTCAGTTTAGAAATGGGATATCCCTATTATCAAAGAGTGGAAATAATTTTATACTGAAGATGTGCAAATAGAGCAATCAATTGGTTTAGCTTTTCCATAATTAACCTACCCGGTCTCCATCCAGTCTCATTCACAACTTGCATCATTGCCCGAGCCAATTCGGTCATGATCGATGTACCACTGTTTGGATCAAGACTACCGTAGACCTAAAGTGTAATTAATGTGTCGATAGCTGAATGAAATTCATTAGCAAAATCCTTTTTAACTTTCCTTACCCAAGCATCGAAATGATTGCCAAGAATGACGTACTTGTCGGGTTCCTCGTGGCCTTTAATGTACCCAATGACATTTTGAATGGTTCTAAAATCATTTAGCAATAAGAACTTCAATTTTTGCTAACCTTGTCTCAAAAGTAGCTTGAACCTCGACGGTGACGGTGATATTGTGAAGGAGATTTGGGCCGAAACGGTAAACCGTCTCCAGATCGCCCTAGCTAATTGATGATGTTTTGGTTTTAACAATGAGATCAATAGAAAGATTCTGATCAATTCTGATTTGATTTGCATTTTAAAAGATTAGTTTTACTGCTTGCTGCTGCTTGCTACTTAACTCCGCCCGTTTTTAAGTCTGTTTGCCGTTGGCAATCCACGAATTTTGATCGTCCCTTGATCGGCTTTGTTTGTAAAAAGTTGAATTTGCTTTCATTCGTTAGAGAATTTAATTTCAAGCTTTGCTACAGGTTAAACCTCTACAGGTTACTGCTACAGGTTAAACCTACAGGTTAAGCCCACAAGAAGTGCTCAAACCGCCAAAAGCCGGATCTTACCTGGCTGACAGGGTGGCTTACAGGGTGTTCAAGAATTACGGACACTTTTTCTCTTGTGTTTAGCTCCGCCTAGAGTTAACCGTTCCCTATAAAACTTTTTTGGTAGAGTTTACTTCTTATTTTCAACACTTTCCTTCGATACTTCGATACTTTGCTAACTTTACATAAAATCTGATGAGCCTTACGATCAAGGATCGAGGTTCCAACCGGGCTCTGGAGCTGTACAAGGTGTTCAAGGATTCCGGGCACTTTTTCTCTTGTATTTAGCTCCGCCTAGAGTTAACCGTTCCGTATAAAACTTTTTTTTGGTAGAATTTACTGCTTATTTTCAACACTTTCCTTCGAAACTTTACTCAGAAACGCAAAATTATCTATTCTATAGAATTCTTCTATAGAATTCTATAGAACTTCAAATCTCGAAGTCTCCAAAACTGAGAGGCGGCTCCTTGTGACCAAATTTTAAACTTAAAGAACTACTTTAATGACTACCCGATCATGGATTAAACACTTGTAAAAATCTAAATTATAAACTTGGAAAACCGAAGTTGTTTTCTATTCTTTGAATAGTAATTATTTATGTTCAAAATTAGGTCACTAGGAGCCGCGTCCCAGAGGCTCTCGAGTTTTGAAGTTTTTTGCTTATTGCTAATTGCTAATTTTCAGTTTCTGAGTAAAGTATCGAAGTAAAGTGTTGAAAAAAAGCAGTAAATTTTACAAAAAGTTTTATGGGGATGGGTTAACTCTAGGGGGAGCTAAATACAAGAGAAAAAGTGCCCGGAATCATTGAACAACTTGTACAGCTCCAGAGCCCGGTTGGAACCTCGATCCTTGATCGTAAGGCTCATCAGATTTTATGTAAAGTTTGCAAATTGTAAGTATCCTGATCTTAGTATATAATATTATTCTTGTAATAAAATTTTAACAGCCAAAAGTTCCAACTTGCCAAGGCCCAGGCACTTTCGGTCCGCAGAGGCGCGACAAAATCTCGTAAGCTGTTGTGTAAGGAATTGGTAGAGCAGGGATTTTTGGGAGATCACCACTTTCACGAAGCTAGAATTGGAATAGATTTTAGATTTTTATTATTTAACCCCATCAATGGTCTTTGTTCGATAGATTCCGGGTTTCGATGGATAGAGTGGAGTGAGTGGGTCACCGCTGATCGAGTTGAGGAGGAAACCCCGTTGCACGGCCTCGTGCGGCATCCAAACCGAGTGCGGATAGACTTTTTCTGAAAACGCATTCAGTACTTTCAATTTCTGATTTCAAAAACGCAAACCATCATCGTCTCCATCTTTCGCAACATCTTGTGGATCCGAGTACAAGATCACCCCGATTGCGCCATATTTCTGAGCATTGGACACCTTGGCGCCGCGGAAGAGTTTCCCGTAACGGATTAAAGCAATGTTGCCCTGAAATGGTAGCAATTTTCAAGCTTAAGAAGATCTAAAAATATCTTATCTTAATTTTTATCAACTAGGTATACTTGAATCCAAAATCAACCAAAACCAAAACTCAAAACCAAAGAAATTCAGGGCTAGTCGATCAACCGGTGGTCAAACTTTTACTGGGAAAAGGCACGAGCTCAAGATCAGTTTTTATCTGGACACTCAATGCACTTTATAGAATCGGTTAGGAGAAATCCGAACCTGAAATCAAAATCTGCCAAATGACTATCCAAACTTCAATCAAAATTGTAAAACTTCAATGAATGTTTGGCGTCAAAACGAATGCTTTAAAAGGCTCTTTCCTAGCGGAAAAACGATGAGTTAGTGGCCTAGTGGCCTAGTGGCCTAGTTAGTGGCCTAGTGGCCTAGTTAGTGGCCTAGTGGCCTAGTTAGTGGCCTAGTGGCCTAGTTAGTGGCCTAGTGGCCTAGTTAGTGGCCTAGTGGCCTAGTTAGTGGCCTAGTGGCCTAGTTAGTGGCCTAGTGGCCTAGTTAGTGGCCTAGTGGCCTAGTTAGTGGCCTAGTGGCCTAGTTAGTGACCTAGTTAGTGACCTAGTGGCCTAGTTAGTGGCCTAGTGCCCTAGTTAGTGGCCTAGTGGCCTAGTTAGTGGCCTAGTGGCCTAGTTAGTGACCTAGTTAGTGACCTAGTGGCCTAGTTAGTGGCCTAGTGCCCTAGTTAGTGGCCTAGTGGCCTAGTTAGTGGCCTAGTGGCCTAGTTAGTGGCCTAGTGGCCTAGTTAGTGGCCTAGTGGAAGTTAGGCTCCCGCCCGTCAGCTCAGAGTTCTGCCTGACTTAGTTTCTTTTTTTGTTTTTCTTTTGAAGCAACTTCTAGCATTTTTCAGCTAACTTTGGAAAGTCATTTGGCAGATTTTGCTTTCAGATTTTGATTCCTCATACGGTTCTAGCGCTTATATTTGTCTAATCCTTTCACTTGTCTTCCTTTCACCTTCACAGAGATCCCAATATCCTCTAGTTCATCAAAATCTTCTTCCGTTCCCCGATTGCAAAACACGATGTTCCCAGTGACTGTGCCGGGTGCCGACCAAGCAAGAAACTGATTTCCAGCATCTAAATTGCTAGAAATGGATTTGTATGTGTTGTGTCCGATTTAGATTTCCGTCCGATTTAGATTGAATCTAAATCGGACGTCCGATTTAGATTGAACTTATCGCGGACGTCCGATTTAGATTACAGTCTATATCGGACGACTCAATCTAAATCGGACGTCTTATATAGATTGAACAATAATATAAACATGTTTAGTATATGTTCTTAAGCGTTTTCTGTAGTTTTCTGCATTTTCAAAGGTCTTTTATTGATTATTTCATAGTTGGGTTTTCTTTTCAGAAAAAGACAGTAACAGACCTTTGAAAAATGCAGAAAACTACAGAAAACGCTTAAGAACATATATTAAACATGTTTATATTATTGTTTAATCTATATAAGACGTCCGATTTAGATTGAGTCTAAATCGGACGTCCGATATAGACTGTAATCTAAATCGGATGTCCGCGATAAGTTCAATCTAAATCGGACGTCCGATTTAGATTCAATCTAAATCGGACGGAAATCTAAATCGGACACAACATATGGATAACTAAAATTATATTTAGTTATCCAGGTATCCAGGGATTTAGATTAATCCCAGTTTTCGTTAATAAAATAAAAAAAATCTCACGAGGATCCGCCTGTTCCTCTTCAAGGATGACCGGCTCGATTCCGAGTCTCTCAAATACCACAGAGCCATTCGGGAACTTCAGGGAAATCTAAGCATTGACTTTTTATAGTTAGAGCTAGGTATTGATATGCACAATAGCTATGCATTAAAATTAAAATTCATCTAGCTGAAGCGAAAGACCTTGTTTGGTTCACTCCACTTGGGATAGGTGAGCATCACCTCATAGGGAACCTGTCGAACATCTAAAATCACAATTTTTTGCACAATTTTAGATGATTTTCATTTGCAAGAGAATCAGCTTTATTAGCAGTTTGCTAGAGAATCAGCTTTATTTGCAGTTTGCAAGAGAATCAGCTTTATTTGCAGTTTGCAAGAGAATCAGCTTTATTAGCAGTTTGCAAGAGAATCAGCTTTATTTGCAGTTTGCTAGAGAATCAGCTTTATTTGCAGCTCGCAAGAGAATCAGCTTTATTTGCAGTTTGCAAGAGAATCAGCTTTATTAATTCTCAGCATACCTTCAAGTCCAAAATGTTTCCAAAGAGATTCAATCGTGTCGGCGACTTCTTTCTGATTTTTTGTTCCTGCCATGTGCGGCTTTTTAGTGAACATTCGCAGGTATTTCTGAATTGAATAATAAACATTTATTTGTTTTAAATGCTTTCAAATTGTTCAAATTTCTTTCCAATGCTCACCTTGATATTGTCCGGATTGATGGCGGCGTTGATTTCAGCTAAAGTTTGTTTTATTGTGATGTTTTTAAAAGTACTGCTTGATTTACCTAGTTGAATTGCCGATTAAACAAAAACTAACGGGGGTGGGACAAATGCGACCTTTTTTTTTGCGCACCTGGACATTTGCGCACCTTTTTTTTGCTGGAAAAGGCCTTAGGAAAGGTCGTAGAGCTTCAAAAATGTTTTCATAGGAGGAAATCGTATGCGTAGATTCCCTTATATGGAAATATTTTCGAAGCTCTACGACCTTGCCTAAGGCCTTTTCCAGCAAAAAAAAGGTGCGCAAATGTCCAGGTGCGCAAAAAAAGGTCGCATTTGTCCCACCCCCAAACTAACTGAAACTAAAGCTCATAATAGCTTTAGTTTATGAAAATAGATTGAAAATAGATTGAAAATAGATAGAACATATTATTCAGGGTGCGCCAAAAGTTTAGCTACGTACTTTTGCTAGTTTTGCTACGCAAACTCAAGCCAAATTTACATAAAATCAAAAAAGAAAACTAATTCAGAAAATTTAACAATAGATGTTCCAAAATGAATGAAATGAAATGCTCAAAATGTTCTCCGTTTGCTTCAATACACTTGCTGAGTCGCTTTCGAAATATGACCGCTCAATCGATCACCGAAATCTCACTCCAAGTCCGACTCAAAGCGACCATGAGCTACGCTAAATATGGCCGCTCAATCGATCACCGAAATCTCACTCCAAGTCCGACACAAAGCGACCCTGAGCTGTCCAACCAATGTGTATCTTGTACTGGAGCTACGGCTCTTAACCTACTCGATTTCCCATATTCAGTGATCTGTGATTATCTCAGAAATTTGCTTCACCCTTTTTATGGAGCTCGATGATCATTATCAGTGTCGACCTTCATCCTCTGAGCACACCTTTTGCAGGTTTAAAATTGTTTTTAACTGTTTAAAAGTAATACAAAAAGGCAAACATAAAACATAAAACATAAAAAAGGCATAATCGTAATTTAAAATACAAAACGGCAGAAGATATAAGGTAGCAGAACTTTTGTGATTGTAGATAGCCTGTAGTTAGCCATTACATATCTTACAGCATGCCCAAATGTTATTCTTCAGCTAACAAGGTTGAATACTTTTCGACATCAATATCAAGAATCTCTTTTAAACTCTTTACTAAAGCCAAAAACATCTACAAGCCAAAACTTTAGTTTACATTAGTGTTGATCTTTTCCTAGCTATGTAGAATTAGGCTATATTTTATATTACAGTAATCTTTACAACAACGGCAGAAACTACTCGGTTTACTGTAATCTTAACGAGGTTGGTTACGGTGGGGTTGGTTACGGTGGGGTTGGTTACGGTGGGGTTGGTTACGGTGGGGTTGGTTACGGTGGGGTTGGTTACGGTGGGGTTGGTTACGGTGGGGTTGGTTACGGTGGGGTTGGTTACGGTGGGGTTGGTTACGGTGGGGTTGGTTGCGGTGGGGTTGGTTGCGGTAGGGTTGGTTGCGGTAGGGTTGGTTGCGGTAGGGTTGGTTGCGGTAGCCGAGTCACTAGTAAGAGCACCTACTCTAGGCGACGCTCGATTAAAGTTTGCACGTGAAAAGTTGAAGTTGAGTTAAAGAAACGTTTAAAGTTTGCGTGATAAGGGAAAGGCATTGAGTCAAGCTAGCCTTTTGACTCGAAACCAAGTCCATCTTATAGAGTCGGCCAGAGTAAATTTCGGACTTAAGAAATACTTAAAGAAGACTCCTTAAGAAGCCACCACACGCTCCCTCAACAACTGCTTCGGTGGCCTAGTGAATGTGCCAGACTGGCCAGACTGGCCAGACTACCGAACTTGCTATACTTTTATCCCCATGTTCTAGTCCCACTCTCGCCAAACTTTTTTACATTTTTAAAAACGCTTTGCTTACTTTTTCTATGCCAAAAATCTCCCATTTGCAAAACGTTCTGCAAAAAATAAAAACGGATTCGAGATCCCCATAGCCGACTCTATAGGATGGACTTGGTCTCGAGGCTAAATGCCAGCTGCTTTTCCTTTGTAAGATCAAAGCAAGAACCTATTAGATTAAAAAAGGAACTGTATTGGAATCGTATTGGAACCGTATTGGAACCGTATTAGATCAAAATAGGAACCGTATTCGAACCGTATTGGAACCGTATTGAGATATCCACTTACCAAAAGGTGTCGGAACAAACACTTTCTCAACCACATCTCTATCCTCCGGTGAGCAAGTTTTTCGCGCCAAAAAATTCGACAACACCACAATCACAAAAAGCATAAAAACCGAGGCGGTGATGCCCCAGAAAAGCTTTTTGCTTCGACTTTTCGAGTCCTCTCTATGCAACTCTAAGTTCTTTCTTTATTTCCAAAAATCGAAAAAATTCACCAACCTTTTTCTAAATTCACCATTTTAGTCAGAAAATTTCGAAAAATTGAACTAAATTTTTGATTTTTGCGTTGACAAAACGCAAATCGCGGATTTGCATAAATTTTCGGATCACGAAAATGATTTTCAGATGATTTTCAGTCTTTTTTCAGCCCATTTTTGAGCTCATTTTCAAACTAACTGTGCCATTTTTATGTTTGAAATTGAGAGAATCGAATAATTTTTTATTTTTTTCACAAAAATCTTTCACAAAAATCTTCACAAAAGGCAAAATATGTTGAAAAAGGAAAGCACCGATGTGAGAATGGAGAAAAGTTGAATTGCGAACTTTTTCAAACCGTCGTAGCCGACCGGATAGGAGTCTTGTCTCCTATCCGGGGTTCGATAGGAGACAAGACTCCTATCTGGTCAAAGGTCAAAGGTACCTATAGGAGGTCAAAGGTTCGATCCCGGTGGCCAGAAAAATTGGTTCTTTTCCCATCATTATGGGTCTTTTCTTAACGACATTTGGGTAACTAGGCGTAACTAGGGGTAAAAAATTTCTTCCGTTGTGTTGTAATTCATTATTCGTGTCGAATAAATATACTTTTAAACGCTGATTTGGGATAGTTTCTCGAAAGAGTGTTCCAACTACGGTAACCCGGTTCAGATTTTACCGGTCTAATCGCTTCTTGATTTCCTATACCAAGTAATCTTTACGGTCTATCAGCTACATGGGTTACTGTAGCTAGTAGACGTCACAGTAACCCATTTAAGACTACAGTAGTCGTATCGTGGACAAGAAAAAATTCCAAAATTCCAAGCCGAACCCAATTTCACCTTCGTTTTCTCAGCCATTGCTCTGAAATTTTTATCTACAAGTAGAGAATGTCAATTTCTATCTGTAAGCAAAATTTCAGATCAATCGGTCAAGAGATGGCTGAGAAAACGACAGTGGAATTAGGTTCGGCTAAATATTGGAAAATTCCAAACCGCACCTAATTCCACATTCGTTGTCTCAGCCATCTCTTAGCCGATTGCTCTGGAATTTTATCTACAAGTAAAGAATGTCAATTTCTATTTTTAAACAAAATTTCAGATCAATCGGCCAAGAGACGGCTGAGAAAACGACAGTGGAATTAGGTTCGGCTTGGAATTTTCCAATATTTATCGTATCAAATAATCAAAAAATGAATATCATTGTGGAATCTTCTCCTTTTGTTGAATAGTAAAAGCATTGACGGTTTGAATTGTATTTCCAAGTGTCATCCTTCTCATCGATTCCCTTTCGACGGTTATTGAGGTAATCTTTCTTGTTGTCAGCTCTCCCCTCCACAAAATGCCAACCAACTCGCCGCGAAGTGATCTAAAAGTTCGCTTTACATAAACTCTGTCAAAAAATTATAGACGCAGTTTGTTTAACAATTTATTCTATTGAGAAGTGTTACCGTAAATACTGTAATAGTACCCCACCCCCATAATGACGGTGCGGAGTGTTGCGTAGTCTAGCTTTAAACGAGTTTTTCTCGACACTGGTTTATGCTACAATGCGCGCTTAGGTATCAAAAAGTAGCCCTGAATTTCAGCTATTTTTTGATACCAAAGACGCATTTTTTGAAAGTACGGGCGCTTTGAAAAAGAATGAAATACTAAAAAACTTTTGCGACTGTACGAGGAGGGTGGGGTACTATTATAGTATTTACGGTAGATATATTTCAGCTATGCTACAAATATTATTTGCTGCTTTTATTGCATTATACTTGTTCTACGAGTTTTATTGGGAAAGAAGAATTTTCCCGCCAACCAACTCGCCGCGAAGTGATCTAAAAGTTCGCTTTACATAAACTCTGTCAAAAAATTATAGACGCAGAAATTCCTTTTCCAAAAAAAAAACTTTTGTGAACTTTGCTTTGTGCTCTCATTAATGAGATTCGGAGTTGAATTTTTCCAAGAAAAAGTCCTTTTTTTAGTTGATTGAATTTCGCGGTACTTGTCTTTGATTGCTGACAAACCAGGAAATAAAAATGAGTTCTCAAATTGTTTAGCTGTTGGAATGGGCGAAAGAAAGTTCTTAGAATAGCCAAGCCTAGGAGTTTATGGCTTGTACTTGCCTGTACTTTGTGTGAATCAAATTCATTTTCTTTTGATACTAAGACTACTAAACGGAGAAATTGAGTACACCAGGAAGGGTGGGTTTCTAGTTTTTGAGCACAAAGTACAGACTATCGCAATGAAATGGAGGAATTGAGCTGCACGAAACTGTGAAGCCCGGAAAGCAAAAAGGTCGAGGGTTCAATCCCCTCTCTTTGCCATCTTTCTTTGCCATTCTGGTGAACCGGTTAACTGTTCTGGGGAACCTGTTCTTTTTGCACTCACCGATTAAAGATGAACAACACTCCGGGCTCCTGGGAACACTGGAGTACCCATAGGAGTTGAGAGACAAAATTGATGGCCACTGCTCCGGTTGGAGTCGAGCCATCCGCGTACGGCAATACCACCTCCCAGCCGACGAAACAGCAAACCGAGCAGCAAAATGTGACGAGTAACTGAAAGGTTTTTTTTGCAAGATTTGTAGTTATTGTATCATAGCCTTAAAGCTTCAACTAGAACTAAATAACTCTACCAAAATTGCAGCAGTAGCCATTCCTTCTCTTTCTTGCTTTCTTTCTTCTTGCTTTCTTTCTTCCCCCTTGTATTTCCTCTTTCTTCCTCTTTCTAGATCCGGATCGCTCAGTGGTTAGAGTATTTCCCCGGAAAGCAAAAAGGTCGAGGGTTCAATCCCCTCTCCGGAAATCTTTCTTTTCCATTCTTACTTTACTTTAATACCAAGAAGGCTTGCAAATATTGTTAATTTCCCTACAATTCTCTACATTTACAATCTTTATACCAAACAAATTTAAATAAACATTAATTTATGATAAGAAAAGCCTTTATTGGTTCAGTTATCGATGCTAGATTGGCATGGAAACAGATAAATGGACTATGAGAGACAGCTGAATTGAAATAAAAGTCCAACCGAACTGTGGTGTCCGTTTTCTTTCAAAATTTACGATCAAACAAAAAACAAACCTGTATCGTAATTGCGAGATCGGCTTTCTTGAGTTTTCTCTTGTGAAAAAACAACAATGGACTGATCACTCCATAGCTCAACGCTCCAGCGATTAACGAGATATAATTACAAGTGATTCGGATCTGATTTGTGATTTGAGAGAATATCCATTGTTTGTTGAATTTGAGGAAAAGGATCTGAACTTGGTTTAGAAAGGAAATTTGGGATTTTTACCTCATGCGGTGAAAAGTAGGCAGCTCCGTTTGGGATGTAGTCCTTAACAGTGACAAAGAGGAAGAGAAAAAAGTCACAGAAAAGGATTAGCTAAAATTTTTGTGTAAATAATATCTAGTAGTTAAATTTTATCAATATCTTTGTCAACTTGAAGTTTTTTAAGCCTTAGAAACTACTGGTCAATGTACAGGGTGATCAAGAATCACCGCAACAACTTTTTTGGAAAAGTATCTGGCAAACGCCTAACTTATTTTAGAAGTATCAAGTGTTATACAGAGAATTGTAGGCCTAATTCTCGGCAACATTTATTTACCAAAAACATCCCGATTGGACTTATAGAACTCATTTGACAAGCGCTTGAATGGGCGCTAGTCGACATCTCACCGGCGAATCTGTCATTTGGCCGCTTTTCTCGTGCAAAATTATCCGTAAAAACCTTAGATTTGAGTATTTATTGCTTTTTCGAAGTTCTAAAAAAGCCAACTTTGGATTTCTAGGTCAATTCTATCGCGTGTCGTTTTCTTTTCGTTATTTCTTGAAACCTACCTTGCTTGCTTCTTGCTTATAGAATAAACAAGCTTTATAGAATCTGAAATGCTCTAGGCAAGCTTTATACAGGGTGACCAAGAATCACCGCAACAACTTTTTGGAAAAGTATCTGGGAAATGTCTAATTTATTTCAAAAGTGGCAAATGTTATACAGTGAATTGTAGGCCTAATTCTCGGCAACATTTATCTACCGAAAACATCCCGATTGGACTTATACAACTCATTTAACAAGCGCTTGAATGAGCGCTAGTCGACATCTCTCCGGCGAATCTGTCATTTGGCCCTGTAGATTCTCGTTTGCAGAGTCTTGTCAGCTAACTTGGGACCAAATTTGCATTTAAAGTTACAATTGCAGCTTACGGCGGTGTAGTGATCGTACTGTTATAAAACTGACCAAATAAAAAGCTCGAGGCACATTTTTTGAGGTATACGGAAAAGCGACGAGAATCATTCGATGCAAAGCGATCACACCACGCAAAAGATCCGACGCAAAACAAGCCGCATAACCGGTAGCTATCGTTAGCTGAATATCGATTAATAATTCAATAAAAACTATAATAACTATAAACTATAAACTATAATAACTGTCAAATAATAGCACAGAAATGCTTGAACACTCAATGTTTACAGACAAATATCGTATTGAACTATGGAAAACAATTTGCTAGGTTTCAAAAAGGTTTTTCGCGCTCTGAAAAAGGCTCTGAAAATCGCTGAACGTTAACCGCTTTACTAGATTGGACTTATCTCGATATTCAGTTTATACATTTTAAAATAGCTTCCTTTAAAACAAACTATAGAGAATGGAGGTCCATCATCGGCTACTAGTGTCACCACAGCAGCCATTGTATGCGAAATCATTTGAATCAAATTTAGGACACACAATTGAGCAAGAACATAATAGAAGAAAGTATTCTGAAGGTCAGTGGTGTGACGGAGAGCAACCTGGAAATTGAATAAGAATTAAAGACGTTTATGCTTTGAATCAGGTTGTTGATTGACCGCAAATAATAAAGAAGGAAAGGAATTGGCAAGAGAAAGTAGATTTCCGGAGAGGGGATTAAACCCTCGACCTTTTTGCTTTTCGGGTAAATGCTCTAACCACTGAGCTATCCGGTACTTTAAGTTGCCAAGAGAAAAAAGGAAAAACAAGAGGAAGAAGATAGGAAGAAAGAAAGATTGGCAAGACAAGCAAGAGAAGAAAGAAAGAAGAAAATACCCGGGTATTCATAAGCCATAAGTTTAGTACTGTTTTATATTTAAAGATTTAGAGCTTTTAGCTTAAAAACTTACAATAAGCATCCCAGCATTGATCGGGAAACCCATGAGAGCGGCAAATAGTTGGGGTAATCCGTATCCAAGTTTATGTGCGAGGTCTAATGGTGGATATTCGGGTGGAGAGGTGGGATGTGGTGGAAACCATAGCCAGGAGAGATCGGTGGTTGTGACGGTGTTGATGGGGCTGTCCGCCATCTAGAAAAACCAAGCATTTTATAAGTAAAATTCAGGAAAAGTAAGCAAAAATGACATAAATGACAGGAAATCGAAAAAGAATGGTGCCCAGAAGGATTCACGACAAAACGTTCAGGATCTGAGCAAGCATTCATAGTGATTTTGTCGGAATTTTGTCTGAAAACATGTCTAATCTTTCTAAACAAAGAAATACTGTAATATAAATACTGTAATATTTACAGGATTACACTTTGAATCCATGCTGAACAGAAAGCTGGCAGAATTTCTTAAAAATAACCATAATAAACAAAAAAATGATCAATCTACTATATATAAAAGAGCTATGTCTGTCTGTCTGTCTGTCTGTCTGCCTGTATGTCTGTCTGTCTGTGCGCAATACTCCTCCGCAGCCAGTGACCCGTTTCAATGTGTCAATGTGATTAATGAGTCAATGTGATTAAAAGCACAAGTTTTAGCCTTATTTCTACCAAAATAAGCTGTTTTCAAGAGCTTTAAAACCAAAAGCATTCAAAGAAAAGTATTTGATTAGGCAGTGAGTACATAGAAGCAAAGGAAATCAATCTATTATATATAAAAGAGCTATGTCTGTCTGTCTGTCTGTCTGTCTGTCTGTCTGTCTGTCTGTCTATCTGTCTGTCTGTCTGTCTGTATGTCTGTCTCTCTATCTGTCTATCTGTCTGTCTGTCTGTCTGTGCGCAATACTCCTCCGCAACCAGTGGGCCGTTTCAAATAGTTAGTTTGGCTTAGAATTCCATGGATTTGTGCAAGATGTTTTTAAATTTTTTAAATCAAAAGTGCCGACGCGGGTGGGAGTCGAACCCGGGTCGTGTGGGCTAGAGACAGTGCTCACATTGCGCCAGTGGTTAACGCCAAGTGGCCGAGTGGTTAACGCGTGAGTCTTTCAAACGAACGAAAGGGAGAAGTCGCTGGTTTGACTCCTCTCGCGTCCAATTCTTTTGCTTTTTTTTGCTGCGGAGCTGCTGGTTCAAATAAAAGTGTTATGCAATGCATGTTTTTTCAGAAATGAACTACTGAATCTAGTCATACATCTATGGTCAAAATCAAATCAAAACCCCGATAATTGGGTTGGATAAAAGCTATTTCTTCAACTTCTCAATATGTTGGAAAAGGAAGAAATACTTTGTGGCTATAAATTTCGACTAAATCTTGTCTGATGAGTGTGAGAAGATTGGCTAAATTGGTAAATGTTGGGGAATTTGTATTTGTATTTAACAAGTATTGAATCTATCAGGGAAAGTAGTAAAAAAATTGTTCTTGAGAGAAATGGGGTTGATATTTGAGGTGTTCAATGCGTACAGAGACCAAAAAAGGCAACGGTTGAATGCAAAAAGTCCAATTTCAGTGGGTTGTTAAAATGACGAGAGAGTTAACAGCTACCATAATAACTCTAATAGAACGGGCCCTACAGGAGCGTCTCGTAGTCTAAATTTACTCTCAAACAAACGCTCATATCTCGACACTAGTACGTTTGTTTCTGTGCGCTTGGGTATCAAATTAAAGTAGAAAAGATGGGTGATTTTTCGAGATATAACAAAAATATTTTTAGCATTAACCAACGCTTAGAAAAAATGATTTAAAAGTGTCGAAAAACGAAAAGTGTCTTTTTGTGTCGAAAATCAGTGTGCTCAAAACAAGCGTTTCGCTTGAATGTTTTTGCATGGAATAATGAAAAAGGACTTCGGTTCCTTACTGTTGGTTTCGGAATTGGATTAATGATTAAGAGGGACCAACGGGGGCATGCGTACCGCTACGCGAGAGGTGAAATTCATGGACCGTAGCGTGACGAACTAAAGCGAAAGCATTTGCCAAGAATGTTCCAATACGGTTCTTTTTAGATCCAATACGGTTCTTTTTAGATCCAATACGGTTCTTTTTAGATCCAATACGATTCCAATACGGTTCCAATACGGTTCCAATACGGTTCCAATATCGAAAAGTGTCTTTTTTGCCATAACATATATTTCGTGTCACAATTGTCGATCAATTATATGATTTCGAAATATTCTAGAACAAGTAACTAGTCAATAAAATCATTACAAAGATTACAGAACAAAAAAAAATCAGTAAAAATGATTGAGCAGCTGGTTTGATGTAGCGAAAAGCGTACAGAGATGGTAATGGTTGAATGCAAAAAGAGAAATAAGAGAAAAAGGTAATGCTTGATTGCAAAAAGTCCATTTTCAGTGAGTTTAAATGTCTATACTTATCGTTTTATCGATTAATTGTAAAAAAACCTATACTTTAAATGTCTATACTAAGTCAAAAGAATTGAAAAACGAAATATTTGAACGATTTCTTTACCGAGTTCAAAGTCTGAAAAGATTAATTGTAAAAAAGAAGGGAATAGATTTTTTTCAAATTGTAAAGCGCACATTTACGCAAATGCGAGAGGAAAGAGCCGAAAATTGGACATTCGGGGAGGGAATTTCGGGAAAAAACCGATCATTAAATTTATTCGCAATTGTTTCTCGTAAAAAATGCGGCTAATCGCTTTGGATAAATGTAGTTTTGTCCACAAAACATAATAGGTTTAGGGTACGAAAAGTTTTTAAATGCAAGAAACTCTGAAAATCTCTGAGTTCCTCTGTTATACATATTTTTTTTGTTTTTCTTAAGCCTGAGTTGAAAGCTTCAATTCCTGGGCAAGCTCCACATGTGTCTGGCGGTGGGGGAGAGGCTGTGACAAACCTTCGTCGTCTTATGCAAGAAGTGCAGGACATCAAGGTTGTTAATCTTTTGATAATGCCGTTAATTCATTTATTGTTTAGATTGAACGTGAGCGCTATGAGAAAGAATTGAAAGCTGTGAATTCGCAATTGTCAATTATTCGCAATTGTTTCTCGTAAAAAATGCGGCTAATCGCTTTGGATAAATGGATAAATGTAGTTTTTCCACAAAACATAATGGGTTTAGGGTACGAAAAGTTTTTAAATGCAAGAAACTCTGAAAATCTTTGAGAAAATTCAAAACGGTCACGTTGAAAAACGTTTGAAATCAATTTTAGGCCAAATTTTTGATGCATAGACTTTTCAAAAGCCTTTTCAAAACAAATTTATGCAAGAAACAGAATTACAAAGCATTTCTCAATAGCAATAAGTTTAAAGAAACACTTTTGAGCAAACTTTCCTGGTTGGACTCAAGGGAATTCGAGAAAATTGGCTATTTGCGTGAGATCTAGTCTGTTTTTGTGCAAACAGTCCAGTTTAATGTCTAAATTTCATCAATTTTAAGATGGGTTTAAAAAATTGAAACGACACAAGCACAAGAATTTTAATTATACCTTGTGACGCAATGGGGCGGTAGTATGGGATAGAAATCGGGAATTCGATTGGATTTGGTCTGAGAGATCCGGTTTTCGAAAGATTCGCTTGCAAGGTTGGATAAAAATTCTTACAACTAATATAAATTATATAGAAAACCGTTTCTTCAAGGTTTGTCGCTGATTTGGCCTTGCATCAGTTAACGGGTCTAACAATAAAACTAGTTTGTCGACCAGGTCAACTTGCATGGTCATTAGCTCAATTACAACCTACCATAAATACTGTAATAGTCCCCCACCGCCCTCGCAGAGTCGCGTAGTCGCAAAAGTTTTTTAGTATTTCGTTTTTTTCAAAGCGCCCGTACTTTCAAAAAATGCGTCTTTGGTATCAAAACATAACTGAAATTCAGGGCTATTTTTTAATACCTAAGCGAGCATAATCAATATAATATCAATAATCAATATAATATATCAAGATTGATCAAGCAGACGATTTTGATCAGCATTAATTAATGCGGTAAAAGTACAACTTCGGAAAAGGTTACCTGGCGGGAAATTTCTTCTTTTCCAATAAGACGCCCGTACTTTCAAAAAATACGTCTTTGGTATCAAAAAATAGCTGAAATTCAGGGCTATTTTTTGATACCGAAGCGCGCATTGTATCATAAACCAGTGTCGAGAAAAACTCGTTCAAAGCTAGACTACGCAACACTCCGCACCGTCATTATGGGGGTGGGGTACTATTACAGTTTACGGTAGTATTATGCAGGGTGACCGCAGCGACCCACTTCTGAGGATCTAGCTCAGGGAGAACTCAATGAATCCGGATGAAATTTTTGGAGATGATTTTTTAGTATGTCTCTTGTGGCCAAGCCAATTTTCTAACTTTTTGGTGCTTCTAGAATCTTTATATGACCTTGGAAAGTTGAGAGTCGCGGTACACCTCACAAAAAATTCAATTTGTTTTTGAGAGCCATTTTTGAAGTTATTTAATGAATATAATCACGTTTAAGACGAAAAAAAGATCAAACAGATTAAACAAAAGATCAAATGCCTCATAGAAATTCTTTTTTGATACCACATAAACTAGTGTCAAGAAAAACTCGTTCAAAGCTAGACTACGCAGCGCTCCGCATCGTCATTATGGCGGTACTATTACAGTATTTTAAGTAGGCTATGTTTAAAGTGTCACAAGGTTGTAAAAAAATATGACCTGAACTGAAAATATTGACCTGGTTGAGCCTTGACTCAGATCTAAGCTGTCCCTGGCCTGGTCTGACCCGATTTAACCCTCAAATAAGATGACGGGATTTTACCGTTTGAAACATTCATGCCTTGCCCCGACTTGAATTGACTTTTGGAAGATTTTTGATGAAATTGGGAAAAGCGGATCCGTTAAACGTAAACAACATCAGTATACGGTAACCTGTATTGTATCGAATTTGATGTAAATCTAAAGCAGGCATAAAAGTAAAACTTTATGTAGAGTTTCCATCAGAGCTGTCTGAATGATGACGATACCGTTTAGAGGAATTTATGAAGGAAAAAGTTTATTTCAGTGACCTCGCGGACAGGTGTTTTCGATCTCCAATTCCTCATTTAGAATTTTAAATCAAACCACCAAAAGCCTCATTTCCATACACTAAAAAATGATAAGGAAATAAAAATTGTGATCACAAATCTGTGGGGTAAAAATAGGTTTAGTGGAGAATTTGATATGTACTTTTGCACACAGTAAATTGTGCATAAAAAAATTAGATGAAACAAAGAGAAACTTTCTGTTTTTGAACTTACAAGAACCAAGAACCAAGTCTTCTGATTAACCTAAAGCTAACCTAGCTAACTACAAGGTCCGAGAAAAGTATTGTCGCGTCTCTTTGAACTAACTTTTATGCGATTCAAAAGTATCCTTTTACGTTGTTTCAAACATGAGTTTTGTCCAGTTTTTTTCCTCTTTAGAATGGTGCATGGCATTCAATGTGTATTTTTAGAAATGCAAGCTTGCCCTCATCGAGAAGCGATCGCTATGCTTTTGAAAGCCGGAGAGTCGAAGGCGGCCATCTCGCGAAAGCTCAAAACCAACATCAGAAGTGTTCAACGGTTTGCCAAACAATCGAAAGAGAAAGGTCACGTCAAGGAGAAGCCGAGGCTGTAGCTAAAGCTAACCTTCTGTGACCACACCCATGAGATTGCGATATCCAATTTTTGGACGATCGACTGGATCAATGGCAATTCGTCTCCCACATTTAGAGGTTGAAAGCTAAGCTCATACAGTTAAGCACAAAACAACTAGGTACCTATTAGAACAGATAAGAAGTGCAAAAAAGAAAACAAACCGCTGTTTAGAAGCTAGTAACATCTTTTCAGCTTGTTTTCCTTGGCCAGCTCGAGCGCCTTCATGCCGGGTTGCCAAAAGTGATTGCCTCTATTCTGGTTAGCTAAATCGAATTCTCGTGTAACCAAATTAACTTGCTTGGTCCCGTGGTGACGCTCAGGATAGTAGCTCAGGATAGCTTCAGGATAGTAGTGGCGACTCTTCAATTGATGGGCTTTGATGGCCTTGGTTGAGTCGAAGAGCTGGTGACATTTGAGGTTGATTTTCTGCATGGCATCGCGAAGCTTCAGGTGCTTGTCGAGATCCAAGTCTCGTTGATAGGTGGGCGGCTTTGCGATGACTTGGGCGCATCTCGGGCAGGCCGGAAAAGGGCGGACCGGGTAGTCGAACACGAAGAGGATTGGGCCGTCGCTTTGCTTGGAAGTGGAGGCCACTTCTTCGACTGGCTTGCTCGAGCTGTTGACATTGTTCTCTCTGCCCCTCCTACTTGTGGGAAATCGAGCAGTTGCTTCATCGTCTTGGGTCGGAGTGGCTTGCGAAGAGGCGGCTCGGGCCCGGCTTTGCTTGGTTTGTTTCGATGGAAGGGAAGAGGCGGAGCCGGACATCTTTTTCTTCGTTGGCCTATCAGATTTATTTTCCATCAGAGGTGGAGGAGGCTTCTAGGAGGCGGCTCGAGTTGATCTTCTTGTTTTTGAAGTGGAGCAATATTCTTTTAAAGGAATATTTCTTCAATCAATGTGGTACAAACAAAAACTCGATACTTTGTCTTGACCTACTAGGGTTATGGAAACGATTAGCTTTAAGTATCGACAATTTTGTCGGACCACCTGGAACAAAGGATCACACTATTTGGATGATTTTTGATTTTGCCAAAATTCTTTATTATGTGTTGCATAACAATATAAAAAGAATTTATTAGAAATTATTATTAAATATAGGGAATTGGATATATACATAGACAACTAAAAAACTTCAAAATAAACAATTTTTTGATTTAAACAAAAGGAAACTTATTAGAGGGTGAGAATAGAAAAGAAATGAGAATAGAAACTCAGGGTGCGGCTGTGGTCGTGTAGGCCGAACATGTCACCGGATCCGAGCCGAGATTCACGCAGTGTAAGTACGGTGCATAGACACCCTAAAATTCAAAATTTTCTTTTTTCAGCAGTAATTCAAAGATCAACTCTTATCTAGAAAGGGTTTTCCGTCGTTTGCCTTCAAAATTTGTTCCTAAACTTAATATCTTAAGCACAAACATCACAGGTCACATAGTTGCCGACACCACCACCGGGGCTCATCGTCTCGCAAACGCAATTGTTGTATAGATGAGAATAGGCATCACCGGCACAATAGTTGCCGGAATCGAAAAGTTGCGTTCCGTTCTGAACAACTTTTTGGATAAGACAAGGAATTGTGCACTCACGTTTGAGTAGAACTGATAGTTATTGATAACAGCATGGTCAAACGGATCTTGGCAACCTTGGGGAATCGACACAGGCTTGCATCTATATTATGCATTAGTCAAGTATAAAAAGAAGTGTTTAAGTCGTTTTGCATCTATAAACTCACAATCCAGTGACCCCGATGGCTAGCTCAGTGTATGGGGGTCCAGGAATGGCACTATCACAGACGCAGTCTGGAAAAATTTTATTGTTAAAAACAACAAATCTTTTAGCTTTTGTACCTGGCATCACTTCTCCCATCGGAACACATTCGACTTTGACGATACTGATTGTGTCTCGTGCTAGGAACTGTGTACCATCTCCACTGCAAACCATGGCCCCAGGTACGGGATCCCCGAATCCCGATGCACTTCCGACGGTGAAAGATTCGCTTGCGTTCGCAGCAGTGAACTAAAGAAAAATGTCTTTTTTGTTTAAATAAAGCACTCACTATAAGATGAGCCTTGTAGTACTCCGACGGGGGCACGCAGATAAAGCTCCAAATCATGCACGTCGTAAACTCGAAAGTTGTGTAGTCGTAGTCAGTTGTTGATGTAAACGTCGCTACAAGTAATCGGTAAATAGGTAGTTAACTTGTAAAAAATGTTTTTAATTGCTTTCCAAGAAAGATTACAGCAAAAAGTTTATATTTCATACCCGAGAAGACGTTGGGATCGGTTGAACCCACAAGCTGGATCGCTGGATTTGTGGCTGTGCAACTTTGACAATCTAAAAAATGGAAAATCAGTTTAACAATTGTAAAAAGATATTATAATTCGACGCAAATTAGTGGCAAATTAGTGTGTAATTTATGGGATTTAGTGTAAGCATTTAGAAAAAAAAATTATACAGTCGGTTCTCTCTATAATGGAATGAAAAGGACCAAAAAATGTTTCAGCGATATAGAGTGCCGTTTTATATAGCTTAGCGTCGGCCAGGATCAAAATTCCATTCCGTTATATAGAATTCCATTATAGAGAGAGTGGATTGTAAAGAGTTAATCGGTTTTTCAAAAACAAATAACCAAAAAAGTAAAAAGAACCTTTTGGAGGGGTAGTAGTGGTGGTGGTAGTAGTGGTTGTCGTTGTCGTTGTCGTTGTGGTCGTGGTTACCATCTAAAATTCATGAAAAGAAATACTTAGACAATTCGAAATTTCAAAGCATTCGGAAGATATGAAATCAAACTCACTTCTCCCATCGGAACACATTCGACTTTGACGATACTGATTGTGTCTCGTGCAAGAAACGCTGTACCATCATCGCTGCAAACCATAGCCCCAGGCACGGGATCCCCGAATCCGGATGCATCTCCGACGGTGAAAGATTGACTTGCGTTCGCAGCAGTGAACTAAAGAAAAATGTATTTTTTTTGTCTAAATAAAGCACTCACTATGAGATGAGCCTTGTATTGGCTTGAAGGTGGCGTGCATACATAGCTCCAAACTCCGCAAGTCGTAATTACGCCGGTTGTATAGTCGTAATCGCTTTGTGTAGCAAAAGTCGCTGAAGCAAAATGAAATACGTTATGCTCTTCAAAAATATAGTGTCTAGTAGATTTCTCAAGCGCAAAAATATTTCAGTATTAGGGACAAAGGAATCAGACTTTTGTGTGATCGATGGGCTCAATTTTTGGAAAATAACGAAGATTACATTTTTGATTGATTAAATTGCGATAAATAAGTTTTATAGCTTTTGGATCGCAAAAACACGTGTGTTCCTTCTGGGGATGCGTAATCGCGTGCTAACTGGCCGCTTCGGTTCAATTACCCAAGTTTAACGTCATTTTAAACCTTGATTTTCTTGCTTGTTTCACCATAGAATTCTATCAAACTTTGACATAGACTAACTCTAATAGTGCTGCTACTATATAAATTTAAAAGCATATAAAAGCCAGATTTTTCAAGCTGACCGTTCTTGGTGAATTCACCATAGAATCTGCTCCATAGCTTAATATTAAAATAGAAAATGTTTCTAGTCTCTACTATCAAAAAATGAGAAAATCTATGGTGAATTGAAGGAATGCGGTCATGGTAAATGATAATTTCATATGATTCAGCCTAATATAATATAAGTTAGTTTTACATACCCGAGAAGACGTTGGGATCGGTTGAACCCACTTTCTGAATCGGTGGACTTGTGGCCGTGCAACTCTGACAATCTGCAAAAAGGGAAAATCAGTTCAGCGATTTTAAAAAATCTAGTCTAAAAATGATATTATACTTTGAAGCTAGCTAGTGTTATGTTAAAGTAAATTATTATAGTTTCTGTTTCCTAAAATTGGTGCTTCCTATGTTATTTTTCAGAAATAAGAAAACACCTTTTGGAGGGGTAGTAGTGGTGGTGGTAGGAGTGGTTGTCGTTGTCGTTGTGGTCGCCATCTAAAATTGATGAAAAGAAATACTTAGCTAATTCAAAACTTAAAAGCATTCGTAAAATATGTAATCAAACTCACTTCTCCCATCGGAACACATTCGACTTTGACGATACTGATTGTGTCTCGTGCAAGAAACGCTGTACCGTCAGCGCTGCAAACCATAGCCCCAGGCACGGGATCCCCGAATCCGGATGCATCTCCAACGGTGAAAGATTGGCTTGCGTTCGCAGCAGTGAACTAAAGAAAAATGTCTTTTTTGTTTAAATAAAGCACTCACTATGAGATGAGCCTTGTATTGGCTTGAAGGTGGCGTGCATACATAGCTCCAAACTCCACAAGTCGTAATTACGCCGGTCGTATAGTCGTAATCGCTTTGTGTAGCAAAAGTCGCTGAAGCAAAATGAAATACAGCGTTATGCTCTTCAAAAGTGTAGTTTCTAGTAGATTTCTCAAGCGCAAAAATATTTTAATATAATGAAAGTTGGTTTTACATACCCGAGAAGACGTTGGGATCAGTCGAACCCACTTTCTGAATCGCTGGGCTTGTGGCCGTGCAACTCTGACAATCTGCAAAAAGAGAAAATCAGTTCAGCGATTGTAAAAAAATCTAGACTAAAAATGATATTATACTTTGAAGCTAGTTAGTGTTATGTTAAAGTAAATTATTACAGTTTCTGTTTCGTTGGTGATTGGTGCTTCCTATGTTATTTTTCAGAAATAAGAAAAAAACCTTTTGGAGGGGTAGTAGTGGTGGTGGTAGTAGTGGTTGTCGTTGTCGTTGTGGTCGTGGTTGCCATCTAAAATTGATGAAAAGATATACTAAGGCTCGAAACTTAAAAGCATTCGGAAAATATGAAATCAAACGCACTTCTCCCATCGGAACACATTCGACTTTGACGATACTGATTGTGTCTCGTGCTAGGAACTGTGTACCATCCCCACTGCAAACCATGGCCCCAGGTACGGGATCCCCGAATCCGGATGCATCTCCGACGGTGAAAGATTGACTTGCGTTCGCAGCAGTGAACTAAAGAAAAATGTCTTTTTTGTTTAAATAAAGCACTCACTATGAGATGAGCCTTGTAATCATCTGACGGAGGCACGCAGATAAAGCTCCAAGTCATGCACGTCGTAAACTCGAAGGTTGTGTAGTCGTAGTCAGTTGTTGAGGCAAACGTCGCTACAAGTAATGGGGAGATTTTAATAAGGTTTGCCACAAATAATGAGGTCTTATTTTAGAAACCTTGCCCCAAAGCTTAAGTTATTAAAAATATCCATACTTTTAAAAAAATGCTTTAGATGGTTTTAAAGTGTTTTGTTTGACGTAAATTTTTATGGAATGACAAATGTTTAACAGTCTCCTTAAAGTAACTCAAAAATATTGCAATATAAGTATCTCATAACACTATAATACATACCTGAGAAGACGTTGGGATCGGTTGAACCTACAATTTGAATCGCTGGACTTGTTTCCGTGCAACTCTGGCAATCTGTAAAAATTAAACCATTACTTTACTTTAACTCAGTACTGTAAAGAAAATATTTAAAGTGGTTTTTGGAGAGAATTTGTCGGTCGAAATGGTTTACACGTGCACTTATCTAAAAGCACATAGGCAAAAATGCAAAATGAACCTTTTATCGGAGTTGTTGTAGTTGTGCCGGTGGGTGCCGCCTAAAATTGATGAAAAGATATACTAAGGCAATTCGAAATTTCGAAGCATTCGGAAGATATGAAATCAAACTCACTTCTCCCATCGGAACACATTCGACTTTGACGATTTTGATTGTGTCTCGTGCAAGAAACGCTGTACCATCATCGCTGCAAACCATAGCCCCAGGCACGGGATCCCCGAATCCGGATGCATCTCCGACGGTGAAAGATTGGCTTGCGTTCGCAGCAGTGAACTAAAGAAAAAGTTCTTGTTTCAATAAAGCACTCACTATGAGATGAGCCTTGTATTGGCTTGAAGGTGGCGTGCATACATAGCTCCAAACTCCGCAAGTCGTAATTACGCCGGTTGTATAGTCGTAATCGCTTTGTGTAGCAAAAGTCGCTGAAGCAAAATGAAATACGTTATGCTCTTCAAAAATATAGTGTCTAGTAGATTTTCTCAAGCGCAAAAATATTTTAATATAATGAAAGTTGGTTTTACATACCCGAGAAGACGTTGGGATCGGTCGAGCCCACTTTCTGAATCGCTGGACTTGTGGCCGTGCAACTCTGACAATCTGCAACAATAAAAAAGTTGCGTCTTTGTTTCAATTGTTTTGTATAAACCAGATTTTTGTATAATACGCTTTTCGCTCTACGCGGATATTCTACCTAGTGGTACTGAGGGCACGTACCAGATATCTGATTGCAGAAACGGATTCTTCGCCCCCGAAAACCCTCGAGTACAAATTTTCAGCTTTCTAGCTCACTTCGTTGTAATTTTACCTTAACGTAATTTTCTATTGTCGGCGTGGCGTGGCGTTTTATTTTTTTTGTATGTAGTAGATGTTATTAAGAGATTACAGTCGACTCTCTCTATAACGAAATGGAATTTTGATTTCGGCCGACGCTAGGCTATATAAAACGGGGTTCTATATAACGGAAACATTTTTAAATTTTGCCCGGAAGTGGATTTTTTTGAACACCCTGTATATAAAATATTGTTTAGGAAATCTATGACCGATTGGAAAAAGAGTTACTCCTTATCTTCGAAAGCACAAAACAAGAAATTGAACCTTTTTTAGAGGTAGTCGTAGTCGCTTTATTGGTTGTGGTTGTGATCTTGGTTGTTGTTGCCTTGGTTGTTGTAGCCTTGGTTGTTGTAGCCTTGGTTGTTGTAGCCTTGGTTGTTGTAGCCTTGGTTGTTGTAGCCTTGGTTGTAGCCTTTGTTGTCGTTGTCGCCTAAAGTTTTTACTCACTAATCAAGACGATTTGTTGTGAGATTTCTCCAATCTCCTTTTAAGTGTTGGGGTTCTGGCTCGATTTTAGAGAAATTACGATGGACAATGCTATAGATTTTGTTTCTTTGCAAGTTTAACTTTATAACAAACCAACCGGGCAAGCGGGAAGCGGAAGAATCGGATCTGGTGGCAATGCAAGACCACAGACGGGTCGATCGGTGGCCAAATTTGTGACCTAAATTCGAAAATTAAGGCACTTCTCGAATACGATCTTTACCAAAGGGAACCCAACGCCGCATTCATTTCCTGGGCACGCAGCATTTGGGCAATTAATTGTTCTCGACGCTGCACCACTAAATTTGGAGTACACACTTTGCCCAGTTTACAGTTTAGTTTGCCCAGTTATTGAGCTTCCTAAAATATTTGTGATTTTGCAAAACATACGTGCATGGGACTCCTAAGGCTGTCGTTCGGCAACTCCGAGTTTGCTTCAGCGTTCCCTGCATTCCACAAGTTGCCGTACAGATGGTGCTCGAAACCCAAGCAGTCCAGAGTCCAGTTGCCGGATAAGCACACGTTTTCAATACTTCTTTGAAAAAAGGTAATCATAAGAAAAGCGCAAAAAAAAACTTGTGATTTGACATTCCGGAGCCTCATAGTCAGTTTCTTGAGTCACATTTCCACAAAGGGTTTTCCCTGTAGCCGGGGCGATATACTGCAAACCAACTTTGCATTCAAATCAAAACGTAGTGAAAAAAGGAAAGACTACTTGAAAACGTCAAACTATCGGCGAGAACTATCAGTTAGCTTAATAAATTTTTGGAAAGCCCCACAGTCGAATATCCGGTAGCACATTTTGGGGCGACAGGGCACGCCAACGGGACACACGGTCTCAACCGGGAATACGGACCACTAAAGTTTTCATGTTTAACAGAAAAAGGTTTCAATTGGCTTCTCATCTATTTGACTTTAATATCTATTTGTTTCACACACCTGCACGGGCATCCAAATGTGTATGAGGTGCAATTTCTTTTTTGAACTTTTTTCCCTTTCAATCCACAAGTGGCACTACAGGTCGTAACGTCTACCCAGTTTGTCCATGTGCCTGAAAGAGCATAAGCATAAACTGATTTTCTAAAGAGTCCTTGTATCTTTTGAAAATCATTTAAAAAATTGAGACAAACAAACCGCCAGTCGGACAGGTTGTACAAACGGGAAGGGCTGCTAGAGCAGTAGCAACTAAAATATTTTTTGACGATTTTTTTGCTTTCTGGTTTCTCATAAATTCTAATCTTCTAATCCTTTAAGCTTATTTATATTTCAGCTAATTGTAAGCTACAACTGAGTGTCGCTCTACACTAGACATGTGCTTTAGTTAGATTCGGTTCGGTTTTGATTTTTTCGGTCCGTTTGGGTGCCAAAACCAAACCGAGAAAAAAAAGAGAACTGAAACACAGATCAAATCTACATATACGGTGCTTATCACTAAGTGAAATCAAACATAATTTAATTTAAAATTAATATTTACAAAACCCACCGTATGTGCTAAGCAGCACAGCAGCAGCGAAGCCGATCATTTCAGAAAAGAGATGGAACGCTTAGGACTCCTTGTTCTGCTTGTCCATGGCTCCTTCTTCTCCAATTTATACGGAAAAATTGAACCCGCCATTTAAACGCTGAATGTATTTTAATCCCTTTTTTTGAATAGCCAACAATGCTGGCTTTGATCACAGAAAAGTTCATATCTGAGGATCGATTTTTCGTCTGCGGAAGTAGATATTTTTTCACATGGAAACAAAGAGTGAAAAGGGAATTTTCAATGTTAAAGTTTTTCATCTTTAACGCCAAAATTTTTGATTTGATTTTCTACTTTCGTAACTGGAGAGTGACTGGGAAACAGTTAAGACAGCCAACAACTAAGAGTGTTCATTTTCGTGTTTTAAGCTGTATTTTACAGGGTGCACCATAATTATCGCAACAAGATAATGTTCGAATTTTAAGGCAGACAAGAGCAAAAAAGACACATTTTTAACTGAATAACATTTATTGTACATTAACAATTAGAAATGAACTATCAAATTCTAATCAGTCACGATTAGCATTTGAGTAGGCTCGCAGGCGTCTCGGGAAGGCAATAGGCGATAGGCTGGATCGAGCCCTTCCCACGCTTTCAACAGTGATTTTTTCAAGCTTTCGATGTTTTTGTGGGGCTTTGAACAAGATTGGGCTTGTAGAGCCGACCACACTGAGAAATCCCTTGGGTTCAGGTCTGGAGAGCTAGGTGGGCACTCAGACAAAGAAATGAAACCCGAGAAGCTGTTTTGGCAGAACTCTTGGACTTCTTGGATTGTGGGCCGGTGCGCCATCTTGCTGATAAGTCCAAATGCAATTTCCAAAATGTTTACAAACCCAGGGCAAGAGTTCATACTTGAGAAGAGCCGGTTATCGTTATCGGAATCGAATTTCACACCTTGGGGAACAAATATGAGAGGAGTCTTTCTGTTGCAGTGATGCCGCCGAAAACCATCACAAAAGCTGGATGTGCACTTCGAAAAACCGTATCATTCGGTTGAGGTTCGGCCCAGACTTTTAAGAGGGCCTGTTTGCTTGTTAAGAAGGCCTTCAACGGTAACTATCTTTTCATCTGTGAACAAGATATTGTGATGGACAATTCCACTGAAGCACCGCCGATTCCAAAATGTCTACGAGCCCGGGGCAAGAGTTCATCCTTGTGAAGAGCCAGAAAAACCTTGTTGCCACGCGTGGTACCTGGTTGCGACAATTATCTGGCTCAATATCTGGCTTGGCTTAAAAGGTGTTTTGTAGAGAAAAGATATGGTTTTCTTATCTTTGAAGCCCCTGGGATTTACTATTAAATTGAGTTGAAAAGCGCTTCTTTAAAGAATACTGACATTTCATGTGCATTGACCCTTTACTACGATTCGTATGCCGAATTTCTAGAAGACCCTTGCTTTTGGTGTACTTTTGCTCATTAAAAAATATTTTTTTTGGAAATAAAGCTTTGCAGTACACTAATTTTTGATAGTAATGAATGAAACTTTTTGGTTCCATTAAAAACTTTGTCTCATTTTCAATGCGGGCAGCAAAATTATCAAGCACGGTTTCAATTTTCAATATTCAAATGCATGTCTCTACGTGGCTAGGAAGTCAAATTTATGGCTCAATACTGATGCCTTTTCAAAATGACTTAATTTCAACTCAATATCGATTCAAAGCCCCATTGGCGAGCTATTTTCAAAGCTTTTGTGTTCGTTTTTATAGTTCAGAGGAATTGTATGCCGCTCCGTTATTTGGAAATAAAATTTTCCACTTCCTAGAGTAACTGGAACCAAAAGCCAAACTTCAGTATGTCAAGTAACTTCAAAGTTACAAGTTTACATTTTTCTATCGACCCAACCCAGCGAACAATGAAATTTTCGCAAAAGTTAAAGAAAGAGAAAAATAATTGAAGGATAGGAGAACCATTTGAGTTTCTTTAATCATAGAAATCTGACCTATTGACGATCGGAAAGTAAAAAAAAGGAGTCGATCAATGTGCGACATCGAAAAAATAAAAATGCTCTAAAAGCTAATAAAATAAAGTTGTTTATGTATAGAATTTACTCAAAAATTAACATCTTTAGCGTTTTGCTTAAGTTTTATTCTCAAAGTCAAAAGGATAACAAAATTATGATGAGATTTTGGTGAGCGGCAAGAAAATTTACTTCACGCCGCTTACACCGCTCATCACACCGCTTTTCACCGTATTTTTCATCTTTCTGAAAGTTTCCTTTCATCATTGGAATTTTATTCTGATTGTTTTGTGTTTCTCCATTGGATATGGCTCATTTTTGTCATTAAACGGAAGTTTATCTTGAAAAATAAGAGCAAAACTTATTTCTCCACCTAGCGAGTTTTAGCTCAAAAATTTTATCGTTTTTATTTCTTATTTATTCTTATTTATCTTCCGAATGCTTTGAAATTTCAAATTTTTAGAAATTTTTCGAATTTTCGAATTTAAATTTGTAGTTATCCTAATAGTATTTATTATGCACCACGATGTCAGTAGAAAGTTTTAATTTTATGGCAAAATTCTCATGGTGGCTCAGAAGTTTCTTGTATTGTGAGTGATATGGTGAAAATCATGAAAAAGCATCAAAATTTCCTTGAGCACACCTAGAGCTACCGGAAATATTTTTAAAATTTGACCCGAAGTCGACTTTTTTGAGACACCGAGATTAAAAATATTTCCGGTGGCTCTAGGTGTGCTCAAGGAAATTTTGATGCTTTTTCATGATTTTCACCATATCACCCCCAATACAAGAAACTTCTGAGCCACCATGGTCACCACCACCACCATGAGACTTTTGACATAAAATTAAAACTTGCTATTGGCTTGGGGGGATTTGGGGGGCTAGTAATAGCTTTCCCCCCCAAGTGCTGCAGTTTTTTACTCTGATTTTTCATAGATTCCAGCTTTTTGAAGCTAGTTATTCTTATTTATCTGCCGAATGCTTTGAAATTTATTGGCGTCGTGGTGCATAATAAATACTATGAGGATAAATACAAATTTAAACCATGCACTTTATCGATCAGCGTTTCCTTGGAAAAACGGGACACTTCTTTAGAAAAAGGCGAGTTGAAAAGCTATTCTGTATGACAGATTATCATATAATGTAGATGAATAAAATTTTTGGCTAAAAAATCTTAGTTTATATAATAACTTTAATATGACACCACGATGTCAGTAGAAAGTTTTAATTTTATGGCAAAAGTCTCATGGTAGCTCAGAAATTTCTTGTATTGGGAGTGATATGGTGAAAATCATGAAAAAAGCATCAAAATTTCACGACCTCAAAAAAATCATTTTTCCACCATATCTACCACCCAGAGCCACTGGAAATATTTTTTAAATTTGACTCAAAGTGGATTTTTTTTTTTTGAAACACCCTGTATAAACGCTCAGAAATTAGTTACCCATTTCACCTGTTAATTCTCATGTAAAACAGCGGTGAACCCGAAAAATGCACCTGTTTGTGGAAGGTACTATAGACGTGTTTATGAATATAAACACGGGCACACCCTCCTATTTGAATGTCCACATTTTTAAAGTCAAAACTTTTGAAGACTAAAAAAAGGTTTTCGTTAAAACTCACCGATGGCTTCTCCAGTTTTATTGATCGTTCACGAAGAGCCAAACGTTTTTCTCATTTCTATGCGGTTCACTGGAATCTTTGGCATCTTGATGAACATCTTAACTTTGATCATTATTTTGAGGATTTCCCCGTTAACCATGAAAGACTACAAGAAACACCTTTTGTGGTATCAGGTAAAAGCAACAAAAAGTTATGATCCTATAATATTAGAGAAAAAAAACTAAAAAAAGCAGCCCGCAAATGAAACTCTTAAAAAGAAATCTTTTATGTTTTCCTAGTTTTGGTCAATGTCATTCGAGTTGCTAATGCATGGAGTCGAACTTGAGATCTTCTTTCCGACCCAATCTGGCCGAATGTACGGAGTGATGCACGTTCTCTTTGGGCTAAACGCAAAAGTTTGTCAGGTTCGAAAAGGTGATTACCGTAAATACTGTAATAGAAGGGCACCCTCTCTCCAATCCAGTTTTTTGCGAAAATCTTGACAACGGTTGAAGATAACTTGATGTTGCTAGGGTTCAAATGAAAGCTCTGGATGTCTTCTATCTAATGAAAAAGGAATTAGACTTCGCAAAAATTTAGTGTTCAAGAAATCAAGCGCGACATTTTTGTTGCGTCCAAAATAATGGTCAACTTTTTTGGGGCTTAAGTCAGGCCGGCTTTGACTTTTGCACTTCGGCGTGTTGGGATCGGATCGACTTCCGGTAGGTCCCATTAGATACTCCATCAAATTCAGCTAGATAAATGTTTAATGTAGATGGGAGTTTAGCTTTGAAGAACATCAAGAAAATCGGCCTTGACGTTGAAAGTAAGGTCGATTCCGGGAATTGTCAACTTTGGAGCTCTATATCCGGACGTCTAGGCATCAGATCGACTTGCTAATGGTCTCATTCGATAGCGCATAAAATTTTGCTAAGATAATGTATAGTTTGAATGCGGTGCCTGCTTGCGAGAACATCGAGATATAGAGCTCCAAAGTAGTGTAATTTCAACTTTCAAATTTATGAAAGTAGCAAAAAGGCTACTTCTGCTTATATCTCGACTCGTATGCATCGACTCGACTTCCGGTGGGCCCCATTCGATTCCCCATCAAATTCTGCTAGATAAATGCTCAATTTAGATGGGGTGTTAGCTTTGGAGAACATCGAGAAAATCGACATTGACGTCGATAGTAGGGTCGGTTCCGGGAATTGTCAACTTTGGAGCTAAGGCTGAAGAAACTTGTCGGAAATTTGTTTTTGTACGTTTCACACCTATCGATTAAGATAGTTTTTTAATAAAAAATAATTTTTTCCCATGTGGTCCCCCTTACCTATTTTTTCGGCCGCCTTGGGGGAGGGAAAAAATAGAAGGGCATGCCTTTCAATTACAGTATTTCCGGTAGAAAGCAATTGCGAAGTTAAAAAATTTTAGAGACCTCAGAAGTCTTAGAATTACTTTAAGTTTGTGAATTCATTCGCTTAGATTTAGAAAACCTTTTTAAGTATCAGCGACAAGCTAAAAATCAGTTGTAATTTCAGCAGATCGGATGTATTTGCATTTGCAGTATGACCTTTGCAACAACACAGTGTGTCCTTTATCGTCATCGTCAAATCCTGCCACCTAATCACTGGTTTCGGTTAGGTTTTAGACCAATCAAACCAAAGACCAATCAAACTCTAAAATTCAGATTCAAGAGAAGGACTTGGATTTGTATTGGATGTGCCCACTATTTTGTCTTCACTTCCTGTGCCCTTATTCTTTTTCAAGTTTCTGATTTCGAGTTGTCTCCGCAAGCGCAAGGACTACAAGAATTATTACAAGTTTACTTTGTAAAAGAAATCAAAATTTAGTGGATTTTTAGAAGTACCCCGAGTACGAGTTCATCAAATATGATCACGAGGTTTGGATAGCACACAGTAATCCCATCCTTCCCCCACACAACATTCCGTCAATCCACGCTCTCTTTGCTATGATCTTTTGGATTTGTATTGAAATATTGCCAACGGTATGCGGGAGGGCAACTGTTAACTTGTTAAAGATTATCAGTCAAATTTCAGCTATTTTTCTGCTTTTTGCACTCCTCTTATTTGCTCGACTTTCGCAATGATATGAGCAAAAAGACGAGACTTTTACAGAAGAGACTCATGTTTGCACTTTTTCTTCAGGTGAACACTGAAAACTGCATAATTTTTTACTTTTGTATAGTCCACTTTCATTTTTTATGTGCAAAAGTTCTAGATTTGCGTCCCATTCGTCACAATTGCCTATCCGTGGACTCTATTTGCTTCGTTGCCAATTTTTGGATGGATTCTGCCACAAAGTTTCTCATTTTCCCGATTTAAAAACAAAAAAAATGAATCTAGTGCTTGTCAACGTCTCCTTTTTTATTAGCAGTTCTCATGCAACGGCTTCTTCTTGTTGCATTTTATTCCTCACCGGTCCCTACAAGGATTTTCTCATTTCTCTCTTTTCGAGTCGAATTGTGAAACGTCGAGGGACAATGGTCTCCGTCCCGCAAAGAAATTCGCTCACAATTCGGAAATAAAAAAGTTTTTGAAAATTTTTTTTTAATTAGCAAATAGAAAGAAATGTATTTAAACTTTTAAAATCCGGAGTTCATTGGTTCAGTAATTTCACATTCATTTGTGCGTAGATCTTGGAGTTGTCGGTTTTTCCTTTGTGTTGCGGAAACAGAAAACATTGACAAGGCTAAAGACTTCATTGGGGGTTGTTAAATGAAATTTCGAATTCTGAAAATATCATCGATTCAATATGTTATGTAATACTAGAAAAAAAAAATCGGATAGCGCGAATTCCTATTTCCCCAAAGTACAAAATCTCTCCGAAGGATGCGAGGAAAAAAAATTGATTCTACAGGGTGGCGCAAAATTACCCGAACCAGCGCACCCGACCTTCAGCAATAGTTTTTCGGCCGCACCAGTAATTTTATTCCGGGTTTCTGTGTTTTTCCTTTATTTTTACGTTTTCTTAGCATTATTTCATCTGGAATTCTATTATAATGTTTTAGATGGTGAAAAAATGGTGAAAAATCAATGGTGAAAAATTCTGTGCACATGGACTCGATCATCGAGCTACATCGAAAGGGAGTTCCAAAAAAAGAAATTTCTCATCGACTCTTTATTGCCAAATTGCTTGTTCCTGAGACTATTAGTCGTTTCAAAGCTTTGGAATCAAATTCGGATCAAGCAGAACGCGGATGCAAAGTTACGGTGACGACGCCGGTCAATGTCAAGAAGGTGAAGGACCGTCGGCGGTACAAAAACACTTCTTCTCAAAGGGAAATCGCAAAGAGAATGAAAATTTCAAGATGTTCAATATGCCGTATTGTCAAAAAGGAGCTTGGTATGAGATTTGGTGCTTCCAGCAGGATGGTGCGCCTGTACATTGGGCTCGTGCTGTGCAAGACTGGTGTAGGACGAAATTTCTAGACTTTTTTTTTTTAATCTGTCTTCGCATTCCTATTTGCGCAGATCACAACCTGCTTCCACATTTCTCGATCCCTTGCTATTGTCATCCAGTGTTTCCTATCTTGATTGTTCCTGGTTCGAAGTCTTCGACTTGCTTGTGCTGGTGGTGGTTGCACTCTAGCCATCCTTTCTCTGACCGTCTCTGCCACTCTTGTGCTCCACCTCGTTGCTGGTCTTCCGATGGGCCTCTTCTGGTCTCGTGGTAGCCACTTTGTGATCCGTATCGTCCATATGTCGTCTGTTCTTCTGGCTACGTGGCCGGCCATCTGAGTCTTTTTCTCTCAATCACTTCCACTGGATCTCTGAGTCCCGAGAGCTGGCGCATATCCGTACTTCTTAGGTCTTGGTCGAGCTGCGTCTTCCTATTGTACCCGAGGAGGTTCCTTTCAAGGGCCCGATGCGTCGTTCTCAGGGCTCGTTCAGTGGTCTGTGTCGTGGCCCAGGTCTCTGTCCCGTAGCAGAGTGCCGGGAGGACGGTGCTGTCGAAGAGGTGTGCCCGAGTTCTCTGGTGATTCTTGAGCATCTTTGTGACTTCTTTGATGCTTCCTAGTGCTGTCCAGGCAGCTCGTCTTCTTCTGGCGACTTCTGATCTTAGGTCTCCCTCCATATTGATGCTTCTTCCGAGGTAGGTGTAGGAGGTGACTTCTTCTAGTGGTTGACCTTTCAGCTTGATCTCTCCAGGTGGACACCATGCGTTCCTCATGCTCTGAGTCTTTTTCTTGTTCATCTCGAGGCCAATCTTCTTGCTGACTCGGTCGAGGTCTTCTAGCATCCGTTGGGCTTCTTCTGGTGTCTTGGCGTAGAGCACGATGTCGTCTGCGAAGCGTAGGTTGGTGATGTTCCTACCATCTACCGGGATGCCGTAGTCTTCCCACTCGAGGTCTTTCATGGCATACTGAAGAACTGTGGTGAAGAGCTTGGGCGAGATGGTGTCTCCTTGGCGAACCCCGCGCTTGATCGGGATGTGGACTTCCCTCTCGAACATCTTGATCGTGGTGGTAGCCTCCGTGTAGCAGTCTTGTATGGCGTGGATATATCCGAGATCAATCCCTGCGTCGAGGAGGGCTTGTGTCACTGCGCCTTGTTCCACTGAGTCGAATGCCTTCTTGTAGTCGGCGAACACCAGGATGAGTGGCATTCGGAATTCTCGTGTTTTTTCGATCAGTTGGGTGACGGCTTGCATGTGGTCGATCACCGAGAAGTTCTTGCGGAAGCCGGCCTGCTCCACTGGCTGGTAGTCATCGAGTTGCCGCTCTATTTGTTGTTGGAGAATCTTCGTGTAGAGCTTGTACAGGACCGATAGCAGAGCTATTGGCCTGTAGTTTCCGATTTCTTCTTTGTCTCCTTTCTTGTAGAGCAGGACTGTTCTTGCTTCTCGCCAGTGGTCAGGCATCCTCTGGTTGTGGAGGTAGGTGGTGAAGCGTTCGGCCAGCAGCTTGTGTATGTCTTCTCCTCCAGCCTTGAGTAGCTCTATCTTTTTCTAGACTTTACACTTTTCGCTTCCTTCCTCGAAATGGTGTTGTGGGCACACGAAATACCCGATCCGCATCAGCGCTGCTATAAGACCAAAAATTTAACGACAATCACAAAGGTTAGTTGTTTCCAGAGTTTTCACCACTCAGCTCAGCGTAATGCCTTACGGTTCCACGTGTGATCATGCGGCTCGGAGTCGATGAATCCATTCTAAAGATAAAACATTGCATTTAGGCTATAGCTAAAATCAAAGAGAACATGTAAGAGGTAAAACACATATACCAAAACAAAATCGCGAATAACAGGGGCAAACGGGAATGTCATAAACAGCAAAACTAGTTGCTGCCTCCGCTATCCGTCAAGTACTCAAAGCTATTACAGCAAACCTAAATACAAATTTTTGCTCAGTAGGTTTCTCAAAATTCCAAGTGTTCGTGTGAAATGTGCTCGCCAATATTTTAAATTCAAATTGTCTCTCATCTCTTGACTCTCAAAGAAGGTAAAATGGCAGAGGTCCAAGAGAACGAACTACAGCGTTGCCCAAGCCGAAGCGAGATATTAGGAATTACTTTTTTGAGACGTTTTCCTTTACGTTTTTGGGGGTGGCTACTTTGCGCCAAATTTTCTTTATAATTTTGGTTTCATTTTGTAGATCTCAATAAGTGCAACAAAATGAAACCAAAAAAGATCATAAAGATTGGCCCATATCATTTCTTTTTTGCTCCATCAAATCGTAGAATCAGTATCATTTTATTCGTCCTCTACAAACTTGATTATTCGTCTCTTTTGGCTTACCGAATCATTGCGTGCTTGTCATGTTCTGATTCTTGTCATGTGTCACACTTGCGAACTAGCTTTCCAAATTTTTCTTGAATCAATTTTGAGTGGTTTCATTTGTTTCAACCCTATACCCCCCTAACCCTATACTAAACTTCATTTTTAGCAAAAGATGGATTTACCGAGCTCGAATGACGTGAAACCACCACCACCACCAGGTTAGTTTTGTTTTACATCAGGTTGATAAACTAATGTTTGAACAACTTTTTTGTAGTTCTTCAAAGTCAAATCTGTATCGATGTCTGTTAGTCAAGGGGTTTTCTAAAATCAAAGATCGATTTTTAAAGTCAATGATTAAATTAACGAGTGTACAAGGTGTCTCATAAAAAAAAGGTTTTCAAATCGAATTTCCTAAAAAGTTCTAATGGCTGCAGGTGGCTGCTTTGGTGTCAAAAGCGTTTATTTGTGCTCAGGAATTTTTCACGTTTTTTCTTTTTCTCGATATCTTGATACACCATGAGACTTTTGCCATAAAAGGTAAACTTTGTACTGGCACCGTGAGGCATGATAAACACTGTTAGGATGACTACAAATTTTTACCATACACCTTTTTTTGGTCTTTTTTTGGATAAGCGCTTTTTTGATATTTTTTTACCAAAGTTAAAATTTTTGCATGGAGTCACGAAAATGAATTTGTATCGTTTAGTGATCCGAATCAACTTGATGGACGAGGGAATCGTGGTGGTGGAGCGCAAGGTATCTTTGTCGGAAAATGTGATAACACAGAAGGCTGTCAAAAATATGTTTTCCCTCGCTCCGACTTCGATCATTAAGTTGCGTTATGGTGATAATGAAGAGGCAGAATGGTGCAAGTAAGTTCGATTTTAAAATTTAGTTTTGAATGCCTTTTATCTTCTTTAAACTATTCTAGTTTTAGTTTGGATTCAACTGGCTCGTCGTTTTTGCTTCCGGAAGGCTGGCCAACTATGGAGTTCTTTGTCGATTCTCGTTCAAAAGGCCCAGCAAATAGTATGTTATGTTTAAATATTTAATAAAAATCTTCATTTAGGCGCTTCAAAAATTCTTAACGATTGGGAAAATCGTGTTTTTTGCATTGAAGGGCGTGGTGGTAGGGTGGGATCATGCGTCTTATTGAATAAGCAGCACATTTTGACCGCTGCGCACTTATCCTTCAAGCTTGGAGAATGCTACCCAATCAAAGGACCCGGTTTGGAGGGCAGTTTGGATCTGCGCGTGCGCTGCGATTTCATTTCTAACCATTTCGATTTCGCCGTACTTAGTTCGGATGCTCTTCAAGACCTCGAGCTGTCTACAGACGCACTGAAGCGCGGCTCTAAATATTTCATAATGGTATGCTGGTTTTTAGAGTTTTATTGTAGCTGACGGAACGTTTTACAAAATGGCGATTTATTTCATATGTTAAACAGTTTAATTTTAGGGCTATCCAAACGGCGTCGAAGCTTCTAGGCCGACAATCACAAAAGGAATCATCAAAGAGTGGATGGTGGATGGCATTCATCTAGGTAAGAATAATTATCATTTATTTATTATCATTATTTTAACCAATGAGTTAATCGTCATAAAAAAATTTTGATTTAGTCGGAACACCTGGTTCAAAGCGAGGCTGCGCAGGCGCTCCGGTCTTTGATGATACTAGACGTTTGGCAGGAATATTGATGGGGAGTGCAACAGCTCGATTAGATGTCAGTTCAACCCTTAAAGAATGTCTGGATTCGTCTGCGGAACAGAAATACGCGAAAATTTTAACAATTCCAGTAATCACTGGACACTATGAGTATTGTCTCCAAAATGGTATTTTTAATTTTATTTTTCAAAATTAGGATGAAGGCGTTTAGGAATTACGGACCAGGAATCCTGAAACTGTCAATGATGCGATGCTTGGTTGAAAAATATATTATATTAAATACAAATGATGCTTCGACAACAACTTACGTACGATACTAGTTCGGGCCACTATTTTTTCGCGAAAAAGTTTTCAGAGGTAGTTTTTTACGTAAATCACGAATTTCATAGTGAGAGCTTGAGGAAATGCGTTTTAGAGCCACTTTCGGGGACCGTATGCTTCACTACGGCGTCAAAAATAAAAATTTTCATCCAGGTGTTCCCCCATAGGTGAAAACAGAAAAATTCGAACTTATCATCTTCTAGACACTCAATGGACCCAAAGAAAGTGTTGAAAGAAAGTGTTGCATGTTGAAAAAAATCCTCGGAGGCCTTAGATGAGCTCTCCTCAGCACGCAGTGAAGCACACTGTAGAGGCGGTGACTTCGGGTCCCCGAAAATCGGTCTAAAACGCATTTCCCCAGGTTCCCATTATGAAATTCGTAATCTACGCGAAAAACTGTCCCATAAAAAGTGCTTTCGGAGAAAAAAATATTGCCGCCCAACTAGTATAATTCCACAACTTATTTCATTCTATTTTTGTTTTTACTGTTACACAAAATTGTTGACTTATCGATTTATTTTTGTTGTTATCATTACGTTGAGTTGTTACCCAATTAGATAAATCTCGAACTTGAAAACCAAATGTACAACCGATTTGAGTAGGGTACAAAACTTATGGATGTTTCACTAGAATAGAGAAACCGGTGGCGAGCTTTTTTGAAAAACCTCATCTGCTTAATTATTGGATTCAAATGAAAGCCAGTTTAATCCTCCAAGAGTCAATCATTTAGACGAGTTGATATTTACGCATTCTATTCTTTAGAAAATAGCAAAGGCACGTATTAAAATTGAAAACATGACAAGATCGATAAAAATACATCACCCGCCTAAAAATTAATTGAAGGGGATGATAACGAGACAGAAATTCACAAGAAACACTCATTTTTAAGACAAATCCTTACATCGTGCCTTTCAAAGTTTTCCACACGGCCAACATATTCGTCTTTGCAGTAATTTTCCCACTATACCTGATTTAGGCTCCCAAAACCGAACAAGCAGCCATCGATTTGCGGAGAGCCGTTTGGTAGGTTTCTCCAGGAAAATCCGAAGGATTTTCAATAATCTTGCTTCTTTCAAGACGAGACTTGCGTCATTGCTTCTTTTACCCAAAAGAGTGATTTCGCGAGAGAGCCAACCACACGCTGTTATCCATATTGGCCAAAATAAGGAGAAACACTGACACTTGGCGTTGGTGACATTTATTCAATTAATGAAGCTTTGAAAGATCTTTGATAAATTTGTGATAAAGTACTTTGCATATTTAACTCGTAGATCACATGGTCTCTTTGTTGAGCTTCTTGCTTTGACGGATCGAGTCCCTCGATAAGTCGCTTCGTGCATTTAATCACATAACGGCCATTCTAAAAGAAAAGGTTAGAGTAACCTTTTCTTTTAGAATGGCCGTTATGTGATCAAATACACGAAGCGATTTATCGAGGGACTCGATCCGTCAAAGCAAGAAGCTCAACAAAGAGACCATGTGATCTACGAGTTAAATATGCAAAGTACTTTATCACAAATTTATCAAAGATCAAAGACAACAAGGTTGAGATTCAGATAAATTATTCGTGAATTGACAATATACTTTAGAAAGAGGGCGAAGAGACGAAGACTGTGACCAAAGAAGTGAACATTTCGAATGGATATGTTAATAGGACATTTTATGACATTCGAATGGATGTGACAGATTTGACTGGGCTTGTTTTAGAAGAAGCGTTGTCGGGGTGGCTCCCGAATTATGCGACATGCCGAGCAAAAAGATGAATTTGATGTGGGCGATATGATAAAGAAATTCGCCAGGTGAGTGGGTCAATAAATTGATACTGAATGGCGAATGGGAGAAATTCTTTACAAAAAAAATGATGAAAAGCTGAATTTTGATTTACAGTATTGAAAACGCATTCTTATTGTGAGAACAACTTACAGACTAACAGTTCATCTTGCATTTGTATGTTTTTTAGTGAAAGCCTTCAATCTCTTCGATCAACACGATTGTGAGGATCTACTCTATAAGCATTCAAATTCGGGACAAATAAAAATGAGTTTAAAAGAAATCTTTGACAATTCCTCGAACAAACTTGAAGGTTGATTGTCATAGAACAAACTAGCCTTCAATGAAAAGTATCCCTTTGTAAGCCTTTTCCGGCCTACAGACGGTGTGCAGCGATGTACGGGTGTTTAAGGAGTTTAACCCGAATTAGTGCGAGCTATCAAATGGGCTCTCCCCGGTAGGTTCGAATCCTGCTCGCTGCGAAATTTTTTGCTTTTGGAAAACAAAATTTATTTGTGAATGCACACACAGTTTAATCTTTAATCCTACTCTTTCATTCATTTTTCAATAAATATTTATCAGCTGGTTCAATAATAAATCCGCTTATAAACTCTAGAGATGATTTTTAAAATTCGATTCAAAAATTTGCACGCTTATAACTTTTGACAGAGTGCTATTTAGCCAAAACGGAAAGCAGATTCGTAATCAGCGTAAAATTCTGCGTTGAATAGTATATTTTGTCATTTCGAACGTGTCATTTTGCTACGACACCCGGTTGGCATGTTAGTTAGTGAATTTTCAGTGATGCTCGGTGCACATTTGGATCTTCCGGAAATACTAAAACGGGAGGATTGGAAAGGGGAAGAAGCAAGTGTGCGCAAATAGTGTGCCTATTATGTCACAGGATCAATGTGGGCTCTTTTTTCATATTTGTTTTGTTTGTAGAATTACAGTTGCCATTTGCTACCGCTATTGTCAAACTTTCAAATTTATTCAGGTATCACGGTAGACATGGGCGTCGAGACGGGTCAGTCCAACTCAGGACAAAGCCGTCCCGTCCCGAAGGACGGACAAAGTAAAACAAAACCTAGACATAGATGTTGGTGGGAGATTTCTGCCAACTGAAGCGAACTCGACTCATTAATGATTCTCACCAACATTCTGGAATGATTGCTATCAGCTTCAAACTAAAAGAAAAGTTAGTGAAATCAAAGTGAAATTTTTCTTCGTTATTATTTATTATTTCTTTGTTTTGATGCACAAAAATCTGGACGCTTTTAGGCTTTTGATATACTTTAAAATATAAAATCACGTAAACAACTTAAACGCGCCCATTTTCTAGAGAATTTCAAAGCATTTAGGAATTGTCCTCCATACAATTTACAGATGATCAACAATTAGTCAAATTTTGAAAGTTTTTTCACAAGAAAATTACTCATTTCTAAATAGAAATGAGTGCTTTTCTTCTGAAAAAAACTCTCAAAAGACGCAATTGTTGATCATGTTGAGAACAAAAAGCAATTCCAAATTTCAATAGGCTGAAAACGATACAGCTAGTATATAAAGAACCAGTTTTGATGAAGAAATCATAACTTGAAATTAATTAAGCAACTAAAGGTAACTTTTCTTGCTCTTACCTTTTAGCTTAATCAGATTACAAGTTTTTAACTTACTTTAATCATTTCATATACCCAATGTTTTTAGATGAAAGCTATCCTCGTTGTATTCATCTTGATTCAAGTCTCACTAGCTCTCGAATGTGTTCTCAACGCGGGAACGAGTCCGAAACTCCCAAGTCCTCCGGTATCAGTTAGACCTAGGCGCTACAAACTACAAAAATGACGATCTGTCCAGCTACAAACACTCATAACTTGCTTCCAGTAAATCCTTTTCCAGAAATTTTTTTGCCAGAATGTAGAGGAAAAAATTCTCGTTTGAATGGTAAAGCTCGTAGAAACTTCAAAAATATCGCAAACTACAACCGGCCCGATTCGAGTCGTAGTCGCTAAATATTTTTAAAGTTTTCACGATGTACGTGCTATGTTTCTCGGAGCTTTATATACCATTCGAAAGAGAATTCCTTTCTCTACATTCTGATAAAAAAATTCCTGAAAAAGGATTTACGGAAAGCAAGTTATGCGTGTTTGTAGTGAACAGATCTAGTATCAGTATTTCCTCTGTTTACCCCATTTCACATGTCTCTAAAGATCGAATGTAAACAATTAAAAAAATTTTAGCCAATACTCAAATGCGACTGTGGTAATTATTGTTCCAAATTTCAATACGAGGTAATGAGTTCAACTTTTTTCCCAAAAAATGTATTTATTTCAGGGTGACTACCTTTGGGGTTGCGGTTGTATGATCAATTCGAATACTGGCAAGGTTATAAATGCTTGCACGGTGAGATTCTAGGCCGATAAATATGAATAGACTAGAGTATCAACTACAGAATCTATCAAAGCTTGACCCACTTTTGGAAACGATTTCTAACTACCGTGTCTTCTCTAATAGTAGTGGACCTAAATTGCTCGAAATCTCGAAAAGTGCTTATCAGAACCTATCGATGTGGGGTCGGAAAATGTAGCTAACGATGAGATATACTAGGGGATTAGAGTGTTGAGCTTCTGCGAAAACTTAGGAACCGTAAAATAGGCACCAACTCGGCTCGGTGCGGTGCACTACTATTAGAGAAAATGCAGTATGAATAGCCATAAATTTGGCCCTTGTATGTTACTTTAACGCAATGTACCATTTCAGCACAATGGCCTCAATGATGGTATTAACTGCTGCTCTGGCAATCTTTGCAATAACAAGGATCAAACAAGTAGCAACGAAAATCTCCTGATCAAGACTCTCGCCAAAGCCACTAAAAATTTGATGAAGTAATAAAGTTTTCTATGCAAGAGATAATTTATGTTCAATGTTATGTGTTAAAAAAGTAGGTTTCCCGAGAAGCGATTGAACCGTCGATCTTTGCCTTTCCGAGCAATTGTTCTAACCACTGAGCTATCCGGTACCTTGACTTAGTAAGAGAAAAAAGGAAACACGAGGGGGAAAGAAAAGAGAAGGAAGGGAAATAGAGGGAAATAGAAGAGAGAAGGAAGGGAATACCCGGATCTTTAGAACCCGCCCTACTTGTAGATCAGAACCACAAAAATCAGTATTAGTAATAAGCAATAAAGAAGAAAGAAGTAATAAAGTAATAAAGAAGCGAAGGAATTGGCAAGAAACATGTAAACAAGTTTCACAAATCCGATTGCTACACAAAAGATCTACCTCACAAATCATAGTCATCTTTCTTAGCGAAGTAATAAAGTTTCCTATTGTAAAAAGCAAACTGTTCAAAGGTGGCAAGGATGTTCATACTCCAAAAGACTGCAACCCAACAACATCTATAATCAATTATCTAATGCATTCAACGTGTGATGCGAAATTTCGATTCTCAAATTTCAAAAAGTTACATGCAGCTGGGCTATTAAAAATTATCCATTCCACATCGTTCAGCAATCCCCAAAATCACTTATTGTACCTGGTATTCGATTTTTGTATTTTTTTCAACCATTAAACCAATTATCTCAAGAAAACCTATTTTAGAAATACAATTTATCTCAACAAGAGCCACTTGTAGACAGAAATAAGGAAACCTGAACATACAATTACCCTATTCCCTCTAATGAACGCCCGTCCCTCGATCAAGTTTGGAAGCTTCGTTCTCAGCCCTATTTTGAGATATTTTGTTGTTTAATATATCAAAAGATAGCCCTTAATGTCTTCTTTCTTTTGTATTTTAGACATAAAAATATATTGAAAAGCATTTATACTGGAACAATTTATAGGCTAAAAGTTTATCTTGTAATTTTACGTTGATTTTTAGTGAAAGCCTTGATCTTTTCAATCAATGTGATAGAAAAGGCAAATCTTATAGCCATTTATGAACTAAACTTCGAGAGAAACTCAAGAATTGGATGCGACGACTCTCACAAGACTCGTCGAGACTGGGCCACTCACTAAAAGAGAAATGAGCTCAGAGATATTTCAAATAAACCTTTCGGCTTATTTCGTATGATATCTAGAGTCACAACTTTAATTTTAGCACTAAACACTGAACACTTTTCTTTTCTACCCGCTGAACTGCTATTTACAGTTTTCTAAAGCTACAGTACAATGGAAAAGCATACGGAATTTCTGTGCGTTTCTCAATCTCAATAAATCATTTAAATATTGGCGATCAAAATTAAATATTGATCAAAAAGAGAACCGAAATACTCAATGGACTTTGGATAACGATGAAAAAGCACGAGAGATCGTTTAGAACTGAAAATCTGGATTGGTTGGGGACAAGTTGTGATAGAAATAAGAAAGCTTGCCTTTTCTAAAGCGTGAAAATCTTCGAAGAACTACCGTAACCTAGCCTCTAGCTTTATCCAACTTATCTATTTTTTATCGATATATCGATAGCTAGGTTTGACTAGAAACGAGACAAGGTTACGGTAATTTTGGTATAGCAAATTGACAATGGAAGATTTCTGCTATAGATAAATTCGACTGTGTTAAGCCAACCGAAAAACCAATGTTTTGACTTAAACTTGACTTGACTTGGCCTGGGAAATCGGCTCTTCATTAATCCTGTACCTTGTACTTTTGACACTTCTGACCAGACCCAGATAAGACGCAGTAATTTTGCATTACCCTCATTTCTCTGACTATGAGCCAGGCCAGGATCAGGCTAAAAGTCAATCCTAACCAGATTGTTTCGAATCATTTTACGAGCAAGGCCAGGGCCAGGCCAGGACCAAATAGTTGTTTCCCAATGCCGCACCAGCTGTTTCAGATCCAAAGACGAGTCAAAACAAAGAGTTGCTCCTGAATCTAATCCGATTTTTCATTGAAGGAGAAGTAATGTCATTTTGCTTCACAAACCGGTAATATTGATATTTTTGGTGCTAGGAACATTGGGCTTGTCTCGTTGACGTGTCATGACAAGAATCAGAACATGACGAGCACGCAAGGGCTCGGTAAGCCAAAATAAACCAATAATCAAGTTTGTTGAGGACGAATAAAATGATACTGATTCTACGATTTGATGGGGCAAAAAAGAAATGATAAAAAGGAAAACTCCGTGGGAAAAGTGGCCTTCAAAAGCACTATGTTCAATTTTTAGACCGAATATCTTAGCAGATTTTTTTTTTCAGATCTTAGCAGAGCGCCAAATTTTTTGCTTTTTTCAAATTTTTCAAATTTTTTGCAACTCGCCATAACTTTCTTCGGTACTTTTTGCTCCACCAAATCCTGGATTAAGTTCCTTTTTACTCGTCGTCCACGAACTTAACTATTTGTCTATCTTTGTTTACCCTCTTGTAAAAATTAATTCAGTTTCCATCAAATCACCCCTTTGGCACAATCTTATTCAATCAAGTCAGCGTTTTTTCCTCTTACCGGTAAAGAGGGGATGGAACAGATGCTGCCTTTTTTGCGCACCCAGTAAAAAGCGCGCCTTTTTTTGCTGGAAAAGGCCTTAGAAGAGCCCGTAAAGCCGCAAAAGTGTTTCCAAATCAGGGAATCGTGGGCGTAGATTTTGAATTTTGACAAATCAGACCTCGCTAACACGTCATGACGTGTCAGCGAGGTAAACAGAAAAGTGGAAACATTTTTGAAGCCGAAGCGAGACGTTAGGAATCACTTTTTTGAAATTTTTTTGAGTTTTTGCCCCAAATGAGACTTTTGCTTGAAGATGGAGCCTTTTAAATGCCCAACAATTCAACAATTGCTTTTGTAGCTAAGATATTCGGTCTAAAAATTGAACATAGTGCTTTTGAAGGCCACGTTTCCCACGGAGTTTTTCTTTTTATCATTTCTTTTTTGCTCCATCAAATCGTAGAATCAGTATCATTTTATTCGTCCTCTACAAACTTGATTATTGGTTTATTTTGGCTTACCGAGCCCTTGCGTGCTCGTCGTGTTCTGATTCTTGTCATGACACTTTTCACTTGCGAACTGGCTTTCCAAATTTTTCTTGAATCAATTTTGATCGCTTTCATTTGTTTCAGCCCTATGCTAAACTTCTTTTTTAGGAAGAGATGGATTTGCCGAGCGCAGCGCCTGACTCGGATGACCTGAGAACTGCCAATGAGTTCGAGCTCAAAGACTACAGAGGAGAAGACGTTAGACGCAAAGAGCCAGTGGGTTTCAGATTTTTTTCTTGTGTTTCATCGAAGGAGTAGAATGTACTTTACCAAAAAATCGGGGCGGCAACTAACTTGATTAGGTTTAAGCCCGTTATTCCTTTCTATATCTAATCTATCGTAATAGTAGCGCCTCCCTCCCTAGTTTTATATTCGTTTAAAACAAGCTTATGGAACAAATACTATGAAAAAGCCATGTTTAAAACCACTTGTGGTTTTATAAAGCAATCTGTGTTAAAGTGTATCTATTTATGTTTAAAGATATTCATTTATTTAATTGAAGTTTCACAAACAATAAGACTACAAATTCTGTCATTGGCATTATCTCTCCCAGCGAGTCGGCAGCGGGGGTTTTATCTCTTTATTGCCGCGAATGAGACACAGTAACGTCGGTTGTTGCCCCGTGTACTCCCATCACCTAGCAAATAGTTTTTCAACTTTGAGGAATCCTGTCAATTTTAGAGAATTTCAATTAACTTTATCAACAATTTGATAAAAATCTATTTTATCTACTTAACGACTTTGAAAGTACCCACCTAAATGAGCAATGTTACCCTAAAATTTCATGGACTGATTCATCGTCTAATCTATTTTTTGGGCTTTGATAACATGTTTATAATTTCTCAATTTAAATCGATTCGTTTGCGGTCATGTCTGAAAGCGCAAACGAGGATTTCCATAGACTTTACGTGTATATTTTTGATTTTGAAACAAGAAACCTTTTTAATTTTTAGAAGAACCACGAGAAAGAAGAAGAGCCGATCTACGTGGCCGTGAAAGATAGCGAAGATGGAGAACTATTCGAATTGCCATGCAACCCCGACAAGTTAGTACCTTTTTGAATTTTCTAAAATTTTTGTCAATATTGATTACAACTTTTATTTACAGAACACTCTCGTTGACGACTCTATCGCATTCGTTTCCTGGGGCCACTGGGCTGAAGTTTCAAAATCCGAAGACGGGAGCTAGTCGGGTTGTTATGTAAGGATAAAATCATCTTTTTTTATCTATTCTAGTTTTAGCTTTGATCCAACTCGCTCATTGTTTATGTGCCCTGCAGACGGATGGGAGAATCAAATATTTACAGCAACTTATCCACCACCACCACAATCACGAGGTTAGTTTTGTTTTATATGAGGTTGATAAACTAATGTTTGAACAACTTTTTTGTAGCTCTATTAGCGAAGAGTTTTCTAAAGTAAAAGATCTTTCATTAAAGTCGATAATTAAGATTAACGAGTGTACAAGGTGTCTCATAAAAAACCTTTGAAATCGAATTTCCTAAAAAACTCTAATGGCGGCAGGTGGCCGCTTTGATATCGAAAGCGTTCATTTGTGCTCAGGAATTTTTCACTTTTTTTGTCTTTTTCTCGATATCTTGATACTCTGTACATGAGATTATGGGGGCCACTATGAGACTTTTGTTTTAAAATCAAGACTTTGTACTGGCATCGTGGTGCATAATTAACACTGTTAGGAGGGCTACAAATTTTAACGATACACCTTATTGATCAGCTTTTTTTTTGGAAGAACGAGACAGCTTTTTAAAAAAGGCGAGTTGAAAATCTCTTATGTACTCCCATCTATTGATCACATAACAAATAGTTTTTCAACTTTGAAGAATCCTGTCAATTTTAGATAATTTCAATTAACTTTATCGGCCATTTGGGAAAATTACCTCCGAAAAAGTGGCCTTAAAGGGGGGTATTAATCGCGGCCGGGCGACGATAAAAATTTTTTTACAGCAACCACCTGTTTTTTTATTTTAATATCGCTGATTTTATTATAAAAAGAATAAAAATCACCCGACTAGAGTGATTTGATGGGTTTACAAATTTTTGGAGACACTGCAAGGCTTGGAAAAAAACAAGATCGTCACTCATCAGACACCTCAGCACAGTCTAGATCGATTGAATTTTAATTGCAGATAAATTTAAAAACAAAATAAAAAGCACAAAAAACAATAAAAATAAATTGTTAATCTATAATTCTTCCTCTTGCTCACTTTCATCTTCGCTCAAGTACAGCAGTTCCTCAAATCGGCTTCCTATCTTATCAATTTCCAGCGCATCTTCACCAGAAGTGACTGAATCTCCTCCACCGTAGGACATCTTCAGCGCTTTAATTGACACAATTAGATCTTTTTTCCATTTGTGGTCGCTTGTGGTTTTAGTTTTCTCAAATAGGTGCCTTTTAGCTGAGGTGTCTGATGAGTGACGATCTTGTTTTTCTCCAAGCCTTGCAGTGTCTCCAAAAATTTGTAAACCCATCAAATCACTCTAGCCGGGTGATTTTTATTCTTTTTATAATAAATTCAGCGATATTAAAATAAAAAAAACAGGTGGTTGCCGTAAAAAAATTTTTATCGTCACCCGGCCGCGATTAATACCCCCCTTTAAGGAAAAAAAAAGTGCACCCCCAACCAGCGTAGTACCAAATGATTTGGTGTCTTCACACGACCCTAGTGTGCAGATACCAAACTTTTTAATTTTAGCGAACAAAGAGGAAGAAGAAGAGCCGATCTACGTGGCCGTGAAGGATAGCGAAGATGGAGAACTATTCGAATTGCCATGCAACCCCGACAAGTTAGTACCTTTTTGAATTTCCTAAAATTTTTGTCAATATTGATTACAACTTTTATTTACAGAACACTCTCGTTGACGACTCTATCGCATTCGTTTCCTGGGGCCACTGGGCTGAAGTTTCAAAATCCGAAGACGGGAGCTAGTCGGGTTGTTATGTAAGGATAAAATCATCTTTTTTTATCTATTCTAGTTTTAGCTTTGATCCAACTCGCTCATTGTTTATGTGCCCTGCAGACGGATGGGAGAATCAAATATTTACAGCAACTTATCCACCACGAGGTTAGTTTTGTTTTATATGAGGTTGATAAACTAATGTTGGAACAACTTTTTTGTAGTTCTTCAAAGTCAAATCTGTATCAATTTCTATTAGCCAAGTCTTCTAAAGTAAATGGTGCAGCCCAACCAGCGTAGTACCAAATGGTTTGGTGTCTGCACACGACCCTAGTGTGCAGGCACCAAATTTTTTTAATTTTAGCGAACAAAGGGGAAGATGAAAAGCAGATCTACGTGAACGTGAAAGGTAGCCAAGATGGAAAACCATGCGGATTGCCCTGCAACCCCGACAAGTTAGTACCTCTTGAATTTTCTGAAATTTTTGTCAATATTGATTACAACTTTTATTTACAGAACACTCTCGTTGATAACTCTATTGCAGGAGTTTCCTGGGGCCACTGGTTTGAAGTTCAAAGATCCGAAGACGGCAGCTAGTCGGGTTGTTATGTCAGAATAAAATCAGCTTTTTTAATCTGTTCTAGTTTAGATTTGATTCAACTCGCTCATTGTTTATTTGCCCTGCAGATGGATGGAAAAATCAAATATTTACAGCGACGTATCCACCACCACCAGAATCACGAGGTTAGTTTTGTTTTATATGGGGTTGATAAACTAGTGTTTAAACAACTTGTTTGCAGTTCTTCAAAGTCAAATCTTTAGCAATTTATATCAGCTAAGGAGTTTTCTAAAGTAAAAGATCTTTCTTTAAAGTCAATAATTAAGATTAACGAGTGTACAAGGTGTCTCATAAAAAAACCTTTTAAATCGAATTACCTAAAAAACTCTAATGGCTGCAGGTGGCCGCTTTGATGTCAAAAGCGTTTATTTGTGCCCAGGAATTTTTCACTTTTTTATCTTTTTCTCGATATCTTGATAAATCTCTCTTGTACCACAGTTGATTATATAATGTAGATGACTAAAGTGTTTGGCCTAAAATCTTAGTTTATATTAACTCTAACATGACACGAAGATGCTAGTACAACGTTTTAATTTTATGGCATGGTGGTGGGAGCCAAATTCCTTCGCACAAATAAACGCCTTTGGCACCAAAGCAGCCACCTGCAGCCTTTAGAACTTTTTAGGAAGTTTGATTTGAAAACGTTTTTTTTATGAGACACCCTGTAAAGTGTATCCTGTCGTCACCGCTCAGTGATTTAAGTAAGTTTTGGTGTCTGGTATTCTGGTGCTGGTCAATAAACCAAGACCTAACCAAAATGCACAAATATTTTTTTGTGGACAAGCAAGCATTTACGAAAGTTAAAATTTTGGCAGGGAGTCACAAAAGTGAGTAAAATATCGTTTAGTGATCCGAATCAAGATGATGGGCGAGGGAACCGTGGCGGAGGAGCGCAAGGTAGATTTGTCGGAAAATGTGATAACACAGAACACTGTCAAAAATGTGTTTCTCCTCCCTGCCGATTCAGTCATTACGTTGCGTTATGGTGATAATGCAGGGGCAAAATGGTGCGAGTAAGTTCAATTTTAAAATTTATTTTTGAGTGTATTTTATCTTCTTTAACCTATTCTAGTTTTAGTTTGGATTCAACTGGCTCGTCGTTTTTGCTTCCGGAAGGCTGGCCAACTATGGAGTTCTTTGTCGATTCTCGTTCAAAAGGCCCAGCAAATAGTATGTTATGTTTAAATATTTAATAAAGATCTTTGTTTAGGGGCTTCAAAAATTCTCAACGATTGGGAAGATCGTGTTTTTTGCATTGAAGGTCGTGGTGGGGCGGTGGGATCATGCGTTTTATTGGATAATAAGCGCATCTTGACCTCTGCGCACTTATCCTTCAAGCGTGGAGAATGGTACCCAATCAAACGACCCGGTTTGGAGGGCATTTTCGAAGTGCGCTGCGATTTCATTTGTCTGCATCTCGATTTTGCCGTACTTAGTTCGGAGGCTCTTCAGGACCTCCCAATGTCTATAGACAACCTGGGGCTCGACTCTAATTATTTCATAATGGTATGCCATTTTTTAGTTTTATTTTAGCTGACGGAACGTTGTACTTAGGGTTATCCAAACGGCGTCGAAGCATCTAAGCCGACAATCACACGAGGAATCATCAAAGGGTTGTGGGTGGATGGCAAGCATCTTGGTAAGAATAATTATCATTTATTTATTATCATTATTTTAACCAATGAGTTAGGCGTCATAAAACAAATTTTTATTTAGTCGGAACACCTGGTTCGAAGCGAGGATACTCGGGCGCTCCGGTCTTTGATGATACTGGACGTTTGGCAGGACTATTGATGGGTGGAACAACTGGATTGGATGTCAATACAAACATTCAAGAATGTCTGGAATCGTCTGTGGAACAGAAATACGCGAAAATCTTAGGCAGCTTGGTAATCACTCAACTCTATGACTCTCTTGTCGAAAACGGTATTTTTAATTTTATTTTTCAAAATTAGATTGAAGGCGTTTAGGAATTTCGGATGAGCAATCCTGAAACTGTCAAGGATGCGATGCTTCGTTGGAAAAATATATTATATTAAATTCAAATGATCCTTCGACAACAATTTAGGTACGTTACTAGTTCGGGGCACTATTTTTTCGCCAGACTTTCTTTTTGCGTAAGTCACGAATTTCATAGAGAGAGCTTGAGAAAATGCGTTTGAGAGCGACTTTCGGGTACTCGAATTCACCGCCTCTACAGTATGCTTCAAGTTCCCACTATGAAATTCGCGATCGACACAAAAAACTGCCCCAGAAAAAGCGGTTTTGGCAAAAAAAAATAGTGTCCCCAACTAGTATAGTGCCACGACTTATTTCGTTCTAATTTTTGTTTTTTGCTGTTTCACAAAATTGTTGACTTATCTACTTATTTTTGTTGTTAGCATTACGTTGAGTTGTTACCCAATTAGATAAATCTCGAACTTGAAAACCAAATGTACAGCCGATTTGAGTAGGGTACAAAACTTATGGATGTTTCACTAGAATAGAGAAACCGGTAGGGAGCTTTTTTGAAAAACCTCTTATCTGCTTAATTGTTGGATTCAAATGAAAGCCAGTTTAATCCTCCAAGGGTCAATCATTTCGACGAGTTGATATTCACGCATTTTATTCTTTAGAAAAGAGCAAAGGCACAAGTACTAAAATTGAAAACATGACAAGATCGATAAAAATACACTACCCGCCTAAAGATTAAGTGAAGGGGATGATAACGGGCAAAAAGATAAGGGGACAGAAATTCACAAGGAACACTCATTGTTGAGTGTTTCTTGTGAATTTCCAATTCAAAGTTTTCCACACGTCTTTTCCAATACCATTTCCATATTTCCACATTTCCAAAACAAAGTTTTAAGTTCTTCAAGAGAAAGATGATACCTGGTTTTTCGGACGATTCCGTTGGGATTCTTGCAAGGAGCTTTCACACTTTTGCGCAATACGGAATCCACGTCCACTTCCGAGAAAAGGCAATGTTCTGGAAGAAAGTTAATTTTGTCTCTGAATCAAAATAGAAAAAAATCCAAGTGGATTTTACCATAGGTAATTGTTGTATTCCGATCGCCTGTGAAATCGTGGCTCTCACGTAAGCATTACCCCACATTAATGCCAGCGCAAATCGGCCAACATATTCGTCTTTGCACAAGTATCGAACCTAGATTAGAATACAACACACGATAGTAACATTGAACAGTCAGATGAAAGGATCCATTGGTCGGTGTCTTATTCATTTTTGATATTCTCTTCGATTTAACGGATCATTTTCTGGTATTTTCTGGTGAGTTAAACTTTTTTACTTTTAAACGAAGAACTTTTAAACGTTTGTGTTAAACTTTCGAATTTTAGAGGCATAATGCTAGCCAAGGAATCGGTCAAGTCGAGGAAAAGAATTGTGAGGAAAATCTTGGTCTTCTGATTAAAAATTTTTTTTAGGTTTCCTCACCCGAACATCCGAAAGATTTTGCCAGATTTGTCAACGATCATTTGAGCCCAAAAAAGAAAACGGATGCCTATGAAGTTTGTTGAGAAATTTTTGACTGTAATAGGGGTTGTTAAGAAAATGACTGGAGGTAAGGAGTATCAACCGAATTGGCAAAATCTCGCCTCGATCTACAATCAATCGCGTCTTCAGTTGATGGTTGGAGAGAAGAAGCTTCTGAAGGTAAAAATTTGGTACTTTTGATGAATAGGTGTCTCAATGGGCACTGGGTTGTTTTTAGGTTGAGCCATAAAAACCGAACGACCATCCGTTTTTGCCGGGCTCCTACACGTGTTACGACCATTGCGACTACATTTTTTATCAGGTGGGTAAATAATTTTTCCACTATACTTGATTTAGGCTCCCAAAACCGCACAAGCAGCCATCGATTTGCGGAGAGCCGTTTGGCAGGGTTGGGAATTCCAGGAATCTTTCAATAATCTTGCTCCTTTCAAGACGAGACTTACATGATTGATTCTTTTTCCCAAAAGAGTGATTACGCGAGAGAGCCAACCACACGCTGTTATCCATATTGGTCAAAAAAAGAAGGAGAAACACTCACACTTGTCGCTAGTAACATTTATTCAATTAATGAAGCTTTGAAAGTTAGAATAACCTTGTCTTTTAGAATGGCCGTTATGTGATCAAATACACGAAGCGATTTATCGAGGGACTCGATCCGTCAAAGCAAGAAGCTCAAAAAAGAGACCATGTGATCTACGAGTTAAACCTGCAAAGCACCTTATCACAAATTTATCAAAGATGAAGACAACAAGGTTGAGATTCAGGGAAACTATTCGTGAATTGACAATATACTTTAG